CCCCCCCCCCCCCCAGCCGGTGCAGGCGGTGGCGGGACAGCCTTGACTCGTCCCGAACCGATAACCTCCTTCCAGGCCTTCCCTTCGCGCCTCAACAGCTCCGCCAACTCGTCCTTGATCCGCCGCGGCAATCCAACGCCCCCGTAGACAAAGCCCGTGTAGAGCTGGACGAGCGATGCGCCTGCTTTGGCATAGTCTAGCGCGTCCTGGCCGGACGAAATCCCGCCACATCCGACAAGGGGGACCTTGCCGTCCGTCTGCTCGTAGAGAGCCGAGAGGGCGCGGAGAGCGAGAGCCTTGACGGGAGGACCGGACAAGCCGCCAATCTCTTGCAAGACGGGCGACGAGCCGGCGGAGGGAGGACGCGAGATAGTCGTGTTCGAGACGATCACGCCGTCGATGCCGGCAGTCTTTGCGGCGTATGCAATGTCGGACAGCTGTTCGTCGTCGAGGTCGGGCGCGACTTTCACCAGCACGGGAGGCTTGATCGAGGTCGGTAGGAGGTTGCGAGCCTGGACGACGCCCTCGAGCAGCTCGGACAACATGCCCTTTCGCTGAAGGTTGCGCAAACCAGGCGTGTTGGGAGACGAGACATTGACGACGAGGACGTCGGCGTACGGGCCAAGTGTGGCAACGCCCTTGACGAAATCGTCGATCGAGTCGGGGTCGCTCGACTTGTTCTTCCCGAGGTTGATGCCGAGAACCTTGCCCGGGTGGAGCGAGCGAGGCATTCCTACTGCGTCGGCAGGTGCAGCGCCAGACCCATCCCGCGACGCAAGGTATGACGTGACGGGGTCAAAATTCTGCGCTGCAACGGCGGTCGAGGGAGTCGAGGGGAAGAGTTCGGCGGGGAGGACGGAGGCATAGTCGTTGACAAACTTGATCACTCGTTGGCGGAGGCGGGCAAGCGCGGCGGCGTGGCCTTCCGAGTTGAAGCCGTAGCGATTCACGACCGAGTTCGACTCGGGGACGCGAAAGACGCGAGGTTTGGGGTTTCCGGACTGCCAGACTGAACGTTAGAGCCTATACCCATGGATTCAGAGATTGTTCGAACGCACCTGCGGCTCCGGCGTGATGCTGCCAACCTCGACGTAACCGAATCCGAGGTTGAACAGCCCGTCGATAGCTTCGGCATGCTTGTCAAAGCCCGCCGCAATACCGATCGGGTTCGAGAACTGCTTGCCCCACAGCTGTGCGTAGATGGAGCATTAGCTAGCGAGTCTGGGAGGAAGTGAGCGCGCGAGACTCGCCTCGAAAGCCAATCGTTCGTCGTCAACACCACAGTCGACCGGTCCCATGTTTGCCGAGAGGATCTTGACCGCCACTTCATGCGCCAACTCGGGGTCATCCTCCGTCAACGCCATGAACGCTGGCTGGAGGAGCCATCTGTCGGGAGGAGGGAAGGTCAGCTTGCGGTTTTCTACAATTCTTCCGCCCGCGAACGCACCGGTGCACTCCCGCCCTCGAGTCATACGCATAGGCGAGGAACGCTCCCGACCCGAGGAACAAGGCGGTCGAGAGGAGGAACGACTTGAGTCGCTTTCCGGCCGATCCCGCTCCTCCCGCTGACGGCGTCGGTTGGGGCGCTGGCGGGGGCGGTGGAGGGGGCGGAAGAGGTGCTTTGGGTGCGGGCAGGGGCGGAGGAGCAGGCTGTGCGGCGGCAGGCGGAGGAGGGAGAGGCTTCGCGTCGGGCGGGGGAAGGGGAGCAACTGGCGCGGCGGCGGTCGTTTGCGGGCGGACGAGCAGGCGCAGCGAAGGGCCAGCTCGTGGCCCTGGCACTCGCCGTGCAGCAGCGACTCGCAACATGTCGGTAGTGATGAAGACGACGAGTGACGATCCCAGATTGTATTCGAGCCGGTTGTATTGCTGAATTAGCCCAAGTTTATATTCCTTCAGGCTACTTGAGGGGAGGCGTTCCGCGCGCGCCAAGTGGCTTGGCCCGCGCGCTCTTCTCCCTCCCTCGCTCTCCTCACTCACGCCCACATCGCACGTTGCTCGCTTTAGAGCAGCTGCGGGCTCCTCACGGCGCCTGCTGACTCCGATCTTGAGCCCTGCACACCCCCAACCGCCGTCTCGCCCTTCTCTCGACCTCATCGTCTGCTCGCTTGCCCTCGACCTCCTGACTCTCATACAGCCGTGCAGTGCCCGCGCAGCAGCTCATTAGGTTCACGGACTGCTCAAGCGTGGCTGGGACGCTCAGTGCGCGCGGGCGCACCCGATGCGATACTCCTGCTTCCTCGCAAATCTTTTTCCACGACGAGCCACTCCGCTCATGGTCCAGGTGCGCCCCGTTCTTGCGTGGGAAGTCCAAGGACACACACTGAGACTCTCCTCTTTTGCAGGCTGGCTTTCTCGCTGCTCGTTGTCGCTCACTTCTCCTCGCTTATCCCCGACCCCTGCTCCTTCCCTCCCGTTCCTATCGACCTGCGCAACACCTCCACTTCACCCTCACCCACCCGCCCCAATCTGCCCGTGACATCGTCCTACCCCAGGATGTCAAACGGTTCCTGAACGGAGGCAAGAGCGACACCTGATCGGCCAAAAAGTTTGAGATAGTAGAGCAGCGGATGCTTTAGACGCCCCCCTTCACGCTGTGGTTGTCGGCCCCTACATTCACCTCCTTCCCCGAGCCTGGAATGGCAGAAGAGTCTTGCGAGGACGTCGTCGTAGCAACATGAGAGAGGAAGGGGAGCGCTGCCCTTGTCTGGCGCCAACGGGAGAACGCTCCGCTGTCGCAGAGTCAGCTAGATGCGTAAGAGACCACAGCGAGCGGAAGATGAGTCGGAAAACAAAAGGAGGGACAAAGGAGACGCCACGGATCCCTCGTCTCGCTCTCCGCCCTTCGATGATTCAGACTGCGAGAGGGGAACGACAACTGTCTATTGCGAAGCCTGGAAACCTTTGAAAAAGGATTGTACGGGACAGAAGGGAAGAAGGAGGAGGAGGGAAGCCAACGAAACCCTGGAGAGATTAGAAAGCCCGTGTCAAACGAGGGAGCGATGAGGCGAGGCACAAAGACTACTAGACTAAGAGGATAAGTGTCTGTTAGGGAGCGCGAAGGGATTAGGCGGGCGAGGTGTGCCGACGAGGCCAGAGGGAGGTGCCGCCGATGCCGGCGCAGAGTTGGTGGTCCGTCAAGAGGTCGTACGCGAGGACGTCCTGCATCGAAGGACCGTCGTCAGTTGCGCCTTCACAAGGTTAGCAAGAAGGACGACTGGACGCACCGTGTACGCCGACCCGTAATCGCCGACGCCAAACGAGATCAACACCGTATCGTCCAAGAACCCGTGGTTCAATCCAAGCCCATGGCGATCCGAAGGCGACTGCCACGCCATCGAGACGGTGAAGATCGGGTCGGCCTGGTTCGTCCCGCTGTAGGTGAGCGGCTTCGAGACGCTTAGGTACTCGTAGGGAGAGGTGACGTTCCAGGTTACGACGTGGCGGACGTAGTGGAGGTAGGGCTGTGCGCGGGTCGCGGGTTAGCGCTGCGAACGGAAGGGAGAGGAGAGGAAGGGTCGACGCACGAGGGGATGATACTTGACATGGATGATCCCAAACAACACCGTGTTGTGCACGTCAGGGACACACTCACCCCTTTTGCACATCGTAGCGCGGATGAGGGGCGTCGCATGGTGCAGGTGGACGCGGTTCATGTCGGGCCCGAGGATGTCGGTGAGGCAGTTGTGCGACGGCGCGAGCGGGTCGAGTGGGCGCAGGGTGAGGTTCGGGACGTATTTGTAGATTTGTTGAGGGACGAGGGAGACGTGGAAGAAGAGCTGCAGGTCGGGAGAGGGCGAGGGAAGGGGTGGAGAAGGTTGTCAGCTTTCGTTGCGGATAACGCGGCGAGCGCTTCACGACGCACCTCGTCGTTCTCGCCTAGCATGGGTGACCAGTTCTTCTCGATGTTCGTTCTTCCCAGGCCGCCGAATGAGGTCAGCAGCGGCCCTATGCGAGCACGAGGAAGCCCAGAAACTCACGAGCCTTCTCGGATCAAGTCTGGAGCGTTCCGAGGCGTCAGCACGGCTTCCTACGTGTAACATACTATCTACAGACGAGATTAGCTTACCAGTTTGTTCGCGGAAGACGACGGGCGGGTTGTAGCCGGCCCGCTTGAGCGCCTTGTCGAGTCCGGGGATGACCATCCTGCGCGCGGTTCCCAAGCGTCAGGTTCGCGGGCTCGGGGCCTGGGAGTGCCGCTGAAGGTGAGCTCGAGCGTCCAGCCACGGGAACAGCTGGAGCGCGAGCTGACCAAAAGTTGAGAAGGCTCACCTGGCGTCAATGATGAACAACGCTCGACAGACATTCGGCATCCTCCCCGTCTGCGAATAGATCAACAACGGCTGTCCATCGTTCGTGAAGAACAACCGCGGGTCCTCGGGTCCGATAAACTGGTCGAAAGTCGGGTTGTGGCAGCGGAGGTACTCGACCTTGCGCTGGGCGGGGAGGTTGAGCGTCGTGAGCTCCGACTCGCGCGCGAGGTACGGTAGTCCTAAGTAGGCGCGCTTGAGTGGGAGGAGGAAGCACCCCACGACCGATTCCCATCGCGTGTCCTCGCCCTCGATGACCTCGAACTTCTCCTCCCCCCTCGCAACGAGCAAGTACTGCCACCCCGCGCCTGCCGCGTCTGGCAACGGCAGTACCGAAGGGTTGAATACATTGCCCGAGTATGGGTCGATTAGCGACATGAAGCCGTATGGATTCGAGACGGACTCGACAACTTTGGCGATGTTAGCGCTTGGGGGGTAGCCGGCGGGTACAAGCTCGCGTGTGCGCAGTTGGAGGAGGTCGTGCGTCTTTCGGGCGCTGGTGTACCGTCCGCGACGGATGAGGCCGTGGCCTGGCGGTCCGTGAGAGGAGCGGGAGAAGAGGAGGAGGAGCGAGATGAGAGCGAAGGTGACGAGGACGGTTATCCGTCGTCGTGGTGGGATGACGGAGACGAGTGAGCGTAGGGGAGGGAGGCGGGAGGAGGAAGAGGTGAGGGAGCGTCGGGCAGAGGTGAGAGAGGGGAGCCGGGTTCGTCGGAGTTTCGCGACGACGCTGCACGAGCGCTGCGAGTCAGCGCAGTCAGATCAGACGTATGAGACGCTGCACGCACCCGTTCCAGCCCTCCTTCTCCCACGTCCGCCTCCAGGCCTTTCCAGCCTGCCTCGCCTGTCCCAACAACTCGTCCCACTCTCCCTTTCCCGTCTCGCCCGCCTGGCCAAATCCATTCCCCTGATGATGCTGCTGCGCCAACTTGCGCGCATACCGACCATCCTCGTCCGTCACATCCGACATCTTGGCGTACCCACCCCTGCCCGCCGCTCCCGCGCCATTGATCGCCAACCCGTTCCCGGTCGCTGCGTGGTGAGAGTGGTACGGGAGTTTCCCTTCTTCGGCGGACGCGAGGGTGTGTGCGTCGAGTGCGACGGGGACGGGACTCGCAAAGGGCGAGACGGGCTCGGAGGATGCTGGGCTGGTCAAGCCCGTCGTTGGGCCCGCCGAGTTTGCGCCCGAGACGGCCGTGTTGACAGAGACCGATGAGCCGGTCTGCATCCAGTCCCTGGGTCGCGACGAGGACGAGGAAGAGGACGAGGACGAGGTGCTGCTGGCGTCTGACAGGCGGTGCTCGGTGGGAGCGGGCGTCGAGGCGGATGCGCGGGAAGGGTGTGCGCCCGTCAACTCGCGACGAGCGTGGTGGCTCATGCGTTCCCGTTCGTCGTCGCTGGTGTTGGTCGGCGTTCCCGGTGCACGCGAGCGTCAGGCGAAGCGATGAGCTGCGGACGGCGCGCGAGTGGCTCTGGCTGGCGGGTTTGTCGAGCTGGCGAGTCGAGTTGAGCAGTCGAGCACACTGGCGCACGCAGCGAACCCGGGCTGAGCGGGAGGCGGGCGACGAAGCGACTTGAAGAGGAAGTCGGGAGAGACAATCGCACAGGGATCCCACGATAGCTTGTCCTGGATGGCTGGGCAGTACACGGGCTACTTCTGTCGTTGATGTGTTCATAGACTCGGTTTGATCCCACTGAGGACAACGAGCGAGGGTGAGGCGGAGTTGAACGGGGTTAGCACTGTCGCTCGCTCTCCTCACACTGCACCGGGTGGACCGGCGATACTACCATCGTGTAGAGTACACTCTAGTGTGTATTCCTGGGCTGTGTATGCATTTCCTGGCGGGTGAGCTGGGGACACCCCCTCCGCCTCGCTCGCTCATCTCGCTCGCCTCACACAGCTTCACTCTCTGCGCTGCTCTCTCCTGCTGGCTGGTTCGCTCGGGCTGCAGGATCACCAGACAGCTACAACCATGGCAGACGTGCGCAGCTCTTCCGCCAGCTCGTCCCGCGCACGCTGACACTCGGTTCGCTCGCTCACTCGCCAACACAGCCTGCGTTCACCCACTCGCTCTTCGCCACCCTCGAGCAGACCATCGCACCCGACACCCAGGTCATCAAGGCTGTCAGTCCCGGTCCTCTGCCACCCGGGCTGACTCGTCGAGCTGACGGGACATTGCTCGACAACAGGCGACGGTCCAGCTCAACAACCACTTCTACACGGACGCCCGATGCGTCCCTTCCCTGTTCGAGATCGGCACGAGTGGCGCCAACCCGGCTGTGAGTCGCGCCGCGCCCCTTGCTTGACGACCACCAGCGATCCCTCCTTGCCCATCCGAACGTTCTCCCGACCCGACTTCCCTCCTGGACCCTCCTCTTCTGGCGCTCTTTGCTGACGAACCGCTTGCTATGACCCACAGATCCGCCAACTGGCGCTCGTCGAGCTCCGCAAGCGCGTCTCGGCCAAGAAGAACAAGCAATGGCTCGCGCAGCAGCAGGACGTGCGGAACGCGATCAAGAGTCGGCTGCTTGACTTCTTGCTCACCGAGACCAAGTGCGTCTCCCCGTTCTCATTCTCAGGGTTGACGCTGACGAGCTCGAACGCACACAGCTCCCAAGCCCGCGCTGCCTCGACCCGCCTCGTGTCGGCGCTCGCCAAGCTCGAGGTCGAAAAGGGTACCTGGCCTGAACTCTACCCCTGGTTGTGGAACATGGCGTCCGCGCCCGCCGCCTCTCAGCGCGAAGTCGCCCTCCAAACCATCTTCATGGTTCTCGACACCATCTCGATCGCACCTACCACCGCCGGAGGGAACGCGACGAACCAGATTCCCGCGTTGTTGCAGCTGCTGAGTAAGACGGTCGCGGATCCGGAGAGTCTGGTCGTCAAGGTTTGGTCGATTCGGGCGTTGGGCAAGTTGAGCGAGTTCTTGGAGGAGGGCGAGGATGCAGAGATTGTGCGCGGCGCTCCCACGATCCAGCAGTCGAGTACTTGTTGACCCCATCTCGCGCAGTCGACGGTCCAGGGCTTGATTCCCGCGGTCGTCCAGGTCCTCCAGCAGTCGCTCGACAACTCGGACGAGTCGTCGACCAAGTCGATCTTCGAGTTCATCGAGCAGATCACGCTCTCCGAGGTGCCCATCTTCAACCCGCACATCACCAACTTTGTCACGTTCCTCCTCCAAGCCTCGGCGAACCAGGCCTACGACTCGGATTTGCGCGTCATGTGCCTCAACTCGCTCTTCTGGATCGTCAAGTTCAAAAAGTCCAAGGTCCAGCAGCTCAACCTCGCCCCTCAGATCCTCACCGGCCTGTTGCCCATTGGCGCCGAGCCCGAACCCGCCGACATCGAGGACGAGGCGCCTTCCCGCGTCGCTTTCCGCGTCATCGACGTCCTCGCGACCTCGCTCCCTCCGTCGCACGTCTTCCCCCCTCTCTTCGAGCAAGTCCGCACGCTCGCCGCTTCCCCCGACGCCGGACTCCGCAAGAGCGCCATCACCGCTTTCGGCGTCGTCGTCGAGGGTTGCTCGCTCTACATCCAGCCTCACCTCGACAACCTCTGGCCGCTCATCATCAACGGCCTGCAAGACCCCGAGGTCGTCGTTCGCAAGGCGGCGTGCACGGCACTCGGGTGCCTGTGTGAGATGCTCGAGGAGGAATGCGCGAAGCAGCACGCCCTCCTCCTCCCGCTCATCTCGAAGCTCATGTCCGACCCGGCGACTCAGCGACCGGCCTGTATCGCTCTCGACTGTCTCCTCGAGGTTCTCGGATCCGACATCGAGCCGTACATCCCCTCGCTCATGGAGGCCCTCGTCGGGATGCTCGACTCGGCCCCTCTCGCGCTCAAGTCGACCGTCGTCGGCGCGATCGGCTCGGCCGCACACGCGTCAAAGACCAAGTTTGCGCCCTACTTTGACGCAACCATGCAGCGACTCGTGCAGTTCCTCCAGCTCACCGAGGAGGGCGAGGAACTCGACCTCCGCGGTGTCGCGCAAGACACGGTCGGGACGCTCGCCGAGGCGGTCGGTGCCGAGCAGTTCCGCCCTTACTACGCGCCGTTGATGCAGCATGCGATTGCGGCGGTCGGGATCGAGCACGCGTCAAACTTGAAGGAGTGCAGCTCGATCTTCTTTGCGGTCGTCTCGCGCGTCTACAAGGAGGAGTTTGCGCAGTACCTCCCCATCATCATGCCTATCCTCCTTGCCTCGGTCGCACAGGAGGAGGTTGACGACGAGGCGCTCCTCGGCGGCAACGCCTCGACCGACTTTGCGACGGGCGTTGACGACGACGACGAGGACCCCGACTTTGAGGACCTCGACGAGGACATCGACTCGGACGAGGAGGAGGCCTTCTACAAGGCGAGCACGCAGATCGCGATCGAGAAGGAGTGCGCCTCGGACGCGCTCGCCGAGATTTTTGACAACGTCGGCAAGCCCTTCCTCCCTTACCTCGAGCCGTGCGTCAAGGCACTCGTCGCGGGCGTCGACCACCACTGGCACGACGGCATCCGCAAGAGCAGCATGGCTGCCTTGCTCGGCTTCATCGCGACCCTCAACCGCCTCGTCGAGCCGCCCAAGTGGACCAAGGGTTCGAGCGGGAACCAGCTCAACCCGGACGTTGCCCAGCTCGTCCAGCTCGTCATGCCCAAGATCATGGAGGCCTGGGCAGAGGAGGACGAGCTATCGGTCGTCAACGAGTTGTGCAACTCGCTCTCCGCCGCACTCATGGCCGTCGGCCCGGCCCTCATCGTTCCCGACTACGTCCAGCCCATCTGCGAGCAGGCTTCGGCGATCCTCCAGCGCAAGGCCAAGTGCCAGATTGGCGACGACGAGGACGAGGCCGAGGCCGGCGAGCACGAGCAGAGCGAGTACGATGCGGCGCTCGTCGGTGCCGCGTGCGACCTCGTTGGCTCGCTCGCTTCGACCCTCGGCGCCGACTTTGCCCAGCTCTTCTCCGCCTTCATGCCCTCGATGATCTCGTACTACGACCCGGCGCGCTCGACGGCCGACCGCTCGACCGCCATCGGCTCGCTCGCCGAGATCGTCAACGGAATGGAGGGCGCCTCGACCGCCTTCTCCGACACCCTCTTCCCGCTCTTCCTCCAGGCCTTGGCTGACCCCGAGCCCGAGGTCCAGTCCAACGCCGCCTTCGCGACCGGCAGCCTCGTGCTCCACACCACGGGCGACCTCTCCCCCCACTACCTCACCGTCCTCCAGGCCCTGCATCCCCTCCTCGGCTTGCCTGACGATGGCGCGGCGAAGCACGAGAACGCCAAGGACAACGCGTGCGGTGCGATCGCGCGGATGATTATCAAGAACGCGTCTGCCGTCCCTCTCGACCAGGGTGAGTCTGCGTGTTTGCGTCCGGAGTGGGAGCCGCTTTGCTGACGTTTCCCGCTTCCCGCAGTTGTTCCCGTTCTCGTCCAGTCCCTCCCCCTTCGACGAGACTACGCCGAGTCGGGCCACGTCTTCGATGCGCTCCTCCTCCTCTTGCGCGAGCAGAACCCGCAAATCCTCGCCAACCTCGACCACGTCCTCTCCGTTTTCGCCAAGGCCCTCGCCTCAACCAAGAAGGAGGATGGCAGCGACGTCTTCTACCCTAACGGCGACGCCCAGATCAGCCAGGAGAACAAGCAGCGCATCGTCGAGCTCGTCAAGGCTCTCGCGTCGAGCCAGCCCGAAAAGGTCCAGCAGGCCGGCCTTGCGCCTTACCTCGCCTAAGGGCCTCCCCTTACCATACACTCACCATAGAAGAGATCCCCTCCCTCTCCTCTCTTTTTGCATCCGCTCGCTCGCAACCTTTTTGAGATACCCTTCGTTCCTTCGCTTTCTTACTCTTCCCGCTATCGGGCTGAATGCAATTTCCCCTGCGTCACATCTTGCGCGCTCTCGCGAGGGAGTCCCGAAGCCAGCACGGGACAGAAAAAAAGGTGTTGCACCCCGACGAAAGCGATCCTACACTCCTCCAATCGGCCGCCCGTCTACGATCGCTCGTACGTGGGCTGCAAGGCGAAATGGTCAGCGTCGTGTGGATTTCCGACGCAGGGAGAGAAAGGCCAGCGTACGAGGGTACCCTCAGCCTCCATCTTCTTCATCGCCTCAGCCCGAGCCCAGGTCTGGATTCTGCGGTCAGTCGAGTGAGTCTGTCAGCATGTGGACGACTCGTCGAGGTCTGAGGCGATAACGCACGAGGTGTCGCGCTTGTAGTAGAGCCCGATGGCGGTGAGGAGGCAAGTGCCGCCGAAGCCGTAGTAGTAAATGTTCTCCCAGTCCTCCTTGACGCGCTTCTGGCCTGTGAGCGTGGCAAGTAATGGTCAGAAAGCAGCAGATGCAGGAGAGGGAACAGCGTCAGACCAGGCTTGAGAGGCTACTCGGAGAGGGAGGAGGTGAAGGTCAGCAGGCGCACGCTCGAATGCTATGAGCTGCTTCCGAGCACTCTTCCACACCGAGAACTGCCTGTAGAGGGTCCTACAGCCCGCCCGCACCTTTCTTCGAGCCCCAGCCATCCTCATCGCTTCACGGGTCGAGGGGGTCCCACAACTCGACAAGGCCGCAAGGAGAGTCGACACGCACCTTCTCGCCGAACAGACGACCGCTGGGCTCGTTGAAGTGGATCCCGCCGCTCGCGCTCCTCCGTTGTTGCTGCTGGGCGGCGTTGCGGACGGCGGACGAGACTCGCCGGGACGCGGCAGAGCGGACGAGCGAGGCGACCATGTTGTTCGAGCCTGAGAGTGTGAGTCTGGCGGTCAAAGAGAGCCTCGCAAAGCAGCAACGGCGTAGAAGTGGATTGTCAAGGTCACTCGCCCAAGGGAAGCGCTCGTTGGCTCCCGCTGTTCACTCACACTCGCTGGAGGAGCGCTTGAACAGATTCTACGCTCTCTCAAAATTGCTGAGAAGACCGTGCTACCGCTCTCCCCGCTTCGAACCGCCCACAGACGATGGCTGCTCCTTCAACTCCTCTCGCAGCCGATGCGACCGCCACGACCCCGCCAGACGTCGACGTAGGACTGGGGATCGATGGAGACAGGATCAAGGATCCTTACTACTACCACCTGCTCGGCGTCAAAGGAAACGCGGTGCGTCGACTCGCTTCACGCCGCAGTTCGGCCTTCCCGGTGTACTTGAGCTGGGCGGCCAGGCTGCATGGTGCGCAGCGTAGCTGATCTGTGTCGTTGCGTAGAGTGAGGCGGAGCTGAAGAAGGCGTACCGCAAGCTCGCCATTAAGTTCCACCCTGGTGCGCTTCCCTCTGACCTTGGGCTTCGGAATTTCCGCTGACCCTTTCCTGGCATCCTGTAGACAAGAATCCGGACAACCCTGATGCGGCGTCCAAGTTCCAGGAGATCAGCGAGGCCTACACGTTCATCTAGCCCTCCTACTGTTCTTGTCTTGGCAGCCTTTCGATAGCTGACCTCCTCGTGCCGCAGCATCCTCTCCGACCCGAACTCCCGAGTGACGTACGACAAGTACGGAAAGCAGTCCGCGCTGGGGGAGGCAGGCGGCGAGGAGCGGATGCCAGACCCGGGAGAGGTCTTCTCGCAGATGTTCGGCGGAAAGGTGCGTACCCCTGTAGGACATGAGCAGCCGGATTCTCTAGCTGACGCAGACGTTTTGCAGGCCTTTGAGGATTGGATTGGCGAGATCAGCCTTGGAAAGGAGGTCTCAAAGGCGTTTGTGCGTGAGGCGCTCCGGCTGACATCGAGACTTGGGCTGACGCGGTGCTTTGACAGGCGCAAGCCGAAGAGGAGGAAGAGGAGGCTGCAGCGGAGGAAGCAAAGGTGCGTTCCGTCCCGCGACCTGCACGCCGCGATCGCGCGTCTTGACACCCTGTCCTGCCAGGCTGCCGCCGCGTCTGGCGCATCGACTCCTCAGCAGAGCGCAATTCCCTCGGAGCCTCACGTTGAGAAGCCCGCCGCCGCAGCTGCGGCAGCCTCGCCGTCTCCCGCCTCACCTGCCGGTTCCACCTTCTCCCCCCAGTCCACCTCTCGACCCGCCTCGACTACCGCTCCTACCGCCGGCGCCGCTTCAACTGCCGCAGCCGACTCGACCGCCTCATCTTCGACCAAGCCCGCCAAGTCGCACCTCGCCGGCAAGCCTCCCAAGCTCTCGGCGGAGCAAAAGCAGAAGGCGTACGAGGAGGAGAAGAAGTCGTGGGAGGAGAAGCGGAAGCGGATTGAGACGCTTGCTGAGAAGCTGAGGGACCGGGTGAGGCCGTTTGTCGATGCGAGGAACCCGGGAGACAAGGATGATCCCGAGACGAAGCGATTTGCGGAGCGCATGAGGGAGGAGACGAGGGATCTGGCGATGGAGAGCTTCGGTGTTGGTGCGTTCCTACTGCATCTCCCTCTTTTCTTGAATCCTCACTGGATCGCCTCGTTCCGCGCAGAGCTGTGCCACCTGCTCGGCGAGATCTATATGCAGAAGTGCGTCGCTCGACTCGCTCGTACATAGCTTGCCTAACGCTCTCACTGGCAGGGCGACGACCTACATCCGCCTCCATCGCAAGCCCTCCGCGAACCTCCTTGGCCTTCCCGGCTGGTGGTCGCGCGTCAAGGAGAAGGGCGCAACCCTGAAAGAGGGCTGGTCGTTCCTCTCGACCGGTCTCGACGTCCAGCGCGCGATGCTTGATATGGAGAAGCGACAGGAGAAGGGCGATTTGGGTGAGGAGGAGATGCGTAGGTTGGAGATGGAGATGAGCGGGACGCTTTTGCTTGTGGCGTGGAAGGGGAGCAAGTTTGAGTTGAGCGCGGTATTGAGGCAGGTGGTCGACCTCGGTGAGTCGCTTTCTCTGAGACACGACGTACGTAGGCTGATCTGGTCGACACGCAGCCCTTACGAAGGAATCGCCCCAGGTGACGGAAGCCATGCTGATGAACCGGGCCAAGGTGCGTTGGCGTCTTTCTCCTGTCGATCATCAGCTTGCATACTAATTGAACCGTGCGCAGGCCATCTTGTTCATCGGCGCGATCCTCAAGGCCGTCCAGCCCGAAGAAGGCGACGACGAGCGCCGCGAACTCGAGCGCCTGGTCGCCGAGGCCCAGCAGCGACGGAAGGAGCGCAAGGCCGGAAAGAACAAGGAGAAGGAGAAGGCTGCTGCTGCCGGCGCAGCATCGTCGCCGGCTGTTGGCGCCGCCGAGGCGAAGGCGTCCGTCGAGGAGGAGAAGACGAAGGCGTGAGCCCGTCCGTCTCTCCCTCCGTCCGCCCTCCCCTTTCTCCAGGCTGTACATTCACCCTTATTAGACACTTCTGCGCCCCGTAATCGTCGTCTCTCCGCCGTCCTGCATTCGCGAACTGGTCTTGCCTCGTCTGCCTCGCTCGTCCGGATACCCTGCAAGCTCCTCATACAGCTCTAACGTGCCGTCAGAGAGTGCTCTACGAGCTGCACTTTGCCTACGACGCTGTTGCCGACTCCCGACCTCGAGTGCCGACGCTCCGCTGCTCTCCGCTCTCTCTCTTCTCACACACGTCCGTTGCGCTCGCTGTGAGTGCCACGACGCTGCCAGCGCTTTGCTGAACCTTACTAACCAGGCGCACCTGCCCCGCCACCGTTCCAACCGCGACTCGCATCTCCCCGCTCCTCCACCCACTCCCGACCGGATCCATCGCTACCACGTACCACAGCTCAAGTGCGCTCGTTCGCTTCGCCACTCGCTGGTGCCGTGCTGCAAAAGCCGCTGGACGATCCGCCGCTGACCGCACAGCTCGCCGTTCGCAGGATGTCGACCCAGCCGACCAACCACTTCACCCAGGCGCCTCACAAGCTCCTCTCGGTCCCAGGCCCTGTCGAGGTCTCCGATGAGGTCCTCTACGCCGTGCGTAGTCGACCTCGTGCCGCGCGAGCTGCCTTGAGCTGATCCCGGCGTTCTTGCCCCCACCTTCTCCTACTCCGCTAACGCCGTCGTCCGCCCTATCCCACCACCGCCCGCCTTTCCTCTTCTTTTCGCCCACTCGCATCCACTTGTGTTCACGCACGCAGAATGCCCACCCTTCGATGTCGCACGTCTCGCCTGCCTTCGCGCCCGTTTTCGGCGACTGCCTCAGGATGCTTCGCAAGCTCCTCTACACCGAGAAGGGCCAGCCATTCATCATCGCGGGCAGCGGGACTCTTGGCTGGGATTTGGTCGCGGCCAACTGTACGTCGCCTGAACGAAGGACGGCCCTAAAGCGATCTAATGCCGTTTCCCTCGTTCACAGTGATTGAGCGCGACCAAAAGGCCCTCGTTCTGAACACAGGCTACTTCGGCGACGCGTGCGTATCTGTGCTGCTTGTGGTGATTGATGGAAGTCGAGCCTGACCTTTTGTGCCGCACAGCTTCGCCGACTGCCTCGAGACGTACGGCGCCAAGGTCGACCAGGTTGGCGCGCCGGTTGGCGGCCGCCCGACAATGCAGCAAGTCGAGGAGGCGCTGAAGAAGGAGAAGTACGCCGTCCTGACTTTCACGCACGTCGACACCTGTGCGTCCTGCCTTTCGACGTCCCTTCTTCAAAACGACTAGATCAACGGCTGACTTTGCTGCCTACCGCAGCAACTGGTGTCCTGTCTGATGCCAAGGCGATCGCCGAGACCGTCCGTCGCGTCTCGCCCGACACCCTCATAGTGCTCGACGGTGTCTGCGCCGTCGCCTCGGAGGAAATCCGCATGGACGAGTGGAAGATCGACGTCGTGCGTTGCTCGCTCTTATTGCGTGTGTGACGACCCACACAGGCTAACTCGCTATTCGAACCAGGTTGTCGGCGCCTCGCAGAAGGGTATCTCCGTCCCTCCCGGTCTCTCGATCACCGCTCTCTCGCAGAAGGCCCTCTCGGTCCTCGAGAACCGCAAAACGCCTGTCTCGTCCTACTTCGCCAACTACAAGCGCTGGCTTCCTGTCATGGAGAGCTACGAGAAGGGAACGTGCGTTCGGTTTTTGCTTCCCTCTCTGCCGCTCGACGTGTTGAATCCCGTTTCTCGCGCAGCCCCGCCTACTTCGCCACTCCGAGTGTCAACCTCATCTACGCGCTTGAGGCGTCGCTCAAGACCATCGTCTCCGGCCCCGTCTCGCTCGAGGACCGCTTCCGGATGCACAAGGAGGCTGCGCAGAAGTTCCGCGATGCCGTGCGTCTCCCACCACAACCCCGGAATCTTGTCATACTGACGCTCGGGCTGGTGCAGACCCTCAAGCTCGGCTTCAAGCTCGTCGCGACCGAGGAAGGCGGCGCCGCAAACGGCATGACGGCCCTCTACGTCCCCGAGGACGTTCAGCCGCCCGCGCTCATTGGCGCGCTCGCTGAGCGCGGTATCGTTATCGCGGGTGGACTACACAAGGACATCAAGGTGCGTTGCGGCTGAGTCCGGCAAGAGCCGAGCATGTGCTGATCCTCCTTTCGTCCTGCAGACCAAGTACATCCGGTAAGCGGCTCTCTCGTTTCTGTCCTCCCGTTGCCACGCTCACCTCCTGCTTGCAGCTTCGGCCACATGGGTGTCTCCGTCGTCGAGCGCCCGACGGATGCGACCAAGATCCTCAATGCCCTCCAGGAGTCGCTCGCCGCTGTCGCGCCCGCCACCTCGGCCGCCGCAGCAGCAGCAAAGAAGACCGTCTGACGGTCAAAGCTGTGAAGTGATGGCCTCGCAGGGACGACGCACGAAAAGGAAAAATCTGTTGTTTCTCTCACTTCTTCTCCCCCTTCTCTCGTTCTCTTCCGTTCTCGTCAGGGTAGATGGGCGGTTCTCTAAGGATCGGGGCAGACGAGGTGTGCATGGCCAGGGACTTCGCAGCGGGAGCCACGGGTGTTCATCGAGAGAGAGTCGCTGCTGGTTCCGCGGACAAGCCGGGTTTGCCTCTCGCTCTGCTTCTCTCCTGGCGTCGTTCTTCTTCAATGGACGCGATCACGCTGAGCTCGTGACGACTGGAACTGTTTGCACCGCTGCATCCACCCGTCGCTCGCCGTTCCGCCACACTTCTGTCGACGAACGCTTCGACCGTCGATGCCACCTCACGCCTCGACCTCGCCTCGTAAGAAGGCCGGCAAGGCGCCTGGGGCGAAGAAGAAGCCAGCATCGGTGCGTGCAGTGCCTTATACCTCTGCGCGACGGCGGAGCGGACGAGCTGACCTCTTTCCTCCTGCCCTCTCTCGCAAGACTCGCTGCCTCATCACATCGCTTCCCTCCGACCTCTACCCGAGCATCTTCCACGAAGCGATCGACCACGACAACTTTGTCTTATGTCGCGCGCTCCTGCCGCACACGCTGGCGGAGCTGTATCGCCTTGTCGAGCTCTCCGACGTCGATGTCCTCGTTCAGTTCGCTGCCGCTGTCATGCGGAGACCTTGGTTGGTGGAAGAAGTGCGGGAGATCATGTTGCGCGACGACGACGCGGTGGACGACTGTTCGGGCGAGATTCTCTGGGCAACGACGGGACTTTTGGGCGGGTATGGACAGCTCGGGACGTTTGACGCGCTGTATGAACGGAGAAGTGCGTCAACGCAGATCTCACTCTTGCGACCGGTGATCCTGATACAGGAAAGTCGCGCAGGACGTCCTTACCGACCTCTCGCCCTCGTGTGCGGCATTGGGCTCATTACGGACCTCCTGCGGCTTACGACTCGACTCGAAAGCTTCAACGTTGTTGGGATGTACTTCATTCGACCTCTCCTGCTGAACGACTCCCTTCTTCAGGACCGGTGGCCCCGCCTTAATACCATCATCCTCAACCTGGATGAAGCGGACGACGGGTGGACATACACTTCCGACGCCGAGCTCGTGCACAGCCTCGCCAAGGTCGCGACACTCGAGCACCTCGTCTTCCGTTTCGCTCCGCACGATCTTCCTATCGACCTCCTCAACTTGGGGCCGCGAGTCAGCGTGCCGGCGCGCAGTCTTCGCCTGCGGAGCTTCGCCGTCGAGAAGCACTTTCGCATCGGGCGCGACATCCGAGTCCTGCTGGCTGGACTCGCAGCCGACTGCCTGCGAACGGTCAAGATTGAGGGCCTCCTCGCCTATCCGGATATCATGCACGACCTCGCCCTTCTTCCGCCGACAGTCGACCACCTCGACTTGAAACTCGGCAATAACTGCCCATACTACGATCATTCCGCGAAGCACCCGAAACTCGCCGACATCGCTTGGCACATGCCTTCCCTCGAACACCTGCATCTCGGAGGCGACATCGTCAGTCGAGCGACCTTCGACGTTATCTACGCCCTGCCACGGCTGTACTGTCTCTCCCTCTCCCAGCACACCTCGATCGACGCCGACCGCCTTCTCTCCCTCTTACGCGGCGGACCTTCGACTTGGCCTCGCATCCGCCGCCTCACGGTGTCGATCTGCGAGTGTCCCGAACCCGCGAAGGGACCATCAACGCGATGCCTGGAGCATACAGCACAGTCGAAGACACCGAACTGGCCGCCGAACTTCGGCGAGAACGACGCGAAGCAGCTCGTCCAGATCTGCAATGGCAAGGACATCAGGCTCAGCGGATCTATCCTGTGCGCGACGGGCGAGTGCGACAGTGACGACGAGCACGACTGTCCGGGATGGGGGACGGAGCGGATAGTCGAGGCGAGGCGGAGGAAGAGGAAGGTCGAGGACTAGTCGAGGCGGACGTGCCGGAAATGCAGGTTGTGCCGGGCTGCCTGACTCAGAGGCCGATTGTCTCCGCTCGCTCGTCTAGGAGCCAGCTCGGTTGATTGGCGCTGCACGTGAGCGAGAGAGACGGCAACATCGCTCGCACTTGAGCGCGACAGCGTCCCAGCGGCCTTCCGGCCTGATTGCGGGGCTCAATCAACATCTTACAGTGCTCCATAGCTTCTGAAAGCTTCAGCCTGTCCCACGATGGCGGTGAACCGCCCCTTCCTGCTGCTCTGCGCCTCTTCTCCCCCGCCTTATCGCTCACTCGCTCTGTTCCCCTCTCGCTGCACTTGTACGATTTGGACCACTTCTCTGGTGCTTTGTCCGAGCCGACACGCCTTCCGCAGGCCCCCGGGGCCACTCCACGCCTTCATCAGCTGCCCGAACTTTGATGGCGCCTCAAACCACTGCCTCGCCTCGCAAGAAAGGCGGGAGGGCGTCTGGAGCGAAGAAGAAGCCCACCTGGGTATGTCCAACTTCTCCTTCGGCCGTTCAAGGCCGGCGAACCGTGTGCTGACCTTCTCCTCCTGGACTCGGTCCTCCAGACCCGCTGCCTGATCACCTTGCTGCCTCCCGAGCTCTACCCAAGCATCTTTGCAGAAGCGATCGACCACGGCAATTTTGTCCTCTGCCGAGCGCTTTTGCCGTACACGCTCGTTGAGCTGTACCGGACAGTCGAGCTCTTCAACCGCACCGTCCTCGCCCAGTTTGCCGCGGCCATCATGCGACGACCTTGGCTCGCGAACGAAGTGCGCAAGCTTGCTTTGCGGGATGAGGACACGATCGGTGAACTCGGAGACAGCGACGAGATCTTTTGGGAGACGACCGGACTTTTGCTCGGCTTTGGGCAGTTGAAGCGACGCACGAGCGCGAGGAGCAGCGTAGTGCGCTCATTTCGCTCATATGGATTGTGACGACGCCTTACTGATATCTGCAAACTCGCCTGTCCCACGCTCTCTTGTTGCGCAGGACGCCCATATCGCCCGAAGGACATCGTCGTCGGTGTCGGTCTTATCAAAGACATGCTGCGTTTGCTCGACCACCTCGTCGGCCTTGCCATCGAGGGTCTCTTCCTGTTCCGAACCCTTTTCGGACGCGACTTTCTCGAAGACAAACCCTTCCCTCGCGTCGCGACACTTCTGCTGACGAGGGACCTGTCCGAGGTCGGCTACGAAACTTTAGCGGATGCAGAGCTTCTGCACAACCTTCGCTGCCTGCCCAGGCTCGAGCAACTCAGCCTCCAGGGTGGTGAGACGGATCTGCCGGTGGATCTCCTGAACCTTGGCCCGCAACTTGCTGTACCAGCCCGCAGTCTCGCCCTCCAGTCTTTCACGATCATGGGTCACGATGTCCTCGGTTCCGACCTCCGCATCGCTCTTGCAGGTCTCTCGGACCATTTGCGGACCATCAAGATCGAAGCTTTGGAGGTTTACGCCGGCTTCATGCACGACCTCGCTCTGCTGCCGCCCTCCGTCACCGAAGTCGAGTTCATGATAGGCATACCCTGTCCTGACAGAGACTATAGCGAAACGCCGCCTAAGCTGGCAGATGTTGCCTGGCATCTCCCGAATCTCGCGTCTCTTCATCTCGCGGGCAACATTATCAACTCAGCGACCTTCGACCTGGTGTACAACTTGCCACGCCTCGAAGCTCTCGAGTTCAACTACCACACCGCCGTCGAAGCTCAACCCCTCCTCTCCCTTCTGCGCGGCGGACCTTCGACTTGGCCCCGCATCCGCCGCCTCGCTGTCTCCATCTGCCAATGTCCGCCTGAAGGAACGCCTTTCTCGCGCCGTCAACGATCCGACAAGCCGAACTGGCCGCCTCACTTCGGCGAAGCGGATGCAAGAGAGCTCCTTCGAATCTGTGATGCGAAGGACATAGCGATTGGGGGAACGGTCGTGTGTGCGTTCGGCGTTTGTGTCCCGGATGGGACGCATGGGTGTCCGGAGTGGGTCAAGGCCAAGGATGCGGATAAGGCGCTCATGAAAGGGAGGAGGAAGCGTATGTAGGCAACCGGACGCCTGAGACGAGATTACTTCACTACTTCTTCGTAGCTGCGTCGCTCCCCTTTGCTCGATCTCTGAACAATTGAGGAAAGCGAGCAATGTCGCCTGTCTTGAGAACACCTTTCGGTCGTTGACATCGAACATTGCCTGGAGCTTTCTACGCTCCGTCGCGCTTCCCTGGCTGGTCAGGTCTTTGCAACAGAGTCTTCAAGCCCCTTTGCAAGCCCCAAGCAAGCTCATCAGCCTCACGACGCTGTCGGGCCTGCTTGCGGTTAGACCCTCTCCTCATCTCGCAGCTCTCTTCCTCGTCCGCTTCTCTCGCTCCCAACTTGCTGCTGCTTTGACTGCTTTCAAGGCTTGAGCTACGGTCGGGCTACCATGACGAGGCGCAGGGCAGGTGCGTCGCGCGCTTCCGCGCTGTTCCCATCGTCATCAGTTCGATCAGTTGACATCGCTTCCATAGTGCGACACTACACGTACGAGCCCGAGGAGGACAAGGAGCAGGTTCCCACCGGGGGCAGGAAGGCAGCCCGAGGCGGCGAACTTGGCAAGACGAGGAACGGGACCGTCACAGCGCCTACCTCGAGGACCGAGTCGGCAGCAGGAGCGGTCAGGCGCGCACCGTCGAAACGCCTGCGAGGACTCGCTCCCGATGCTACCTCGACTCCTCTCAGCCCCATCCTCAGCAGCACCGCCCATCTTTCGCCCCGCAAGAGCCAGAAGAACCGCTCGACTGCGCAAGCTCGTCCTCCGCCGCCCGCTCCTCGCTCCCTCTCCCTCGCAGACCTCCCCGCCGAGATTCTCGAGCGCATCGGCGAGTACCTGCTCCCCGTCATCTCGCCGAGCTGGCCGGACGGATCGAGGACGATGTCGAAGGAATGGACCGGCCGCGTCAAGGACCTGCTCGCGATGAGGTCGACTTGCAGGGCGACGTGGACGGGCCTCTCGGCTCTCGTGCATCGCTGCTGGGGCGTTTGCATGCAAGAACCGGCCTCCGAAGGTTCTGCAGCGTCCCCCCTGGACACGATTGTCAAGGGGAGGGGCCGGGAAGCATTCGTCGTGCCCGCCAGTCGCATCCGCCAGTTCAGCGTGAGCCTGACCCCTGACGGTATTGCGACAACGGAGCTGCGGGTGCCCAACTTCGACAACGACCTCAGGCTGCTGGACAGAATGGTCCACATGTATCGCCTCGAGTCCTTCGCCTACGTTTACAGCGACGAAGATCGGGTCGTCGAGCGTTCGCCGTACCAGACCAAGGTTATCGAGATTGGTGTCCTCGAAATCCTCGCAGAGCTGCCGCTCGTGCGAGACTTGTACTTCTGCGGCGTCCGTTTCGAGGGCGACCTTGCCGAGGCGCTCAAGGATGTCCCTAGCGATGAAGAGGACGAGTCCATCGACGGCGAGGGTGACGACCACGATAATCTTTCGACCGACGACGAGATGTCCTGGGCGGACAACGAGACGCCGTTCCCCGCCCTCCGCCGGATCACCCTGAACACCTGCGACGACTCGATGCTCCAGCTCCTCCGCCTCAACCTCCCTCTCGAAGAAGTCCGCATCTGGCGCGACTTTGCGACGCCGCTCAATGTTCCGGCGCTCGCGGACTGGTGGCCGCCCTCGCTCTGGCAGACCGTCGAGGAAGTCGATGTCGTCGGGATGACGGGAGTAACTGGACGCCGCGTGCTTGATGAGTGGCTCAACAGTCTCATCGTGCGTCACGACGTTCTGGACTTGTCCCTCACACTCAACGCTGACGATTGAGCGTCACGCAGCTCACCCGCTCGCTCCAGCCGCCCGTCTTCGTCCCCCTCCGCTCGCTCCGCATCTCCGAGCCGCACGACCTCTCGGTCGTTCGCCGCGACGTCCTCCTCTCGTTCGCTCTCCTCCCGCAACTCCACCACCTCACCTTCTTCGTCTGGAACGAGCGTGCGTTCGGCCCGAGCCTCGTCAAGGAGATCCACGAGGCGTTGCCGGACCTCGAGGAGCTCGGTATCGGGCTCGAGTCGGAGCAGCTGAGTTGGTGGCAAGGCTCGCTCGTGCGTGGCCGGCACTTCTTCTCGCTAGGTGTAGTAGCTGACGACGTGCACTGCCCTACAGCACGACTGGAGCACGGCACTCGCCTTGTTCCGTAACTTGCGCGTCTTTACGTGGAACTACTCGCCTGTGAGTCCGCGCCTTTCTCGCAACTAGCGCTCTTCCTTCGAGAGAGCATAAAGCTGACCGCTCTTCTCGCACAGTACGCCGACCTCGACTTCGACGACACGCGCCGCTACACCACGCCCCTCGTCCGCTCGACCTTCTTCCCGCAACTCCCGAACCTTGTTCAACTGCGATGGTTCGGCCACTTTCTCCACCTCCGCCGCGACGCCTCGACGGGCTGGTGGAACTGGTTCGATGACGACCACAGGATCGTCCCGCCTTTGCCGGCGTGGGCGGAAGAGCGACTCGCTGCCAAGGTGGTCAAGGTTTGGTCGAGCAGCTCGACCAGCAACGCGAAGCAGTTCGGCATCCGCACCAAGCCACGCCAGCCGCTTGCGGAGCTCGACATCGCCTTGCGAGACCCGAATTCGCCCTCACTGTACACGGAGGACTCGTCTTCGGGGGCTTCAACCTCGTCTATCGCTGACTGGCTCGAAGACGCCCCTGAGTTCGAGGAGCAGTATGGAATGGCGAGGAGGAGCGAGACCTCGATGCTTGACAGGCTGAGGGCGACGAAGGCGGCGGAGAAGGGGAAAGGCAGGGCGGCGGCGGAAGAGGAGGAGGGTCAGGAGACGTTCTGGTCGGATGAGGAGGCGGGCGACGACTCGGGCTTCGTTGAGGCGGCCAGGCACTTGGAGACGGAGGGTTGGAGCAACGAGGAGTGGTAGTCGGTCGAGGCGGAAGGGAAGGAAGGAGGGAGATCGTCGCTTTGGCTTCACATCTCGTCTTGGGTTCTTCACACTCGCTTGTTTCGTGCTCTCTCACGCATCAGCTTTGCGCACAGTTTGTGTTGTTATCTCCCCTCACTCGCATCCAGCGCTTTGCAACGCATCTTGGCATCCACCTCAGTCCTCGCTCGAGAAGGCCTTTTCTCGTCCTCGCCGAAGTCCCGCTTGCTCTCTCTTCGTCGAACATCTGTACGTGCGAGGATGAGGACGACACAGAATGCAAACATGCACAAGCTGTCCTGCGCGATTCCACCTCCAGCCATTCCGAAGGGAGAAAAAGGGAGGGAACCGTCGGCGAGAGAGACAGCAAAAGGGAGAGCGTCAACTACAAAGCGCTGGGTAAAAGCGAGGAAAGACGAAGATCATGCGAGTGCGGTAGGGATGCGGAACAAGCGGAGAGGGAGAAAAGCGGGTCAAGCGAGGCGTGCTGTCGACGACCTAGTGCATCGGGTCTCCACGAAGGCGGCGGGCGAGTTGCATGTCTGTACGCGCGGGGTGAGCGCGCAGCTGGGAGAGATAGGAGAAGCGCAACGTACCCTTTGGCTGGATGGTGATACGCTTGGCATGGATTGCGCAGAGGTTCGTGTCGGCGAAGAGGTCGGCGAGGCTGCGAGCAGCGGCGAAGGAGTGCGTCAGTCACCGTTCCTGTCGACCCTGAGCCGCTTCCACAGACAGCGATGCGGGAAACAGGACGCACTAGTCTTCGGCCGCCTCCTGGAGGGCTTGAAGCGCCGAAGCTTGCCAGCGCATCGTCTGCGCGAAGTTGTCGCAGATCTCGCGGCAGAGGCGCTGGAAGCTGCGAGCGGTCGATCCAGTCCAGTCAACAAGGATTGGCGAGAGGGCACGAAAAGGGCGGCGAGGAAAGAGAAAAGGACGCGTACGGGAGCTTGCGAATGAGGAGCTCGGTGGTCTTCTGGTACCTGCGGATCTCCCTGAGCGCGACAGTGCCCGGACGGTAGCGGCGGCGCTTCTGCGTTCCCTCTGTGAGCGAGTGAGCGGTCAGGAGGGCCGACGAGGCGAACAACTGGAGCGACTCACTCGGCGCCTTGAGGCTCTTGACGCTCTTGCCGGCCGGACGCTTCTTGCCACCCGTCGAGCCACCAGGCGGCCTGATGGCCGTCTTGTGCTTCGGCTGCGACTGCTTCTGGCGCATGATGGGAGAGTTCGAGCTGGCGCGAGGAGCGAACGAGGCGGCGTGCGCTTCGAGCAGGCGGTTCAGTAAGGCAGTAGTAGCAGCTGGAGATGCGCTGCAGCCCTTCAAACCGAGAGAGTGAGCAGTTGCGAGCGAGTCGAGTGTGTAAGAGGCCAAGCGAGCGAAGTTGGCCTTTGGACGCGATGTCAACGTCGAGAACCTCGCTCGTGAGCTCGAATGCTGAGCTGGAGCAGCTTCTGAGCACGTGTACATGGCGCTGGGTCCAGCCAGAACGAATGAACGACGACGAGGCGCCGCACCGACCTCCTTCTCCCCTCGCCTCCTTACTCGACCTCATACCAGCTTGATCACTGCTCTAATCGCGTTGCTGAATAGCTCGCGGCCTTCAAGTCGAGTGTATGGTCGCTGCGCCCGGCTGGCGCGGACTGCAAGTGCCGAGGACTCGAGGACAGCCTCCTCCTCCTGCGAACTGATGAGGCGGCATACGGCAGACACCATGGCTGGAGGATGGATGCGGGCGGCGTAGATACGATGAGGAGACCTCAAGGGGACGCACATGCAATCGCCGCTGCATCTCGCGCGGCGGGAGCGGCCGCTCGCCATCCCTCGAAGGGGGGACCGGTGTCGGACGGGGTGACGGGGGCACGGCTGGCTGAAGCGGGAGTGAAACCTGGCGTGCCTACACACGCTGTAGATCACCGAATGCTCTAGGTCTCCCATCGACCGGCGGACAGGCAGAGGGCGTCCTCAATCTCGCGGTCGTCGAGACTCGGCGGATGCTCGATCGGCTTCACCTGCCGAGCGCAGGGCGATCAAGCGCAGCTGAGACGTCCTAAAACTGCTCGTGGCAGCCACGCCAGGCGAGGAACGCAGCGCCGTCTGGACGGAACGGGCAGGTCAGGTCTCGGCGGCTGCGCCTTCTTCCTTCGGCTCGTCGTCTGGTCACCGCGAAACTTCTCTGCCATTGTCCTCTCTCACTCGCCCTTCATCCTCTTTCATTCCTCGCACCCGCTCAGATCTCTTTCCCCTGCTTCTTTTCGCCCGGCGCTGTCTTCGTTGATCGCAGACCGCCCGTCAAGCCTTCTCGACCCTCATCACCTCCCTCGTCTCCTGCGTCGACCAGACCTCGATCGGTCATCGTCGCACTCCAGCCTGCTAGCAGGACCTCGCACGCCTCTTCCCTTCCCCTCGCACGCCTTTCCAGCCGCTGTGCGGTGCCCTCCGACTCGACTTCCACCGCTTCTCCGCCTTCTGTGAGTGCTGGAGGTCTCGTGTCAAGCGGAGCAAGCTGACCATGTCCTCTGTCGCCAGTCCCCATCATCATTTATTATTATGAGCGACGAATCCTCTGCGGCCATCGACGCCATGTTTCAAGAGGAGGTCTCCGCCTCGACCGCCCTTGTCGAGGAGAACGCACGCCTGCGAGCCCTCTTCGCCGAACGGGACGCCACGAACGGCTCTAACGACGCCAGCGCGCTTCTCGCTCAGCTCGAGGCGGCAAAGGCGGAGAAGGAGGCGCTCGCGACACAGGTCCGCGAGTTGCGCGAGGCACAGGTCGCCTCCGTCGCGCTTGAGGACCAGTCGAGCGAAGTCTCCGTCCTCCGCTCTTCGCTGGCCGATCTCGCCCTCCAGCTCGAAGCCGAGCGAACGCGGGCAGCAGAGTCCGAGGCTCGTCGTCGTGAAGAGGAGGAGAAGGTCAACACGCTTCGCGCCAAGGTCGAGGAGTCTCGCCGCGCCATCATGCGCCTCCAGAACGAGGCGAATAAGAGGCCGTCTATCGACCAAGGCTACTCATTCCCGCCTCGTCGCAAGTCGTTCCTCGTCGACTCGGCCATTCCCCGTCGGAGATCGTCTCTTGGCCTCAACGCTATCGCTGCGTCCCAAGCAGCTGGCGACGTCAAGGACACTAGCAACCCGGGCTTGGGTCTCGCCGTCGAGTCGCCTCTCGCCCCGCCCATCTCCCTCCTTTCGACTAGTCCGAGTCGCACGTCTACCGCAACTCCGCTCGCTCGTCTCGCTCACCACCGCGGCTCCGCCAGCATCGCCATCCAGGCAGACGGGCTCGATGACGACGACCAGCGTCTCTTCCGGCTGCGCGAACTCCGCCTCGGCGTCCACTCGACAAAGATTGCCAGTCGCCGCAACTCTGCAGTCTCTGGCCTGCCCGACTTCTTCCAGCCCGAAGACTTCGAGTGGGACCTCGAGCGCAGCCTGGCGCGGCGGGCGAGCGCGTGCTCGATCTCTCGTCGTCTCGGCGTGGACCCCGATGGTCCTCCCTCTGCCAACTTCCGCATGCTCGGCCGCAAGAACTCGACTGCCGTCTTCGAGTCGTGGAGTCGCAGGTCGTCTTCCGCCGACTCGATGTGCAGCCTTCCTACCGACCCCTCGCACGCCTCACCCGAACACCTCGCCAACCTCAAGCTTCAGCTCGAGGGTCTCAAGATCCAGCTTGCAGAGGCTGAGGAAGGCCGACGCGCGTCCGAGGCTTGCTTACGAGCGCTGAAGGACTTCATCGCGAGCGGCTCGACAGGCGAAGCGCCCATCTCGCTGCCGCCCTTGCCGACCGACCCGTCCGCCGACTGCTACGGTGAAGGTGCAGAGTGCCCTCCTGCTCCCAAGGCCTCGTCGTCGCGGTGGTCCATTCCTCGCCTGTCTTTCAGCAGCCAGCGTCGCGAGTCAACCGCCTCCTCCCTCCGCCGCACCTCCACCACTTCGACAGCTTCCGCCGCCACCTTCCTCGACAACCGACCAACACCCTCACTCCCTTCGTTCGGTGCATTCTCCTTCTCCGCTCTCGTCAACAAGTCGTCTGCGACGCTCGTCGACGGCGACACCTCCCCGCGCATGTCCCGCCCTGCCACTCTCACCCCGTTCTCCTCCAACCATGAAGAGACGTTCCCGACCGAGCCCTCGCCCCTCCTCTCTAGCGGCTCATCCGTCCGGTCACGACGCGTCGGCCACTCGCCCTCCGCCTCACTCGACGACGCAGCGTCGATCGCCCCTTCGCTCGTTTCGGACCTCTCGTCGTGCGGCACGTCGTCTCGCTCAGCTTCGCCCACACATGAAGACGAGGACGACGAGCAGCTCGACGCCTTCCAGCGCTCGCCTCGCGTCGTCATCGACTTTGTCGACGACCAAGAATTGCCGTTCGTCTTCACGCCCGATGCGGAGTACGCGTCGCAGCGAATGGTTGTCGAGGCATCGCGGATGCCGGTCGTCGTCGAGAAGAGCAGCCTGACGACTCTATCGAGTATCGGGGGGAGGACGACAGGGCTGGGTTTGCACTGATTGTGCGCGTATGTATCGGAAGTTTGGGTTGTGCCCCGATGTGACATATCTTGTAGCGGCGTGTAGCATTCTCGCTTGACTCGGAATCCACGAAGTCTCTCATACTCGGACGCGCAGTGGAGGAAAGCGAGAGAAGCGCTCTTCAAGCATCTACTTGCATCGCTGCTTCTCCTGCGTCTACTGTCGCTGCCTCTGCTGCTGGATCTGGTGCGCCGTTCGCCGCTGCAGCAGGTCCCTCAGGCTCTTCTGGCGGCGCTGGTGGAAGCGCGCCGTTCTGCTGAGGCGAGCTGACGGCGGCTGGCGGTTCTTGAGCGGAGAGGGCGGCGGGAGTCATCCAGATCTTGATGACAGGGTCCTGCAGGCGAGAAGTAGATCAGTCAGCCCACGTGTTCCAGCACCCAGCGGCGCTACGGGAGCTACTGCCTCCGGAAGCGCGCAATCGGCGGACGGGAGGGCTGACCTTCTCGAGCGCGCCTGTCGCTAGGATGCCTTGAGTTGGGTGGTGAGCGACAGCCATGACCACATCTACGGAGGTACGAAGCGGCAGCGTCAGTATCGACGATGGAGGGCAGGCGGCTCGATGCAACGCGCAGTGCTCGCTGGGGCGCAGAGTTGCAGCGAGAGGGGCAAGGCCGCAAGCTCACCTTTGTGCGCGATCCAAGAATTGACGATCTCGCGCGTCTGGATGTCCCAAACCACGACCTTATGGTCCTCCGAGCCGGCGACCAGGTATCGTCCGTCGGCGGTCACGACCGCTGGGATGCAGTATCTGTGCGAGGCACATAGCGGTAAACGCAGCGTCAGTCAGAGCGTCTTCGAGCATCGCAATCAACTCCGCGCTGTCGCAAACGACTCACTTGCGGTTGACGTGACCCGTGTAGGCTTTGACCACCTTGTCCGCCTGATAGTCCCACAGCCGGATGGTCGAGTCGAGTGTCGAGGTGAAGAGGAACTTCGAGTTGGGCGTGAAGCGGACCGAGGCGATGGGCGCGTTATCTTCGTTGACGAGCGTCTTGAGGCATTGTCCGGTCGAGGTGTCCCAGATGCGGCTGTGAGCGCGAGTGGTCAGCAGAGCGAGAGTGATGAGGCGAGCTGGACGCACAAGTAGCCGTCCCAGGAGCACGAGACGATCATCGTTCCGTCTCGACTGAACTGCATCGCGCTGACCGGATCCGAGTGCGCCTGCAAAACCCGCAACATCCGACCTGTGAGCGGGGAGTCGTCAGCCGCAGCTTATGGTGGTGTGAACGAATGCACGCACCCTTCTGCACATCCCATACCCGCACCGTCTCGTCCATCCCGCCGCTCGCGACCAAATCTCCCCGTGGACTCCACGCGACGCAGAAGACCGCGGTCAAGTGACCCTGCAGTACTCGCGCAGATCGCTCGCCCTTCTCTGCGCTCGGATCTGGACCCGTCGAGGGCTGGAGGATGTGCGGCGTGATCTCCCATATCCGCACGCTGCGGTCGTCTGAGGCGGAAGCGAGGAGGGTCGAGTCAGCGGAGAAGGCGACGTCTGATACACCGCCTGTATGCAGGCTGAAGGTACGATGGAGGCTGAAAGAAGGGAGGGAATGCAGGTGTATAGGCGAGTCGGCGGCTGGAGAGCGGGAAGGAGGGGGGTTAGCAAAAGCTGGACGATGAGGAGGACTCGCACGCACATGCAGACGCCATCCAACGACCATCTGGACTGAATCTGACTGCCGAAATCGACTTCTTGTGCCCTTCAATCGTGAAGCGGAGGGAGTAGTCTGGTCGTCCTGGCCCTTTGACTGCTTCTCCCGCACCGTTGGCCTGAACCGCCGCTGCCACCGCCGTGTCGTGCGCTCTGGCAGGGCCGTCTGTCCGAAAGAGCTCCTCCTGTCGCGGTGTCACCGCTCGTGCACCCTCATCAGTTGAGGGAGAGTCGAGTCGAGGTCGTTTGGCGGCACGCGCTTCTGGCGCGTCTGGCGGGGCGTGAAGTGGAAGCGTAACGTCTGAAAGGCCAGCAGACGGCGCGTCCAGGCTCATTCGAGCTGTGTGTGCGGGAGGCAGCGAGTGTCGCGAGGCGAACCCTCTCTTTCGCTCCGTCAAGCACCTCGACGATGGCAGAACCGCCTGCTACGCCGCCTGCCGAGCTCGTACAGCAGCTAGAGAGCTATGCCACGGCGCCAGGTCCTCCCGACCAGCTTGTCCAGCTCCTACGCCCTCCTCGTCTCGGCTTGCGCTCCACTCCTTCCCTCAGGTGCGTCCTGCTCCATAAGGCCTTGTCGAGCCCAGCTGACCGAACATGAAACAGACGAGATTACGGCGGCTGCACCGGCTTCTGGCCAAGCCTGGAAAAAGTCTGGCAGGTCGAAGCAGGACGGCTTGAGCAGGACGAGAAGGACTCTATCCCGGCTGTGACGGCTTTGGCAGCGTTCGTGCTCAGTCTGTGCACTGCGAACGAAGTGAACCAGGAGTCTGCGCTGTGCGTCTGTCCGGTCCCCGTCTTCCGAAGCGCAGCTGACCTCGCCAATCCGCAGAACGTACATCGAGCCGCACCTTCGCCGCATTCTCTTGGCTGCTTCTTCGCTCGTGAACTTCGAGAATGGCGAATGTAAGTCGACTTATCGCCTCAAGTCCACGGTGGATTGACGGACGACTCGCAGACACCACTATGACCCGGGTTTGCTGTCAAACGCTGGCCAACCTCGTCACTGCGAACGATGGCATCGGTGGGCGGTACTTCTCGCAGCGGTTGAGGGATGAAGAGGAGGACAAACTGCTCCAGTGAGTCAACCGGTGCTAATCCGAGACGTTAGCTCATACTCTCTTCGCGCAGACGCCTACTCGCCTCGCCCGATCACGGTACACTCCAGGCGGTCCTCATCTTCCTGCTCAACTCAATCCACGACAACCGAGAACGAGCGTACGTCCTGCTCAATTCCGTGCATCGCGCTCGCCGGCATTCCTGATCAACTTTCGCCTCCGCAGCATGCTACTTGCGACCACACCAGCTGGGGCAGCCATTCTCGACCGACTGATGGTACTCGTTGGCGCACTCTTCGAAGGCGAGACGGCCGAAGGCATCGCGCACGGCGAGTTCACCTCCGACATTTTCCAGATCTCGTGAGCCCTCGTGTCCTGCGCCTTGCTTTCGAACGCTCATTCTGATGGCCCGTGCAGCTTCGCCATCATCCAGCAACTCATCTCGCTCGAGGCGTTCGTCCCTGCTTACGAAGGACACGCCCTGTTCGTCCAGCTTACCGAAGTCTCGCCGAGTCTCCGACTGATCCTTCATGCTCCCCTAGGATGCCCGGCTTCTCTATCTCTCCGACCCTAGTCACCATGCTCAAGTTCCTCGACGGTCACCTCTCGCTCGCTGGACAAGCAACCACGCCCTCCTCTCTCGCCCTCGTCCCATTCCTCATCCGCCAGCTCATCGCGCTCGGCACGAGCGTCATGGAGCAGAAGGAGCGAGCGATGGATGCAGCGGACGCAGCGACGTTCCAGGGCGTCGTGCTCGTCTTGCATTGCTTGGTGTCGATTGGGCTGGCGCTGGATAGTCAGGAGGAAGGACAGAGAGTCGAGGCAAGAGAAGAAGCGGAGAGCAAGATGGTGAAGGGTGTCGAGGCCGTTGTCCGTACGTCCGGATCTCCACAGGACTTGCAGGCAGATACTGACCGCTTCGGCTCGCATCGCAGGGCTACTACGCTTCTCGCAAACCCTCATGCCGCCGCCAACGCCTCGTCTGACGCCTCCAACGTCTAAGAACGGCACAGACGCCGCTTCCACCGCCATCTCAGACACATCGTCGGCCCCAACACCGTCGCCCGAAGTTTCCGCAGCCGTCGCGCAACTGCAACGCCTCTCCGCCCAATTCCTCGGCATCGTCTCTTTCATCCCTCCTGCCGGTGTTACGTATACCATGAAAGCACGGGCAAAGGCGGTGCAGGACAAGGTGCGAGAGTGCGGAGGGCTGGAGCTGTTGCTCAGCATGTGCCAGATTGACGAGCGGAATCCGAGTGAGTCTGCCGTTTCGCCGGTGGCCTGCCTGAAGCTCAAGCTGACATTCTCTTGCGCGCGAAGCTATGCGCGAACATGCGCTCTTTGCGATCCGCAACCTCCTGCGGAATAACCAGACGAATCAGGACTTTGTGTGCGTGCCCAAGCTCTCCTGTTCTGACACGCAATGACTGAGCTAGCCTACGACCATGCAGGGACGGTATGAAGCCGCAGTACCGAGTTGGAGCAAACGGCGAGCTGTTCGACCTGCCGCCTGCTCTGCGAACGGGGTGAAGAAACGCAGCGATGCAAGCCGGTCTTGTCCAAATCTTTTAAGCGCAACACGAGAGTGCAGCAAACTCGCTACCAACCGCTAAAGTCGCCAAACCCTCCGCCCGCCCGCTTCTTCTTCCTTGGTGCACCCGCATCCGGCTCACCCAGCTGCCGCACCAAATCGCCCTCTCCGTCGTCCAGCGGGTCCTTCCGCTTCGACCCGGCGCCGGCGATCGGTGCTGGTGCTGCCGACGAGAGGTACTTGCCGACGCCTGCTGAGGACGAGCCGCCGAGTCCTGCGAGGTCGCCAGCCGGTTTCTCAAGGTTCGTGCCGAACCAGCTGCGCGCGTGAGAAGCGTCAGCCGCAGCTCGTGAGGAGAGTGTGAACTCGCACGCACGTCGTCCGATCCTTCTCCCTCTCAGCCTTTCTCCGCGCCCGCTCTCCCCGTCCCTCCCTCTCCTCCTGCTCCCGCTTCAACCGCTTATCCAGCCGGCCCTTGTAGTCCTCGAAGGGGTCACCAAACACCTCGACGTCGAGCAAGATGACGGGTTTGAGTGGTCGATCTGTCGCCGGGTCGATCGGGACGCGCTCGAGCTTGTCGAGGACGTCTTGGCCTCCGACGAGGCGGCCGAAGACGGTGTGCTTGCCTGCGGGCGCACTTCGAGTCAGTCTTTGTCTGTGATTGAGGAGACTGCGCGGACGCACCGTCGAGATGGCTGCACTGATCGCGGAAAGTGACGAAAAACTGGCTGCCGTTCGTATTCGGCCCGCTGTTCGCCATCGACAGGGTTCCTCGCTGGTCGTGCTTGTCTGAATATGCCTGCGTCAGCTCCGAGCGTACCATGCATGCTTGAGACGAGACTCACGGGCGTTGCGAGCGTTGTACTCGTCCTCGAACGGCTTGCCCCACCGTGATTCGCCTCCTCGTCCAGTACCAGTCGGGTCGCCTCCTTGCAGCTACAGAGGAACGATTCGTCAGAGGAGGAAGCACGAGGGTGAGACCTGTTCGGCACACCATGAAGCCGGGGATCAAGCGGTGAAACTTGACGTTCTGGTAGTATCCGTCTCGGGCGAGCTGCGGGCGTTACGAACCAAGATCAGTGAGACGTGACAAAGGGATTGAGGATAGCGCACGCTGAGGAAGTTGTAGCACGCCCGAGGCGCGACATTCGCAAAGAGCTGCAAGGTCGATGGGTGAGCATGAGTCGGCACCAGGAGCGAAACCCCTGGCGTACCTCGAAGTTGAGCGAGCCGAAATTCGTAACCTGCAGATCGTAGGCAGCGAGCAGGCGTCAATTCATGCTCTTGCGCGATTGCGCAGCACGACCCACCATCCTCGCATACCCCTTCTCTCCCCTCTTCTGCACCTCCTCGTACATCAGGTACTCCTCGTCCCACAACGCGTTCTGGCTCTTCGTCGATACGGTTTGCGCGGTCGAGGTGAAGGCGGCGGCGGTGCGGTTGTTCGAGATCGGCGCTTGGTTGTATGGAACGGAGGAAGAGGTGACGGCTGATTTGGTAGGGGCAGGCTTTGCGACGGCCTGCAGTAGGTTATCAGCCGGTGTCGCCGCACGAGCAGGCGTGGCGAGACGCACCTTCTCCGTCTTCTCCTTGTCCTCTGCCTTTTTCGTCTCCTTCCCCTGCCCGATCGTCTTCAGTAACCGCCCAATGCCGCTCGCCTCGACATTGATACCGCTCAGCGCGCCCTCCTCCGTCTCGACCTTGAGAGCCCGGCGGACATAGTCGAATTTGGAGACTGAGCAGGGCGTTAGCGGCGGATCAGTCGGGAAGAGAAGCGAAACGCTCACCATCCTTCTTGTCCAGGTTCAGAGGGTCTTGCAGCGTGATGATGTCCTTGCGCGTGAAAGGCTCATCCGTCAAGAGCTGCAGGTCCGGGCAGGTCAGCCAGACGGCGTAGACGGACAACTAGCTCGCACGCACATCGTGCATGTTCTTTGGCTTGAGATTCAGGCGGTCAATCGAGTCGCGGGCGTACACGTTCCCGGTGGTCTTGATGGCAGCGATGGCGGCGTGGTCGTTGAAGACCTTAAAGGTGATCGGGTCATGGTATTGCTGCCGAGGGAGCTCGCGTTAGTACGCAGTCGCATGAGCTAGAAGTAAGCTCCGACGCACACCCTCGTTGTTTTTCGCAAAGTTGAGGCGGATCAAGTCTCCCGGAGTGAGCTTCTTGCCCGTCATCGGGTCCGTCCCATGTTGCCGGATGAACGGGATGATAGCCATCAGCTCGTACACCGATCCTTCATCGGTGCACACGGGCGTGTCGAAAGGCTTGAGCGTGAGGGCGCAGTGGTCGAACGGGACCTTGGCGAAGACTTGGTTCTTTGCTTGAGCGCCGCGTGACGAGGCCGAGTGCTGGCCAAGGGCGCCCGAGTGTTCCGCCTGCGCCGTTGATCCGTCCACGTGGAGGTAGGACGGGACAGCCAAGTGGCGGGAGGTAAAAGAGAGGGGAGGGGAGGAACACTCGAAGTCAGTTCCGCATCAGCAGCTCGAGGTGGGGGACTGGACGCACATGAGTAATGTACAGCCTGTCGCTGTTGCCGTGACCCATTCTGGCTGTCCCTGCTGTTGTTCAGCGGCGAGTTGCGGTCGAGAGAGATGAAGGTGGAGAGACGGGGAGAACAAGCGAGTGGGGCCTTCGAGCGCGTGCAGACCGGTTCAGGGCAGCTCAAGAGCTCGACCTAGCGCACTCTCAGCTTTGAACAAGCCCAGCGAGCGTGTTGGCGTGAGTGGACGACAGCCAACCTCTCTCTGGACTCGTCCACTCGCTGCCTCTCGCTTGACTTGCTTGCTGTGCTGCCAGTGCTGCTACGATGGACCCAGCAATTGACACGGGCTTCGACGAGGGCGTCCAGGAAACGCCCAACGCCGTCAACCCGACCTCGCTCGAGTCCGACGCCTACGGGTCGCGCATGCCGCCAGAGCTGTACCCGGCGGGCGCGCCTGAAGAGCCTGCAGCCGCGAATCAGGTGCCTGGGCAGGATGCGGCGGACGTCGTCGCAGCTGCGGGTGCGGACGCCAATGCCGGAGTGTCGCAGCCAGACGCCGTCGACGAGCTCCCTGTCCCGCCCAAGGAGTTCACGGAGGCTGGAGGGGCTGGAGTAGACGCGATGGACGAGGACGAAGACATGGGAGACGATCTCTTCGGCGACGGTGGAGACGAGGACGAGGACGAGGACGAGTGCGTTCCCTTTCCCCCACTTTCGAGCTGGCATTGCTGCAGGGGCACAGATGGGAACGTCAGACTGACGAGACATCACTTTACTCGCAGTACCATGGCGCAGGACCAGCCCGCCGCGAAGGAGGAGCCTGAACAGGCTGCGGAGGAGCAGGAAGCGGACGACGGCTTGACTGCCGAGGAGCGCGCACGCCGCAAGGCTCTCGAGTACGAGGAGGAGGACTACGGTGGTGGAGTGGACGACGAGACGGCGCACCAGATCATCACGCACGACGAGCTCATCGCCAACATCCCGCTCGCGAACCTCTCGGTTCCCGCAGGCGGAAAGGTCTGGCACGCCAAGATGCCCAACTTCTTGCAGCTCAAGACGACGGCGTTCGACGAGGCCAAGTGGTCCCCGGAGGAGGAGGAGGCTGAGACGGAGAGCCAGGGGCGACCGCCGCTTCCTGACGAGAATACGATTCGGTGGCGGTGGACCAAGGACGAGCTGGGTCAGGTGGTGCGTACAAAGCGCGATGCCCTCAACGTAGGTCTCAAACTGATGCCGTGCTCGCCGCAGATCAAGCAGTCGAACGCCCGCATCGTCCGCTGGTCCGACGGTTCCCTCTCCCTCCAGCTCGGCGCCGAACTCTTCGACATGTCGCTCTCGCTTGACCACTCGGCCGTCATGACCGCCTCCGCCGCTGCCGGCCTCCCCATCCCTCCCGCCATCAACCCCGTCACCGCCGGCCTCACCGCCTCCTCCTTCGACAGCTCCCGCGGCCACGGCCTAACCTACCTTACCGCGCGACACACCTACAACGGCCAACTGAGCGAGGCGCAAGCATCAGTACACGGCAGCATGTCGTTCCGCCCTGCGACGCTGACGAGCAACACGCACAAGCGACTTGCAGGCTCGATTCGCGGACGACTGAACGATGTCGATGCGAAGCGCAAGGTCAAGATGCAGGACTTGCCGGCTATGGATCCTGAGCGGCAGAGGCTGGAGAAGGAGAAGGCTGCGCAGGAGAAGGCGAGGAAAGCCCGCAAGGAGGCTGCCAAGGCCGAGGGTGGCAGGAGGAGCGGCGGACGCAGGTCGAAGAAGGCGACTAAGATCGAGGGGTTGGACTTGTCGGACGATGAGGACGAGGACGAGGACGCGTACGGGGGATACGGCACGCGGTCGCAGCCGAAGCGGGGCAAGGGTGGGCCTTTGGCGCGAGATTACTCGGACGACGACGATGGTTTCTTGGCCAAGAGCGACGAGTGCGTCTAGATGTTCGTTTCGGGCGCTTGCGGGACTTGGCTGACCTTCCTCACGTTCGCAGGGAGATGGAGGTCTCGGGCGACGAGGAGGAGATCGAAGCAGTCGACGCAGCCGCCGAGCGGGAAGAGCGCCGTCGCAAGGACCGCCGGAAGTCACGAGCGGAGGCCGACTCCGACGAGGATGACAGTGGTGGAAAGGACGAGGAGGAGCAGGCAGCGGCGCCGAAGCGGAGGATGGTCGTCGAGTCGGACGAGGACGAGTGACTGAAGCGTGTCGCGTATGTACAGTTGCATATGCATTCGAAGTTGCACCTCCATCGTCGCTCACGTTGCAGAGGCTCTTGTTGCGGTCAGGGCGCGGCGGTTTCAGCGAGAGGTGCACATGCTTTCGACTCGAGTCTCTTTCATTGGGTCGCAGGGAGTATCGGGCGGCAATGTCTGTGTACTGCAGGAGAAGGGAACTGTAGGAGGAGGAGCGAAGGTGTCTATGGGATAAATCGTCGAAGGACAGGTCGAGAAGCGAGACCAGCTCGTTCCGCCTGCAACATGAGGTCTCCGTTCGTGACCCTTCACATCAAGACGACCGCAACTCCGACAGTCCCGCCCAGCAGCGCCGCACTTCCCATCCCGACCCACTTCCCTCCCGCTCCATTCGTGTTCTGCGTGTCTACCGATCCTGCGTTCCCGCTGCCCGCCGTGGATCCCGCTCCACTACCCAACAAGCTTGTCGCTTGTCCTGCGAGAGCCGAGAGGGTGGGGTTGGCGGCGAGGAAGGAGGAGACGTCGGCGTTGCCCATGGCGGAGTTGAGGAGTGCCTCGGCGGAGGAAGCGGCGCCGGCCTGCGAAAGCGTTTGCTCAAGGTCAGCGCGACGTTCTTAAGTCCAGAGAGGATGCCGAACGCACAGGATTGGCAACAGCGCTCGAGACAAGACCCTGAATCTGTGACCCATACTGACTCGTGAACGACGCGACAGCCGTCGGTATGCTCGCTCCATTGGCGAAGCTCTCGACCGCCGAGATCCCATCAGCGAGTCCGCCGCTCGCTTGACCCAGGAGCGACGTCGCGGCGGCAGCGGCGGACGCGGTGTCGATTCCTGCGAGGGCGGAGGTCGCTTCGGCGGCGATGGCTGCTGTGTCGGGCGATTGAGCTGCAAGGGTCGAAGAGCGTCAAGCACGACGCTTGGAAGGCCGGACGCGTCGAAAGGAGAGCGACAACACGCACCTGTTGCGGAGAGTGCAAGGAGGAGGGGAGTTACGAAGGTCACGGAGCGCATCGTGCGAGTTGTTCGTGCTTCGGGGGGAGCTGGCTAAGCAGTGAATGGGAGGTGAGAGAAACTGAGCAGACGAGCAGAACGAAGGGTACGCGTCTTCGCAGCGTTCGCGTAAAGAGGAGGGTCGTTCTAGCGCAACGGTCGACGAACGTCGAGTGCGGAATGGAACCGGCGTTGCGAGGGGGAAGTCTGCGCGCTCGGTTGCTCTTGTGGCTCTCATGCGAAGCCTTGACGCGACGAGCGGAAAGGCGGGCAGAAGTCGCAGGCGAAAGGACAGCGAGGCGCCGAACTCGCACAAGTCGGCGACGACCGGCGTGAGGAGTCGATGCGATATGTACTGAATTGCGGCGCTACAGCGGTACTCAAGTGTGCGCGATCTTGTGATGGTGAGTTGGTGGAGGAATGAAGGCGAGACGGTAACGAATGGTCCGATGCGGGCGCGTTTTGCGAGATTGCTCAAGGCATCTAGAGGACGGCGACGGCTCCGACGGCCATTCCAGCGACAACGGCGAGCGAGCCGAAGAAGCCGGGCGAGAACGTCGAGAGGGAGACAGCGGCCGAACTGGGACCAGACGACGACTGGGCGCCTCCCGAGCTGCCCGTGGCGGATCCGCCAGCTCCTCCAGCGCTGCCGCTGCCGCTTCCGCCAGCTCCGCCGGCACCGGCGAGGCCGAGGGCGCCTTTGGCGAGGGCAGAGAGAGAGGGGTTGGCGTAGACGTAGCTGAAGATGCAGGACCGAGGATGACGGGAGTAACACGAGGAAAGGCGACGGTACGATGGGGACGTCAGTACCGTGTCAACGGAACTGCAGCGGAGAACGAAAGCGCACGAGGAGACGGTGGGGTTGGCAAGAGCGCTCGTCAAGACGGCAAGGTCGGACGAGAGGGCGGATCCGGTGGGAAGGGCACCGCCGGCGAGAATCGAGCCGTACTGCGAGGTGAGGGAGGCGACGACGGGCGGGACGGATCCGCTGTTGCCGCTGGCTGCACCTGCGAGGGCGGACGAAGCCCGCGACCCGATGCCGGATCCTCCGTTTCCGCCGATGACAGACGACACGACGCTGGCGCCGTTGCCGCCGACTGCGCTCGTCGCGGCGCTGGCGAGACTGGAGATGGCGTTTTGAGCTGCAGAGCGGTGACCGAAAGTCAGCAACCGAGGCTCCAGGACGACGAAGGACGGAGGGGAGACGCACCCGAAGCGCCAGCGGCGAGGACGGCGATGGCGGCGGTTGCGAAGGAAAAGCGCATCTTGTCTGTTCAGGTGCAAGTGCGAGTGAAGTGCAGGAAGGAGAGCAGCAGCAAGTGTGGGCGACGAGTGAGTCGGCCGGGACAGTCCCCGCCAAGAGGCAACGTCATGAGCGAGGAGTAGCGCGAAAGCGGGTTCGTCGGATGATGATTGGTCGCAAGCAGAACTCGTCAGTCGAGCAGGCGAACCGTCAATCGCAGCAGACCGCGCCATTCCACCGCCTGCTCCCGCCGCCATCCTCGACGGAGGTGATGAAGTCGTCCAGCGCGAGGAGGAGCTCACGCGCTAGTTTACAGTCGCCTGGCCGCATAGCAGGAGCGCCCTCGCAGCCGACTCAGCTCGAACGAACCAGTCCAGCGTGGTCGAGGGGATGCGGGAGAGGAGGACACGGTGCGAGGTTCCCTCTCGCCCTCTTCCACCTCGCCATGTCACTCCACCTACAGCGTATCACCCGGCTACCGCTGGAAACATTGTGCTACAGCCTCCATGGACGTACCAGCCCCGGCCCTCGCATTCTCATCGCGTCCCGCTTCGCTCCCGCTCTTGTCGCCTCTTCGCCTGACATGCCCAGCTCGCTCCGCGCAGAACCTCCGGCTGTCGAGCTGGCTGTTCCTCGACGCGACCGGGTCCTCGGTCCCACTTGTTGAACGCCAGGCAGCGCGATGGAGGAATCTGTCACCTTGGCCGCTCGCTCACCTCTCTACGATCGCAATTCCCGGGAGCGATTGCTTGTTTGCCCGCACGCCGTGTCTCAATACCCTCCTGCCGGACTTCCGCCCACCCCGTCGGCTCCAGTTCGTCCTTCCCTTGCTTCCGCTCTTGGCGCTCTCCTCACGCTTGCTCTTGACGGCCATGCTTCGCTCGCTGCTCGGGACTCTCGCACTGTTGGCCGCGCAGGTCAACGCGCAGACGTGCGGTTCCGGGTGCGTCGGTCGCGATCCTCTTTCTCTGAACCAGCCGCTCACCCTTTCGCTGCTTGACACAGCCTAGTACTCGAGACATCGTATGGCGTCTCGGCATGCTGTCTACCACAGACACTGCTCCAGTGCAGCTCGACCGTCTTGCAGTTCACGCAATCGGGCTCGTACCTTGACGCTCAGAAGGTGTGCACGTACAAGCCGCTTGCTGCCGGCACGTACATCCAGTTCTCTGCGCCTTCCTTCATGTCGTACGTCCCGGCTATCGAGCTCTTCGGAGTGCCCGGTGAGGCGGGGAATGTCAAGAACTCGTCGACCGCGGGCGGACTGGGTGCACAAGTCAGGCTTGGGGGTACCTGGGGTGCGCCGTTCTCTCTGGTTGTTCCTTCTGTGACTCCCTGACCGTCTGCGCATCCTGACCGTCAACGGCGGCGAGACGTGGAAGATCTACCCGGCTTCGTTTGCGGCAGCGCTTCCGACGAACCCCTCGGGCGAACAAGCGACATGGGGTCGTGGCGGCGCAGCTAGCGTCGTCATGATCGGCAACCAGCAGATCTGGGCGGCGGGCGGCGGCGGCGGAGGATCTGCCGGACCTGGCGGCAACGCTCACGTCGTCGGCGACACGACCGGACCGTACTACGCCGACCAGGCTGGTCAGGCGCCTACCTCGGACGCGACGACTCCGCCTGTTGCTGGCGGCGGAGGAGCAGGCTATCTAGGCGGAGTCGCCGGTGATACAGCGTGAGTTCTCCCGTTACGAACTCAGGACCGCTCGACTAACTCAAAGCTATCTCCAGCTCGATGTCAGGCGGAACGGGCGGACAAAGCTTCCTTGGACCTTCCTCAAACCTGAACTTGAACGCGGTCACCTCGAAAACAAACTACCAGTTTGCTCCAGTCGTGATTAGTTTCACATGCGTGCGTTCTGGATCTCTTCTGTTCGAGGTCTTCTCCCGCCTGACCTTTCGCCTTGTCAGGTTGCACCCACGTACTACGTGACAATACCCGCTGTCACGCAGACCGTGCAGCAGACGTTGGTCGTCACGCAGTCCGCCACCATCCTCGCTCCTGCGCAGGTGACGGAGACCGACTACGCCGAGACTCCCGCTGGTACCGACACTATCACTGCGACGTCTAAGCCTCCCGCATCCTCGGTCACCTCCACAGAAACCGACTACACCTATCCGCCACAAAGCACCGACGTCTCGTGGGTCACTCCCCCAACTTCGACCTTCACGGAGACTGCATCCGTCTTCAGCGAGGGCGCCTCTACGACGCTCGTCGACACGTATACGCCGCCCGTCAGCTCTGTGACCGAGACGGACACTTCTACCGTGACCCCCGCCCTCGCCTACTCCACCTCGACTTCCACCCCGCCAACCCGCACCATCCTGCAGACCGAGACCGCGACCGACACAGTCTCAAGCGGAACCTTTACTGCCGTCGTGACGAGCACGAGGGGTCGCGCAAGCTGCACTCAGCTCCGCATGGTACGTTAAGGTGCTCACTCGCTTGGGGACGGCGCTGACCTGTCGGAACGCAGACGTACCCTTCCGCCTGCTGCCCGACACGCTATATGTCCGGACTTAAGTCGGTCTCGACAGCTCCGCCTACGCCTGCGAGCGCTGCTCGCCTTCGCCGTCGCAACCGCCGAAGCATCGGCTTGCAGAAGCGCGATACGATCACGGTCAGGAGTGGCACCACCACTGTGACAAACAGCGTCACGAGCACTAGCTATCTGTCAACAGTTACTCCAGCGCCTCAGACTATTGCGACTGTACGCTTGTTGTTCCTCCGCGCCCTCAACCTTCTCAGGCTGATTGCACCCTTTGCCCCGACCTCCAGGTCACTGTGACGACGGCAGGAGCGAACGCGACGGCTACTTCTACCGAGACCGAGGCAGCAGACACCTTGACGTTCTCGGCGACGACAATTTTGCAAGGAAACGCTTCCACGACAACCCTCGTCTCGACCGCAGATGCGCCTTCAACGACCGAGACCTCGACCGCCTTCTTTGACAAGTCCACCCTCACGCTTCTCGCAGCGACCAGCACGGTCGCGACTTCGGTACAGTACCTCACGCTCGACACGCCAACTTCGGTTATTGAAGAAACTGCGCCAACGCCGCTCTACACCTCGACTTCGACCATGCACGTTCAACAGACAATCCCCGCTGCGACGGCAACTACAACGACGTATGCCAAGCCGTCCTCGTGCGCCGTCAACACCGTCTGGGTGCGTCCTCAAAGTTCTCGAGGTTGCGCCACTTGCCGCTCACCATCCTCATCGTCGGTAGGCTGCCAGCTGCCCTGTGCCCTTCCTGCAGAGTCTCGACCAGTTTGCGCAGACGGCGCTCATCAAGGCGAGCACTTCCCGCCTCTCCGCCTTCCTCGGCTTTCTAACCAGTTCCCTTTCCGCAGGTCAACAAAACTACTCTCTGGCAACCAGCCGGTCATCGTCGACTGCGGGTCAGCCGGCTCGTTCACGTACTAGACGGCGCGCACGCCGGCTCCTTCCGCCCGCTCTTCTCCTTCGTAACTTCTCGTCTGTTCTCAGTTTTCGTCTCGGTCGTCCATGCGTTGATTTCATCTGTAAGGATTACATGCATCTCGGAGGGATTTCTTGAGGTCGTGGAGCTCACGAGCGTGGTGCGACCGCTGGAAGCAAGAAAAGGAAGGCCGCCAGACCCTTCGAAAGCGACAAGCCGCTATTCATACGCAGCGACAAGCTGGGCGAGGTCGCTGCGAGGATCGCGAGGTGATGCTGCGGCGTTCAGACTTGCGAGCTGCGCGATACGGAAAGCGTCAGTCGAGCTTTGCAGACAGATGAGCACTGCGACAGACCCAGCGCATTGTCGGCCGACCGTGAGGACAAGCCTGCGCAAAGAACGGGGCAATGAGTCACGCGATAAACCAACAGGCCTTACAGAAAGGCGTGCTCACCCAAGGCTGATCCATCCCGCCCATATGCCGGATGATCTGGAGACGGGACAACGGCTGAGCCGATGCGAGACTCGCGAGGCATCGCACGAACGCACCGAGGTCATCTGGCTCGCACTGAGCGCCTTGCCGATCATCACGCTCTTCCGACACGCCCGACTGGCAAACATGCGTCGAGCCTTTGACGGCCGAACGACCTCGCCGCCGCCTCGCGACTCGATCAGGTGAATGAGCTCCTCGAAGTCTGTTCGAGAGAACGCGCGACCGAGCGTCAGCAGATGCGAGGATGGAAGCGAAACCAAGCCTCACCTCCGACGTCAAAGACCGTTTCTTTGCTGACGGGCTGCGCGACGAGCTTGACGCGCTCGCCAATCTGCGCATCCTCGTCGATGGCGACATCGTAGCCGTTCAGTCGCAGAAGGTCGAGGTGTTCCATGGCGGTGATCTCGTCGGCAGAGGGCAGGCCGAGTGAGCGGGGTCTGCAGGAAGAGCGTCAGCTCGATTGGCAGAGTAAGACCAGAGAAAGGACGCACGCGAGAAGCCGTTGTGACTGGATGACCGTCTCAGCTTGCAGTCGCTCGAAATTGTACTTCTCGTCCGAGGCGTGCTGGTCGATAATGAACAAGTCGTCGTGGACGTCTGGCTCGCCGTCCCCGTCGACTGCATCGGCGACAACCTTGCGTCGAGCGATGATGAACCCGAGATTGAACTGGCCGACGACCTCCATCGCCTCAAAGTCCTGCTTGCTGACCACGCGAGAGAGGGTCGCTTCGGCCACGTCTTCCTGCTCGTCGACGCCTGCGCCAGCGAGAGCGCCGTCGTCCCTTTCGCCGTCAGCCGAGGCGCGGGCAGGAGACCCTTGTCGCAACGGCTCGCTCGCGGTCCAGCGCGCCTCGAGTGCGTCAAAGTCGACGTCGAGGTCTGCATCGGCAGCGATGACGGTGCCGGCGACCTCGGCTGGGGCAGCACCGAAAGGCAAAGGGATGTCGTGCAAGGCGACTTGTGCTGCAGCGGCGCTGGGAGGTCGAGCTGAAGTAGACGTGTCCTCCTGAATCTCGATGTCGCTGTCCTGCGATCCGTGCACGCAGATACACGATGCCGAAACAATCTCAAAGTCGTCGTCGTCGACGGCGGTCGCTGGCGGAGACGCCGCATTGAAGCTGTCCTCGACGACGAGGACGACGTCCTCGATGTGCTCCTCTGCAGCCTCGTCCGCTGCGCCCGAATCGTCTACTTTGCCCGAATCGTCCTTTCGCTCGGCCTCGTGGCGGCATGATTGCGCCGGTTCGTGGACGTCGGCTGCGAGCTCGTCCCGTTCGATTTGTGCCTCGTCTTGCCCGTCTTCCTCTCCTTCTGCCATCTCAGCGTCCGCCTCATCGTCTTCAATCTCATCCTTCTCCTCTCTTTCGTCGTTCTCCTGACCATCAGCGCTGTCGGCGTCTACATTCGCTTCACCCTGCGCTTGTGCCTGCGAGCCTCGCAAGAACTTCTGCAACATCCCCTTCATCCGCGCACCCGGTTCCACCTTGCCCACGCCCGTACTTCGCGTCCCTCGCGACCCTCGCGAGCCACCAGCCGCAGCCCGAGCGGGTGCGAACGGAAGGGTCGGCTGCTTCAGGTTGCGGGAAGGAGCGGGAGACGGTCTCGGGGCAGGTGACGGTGAGGCTCGACGGCGCGACGAATTTGGCGATGGGGAGGGCGGATGAGGAGTAGGAGACGGCGGGAGGAAGAGGGCTGCAGTCGAGGACTCAGGTGGTGGATCTGCCAGAGGCGGCGACTGTCGCTCAGGCGTTGCCGGCAGATTGGAGTCGGCGCCAGCGTCGTTGGCGCTTGAGGTTGGAGGAGGGTGAGCAAAGTCGGGCGGAGGCGTCGGCAAGATAACTTCTTCGCCTGGAAGAGTTGGGAAAGGGTCGACAACGGGAGTGACCGAGATTGAGCGGCGACTGTCTGAGGACGTTGACGGCGCGGTTCGCTCGACAGGCGTTGCTACGCGCGGCGGCGGGTCCAGGTCGCTTGAGGGCGCATGCGAGTCTTTCCGCCTCTTCCGCGGTCGACCCTCACTGAGCGCCAAGTCGTCCTCCTCCTCCTTGACGACTACGCCAGCGTCCTCGGGCTCCTGCACCTTCTCCTTGCCCTTCGCAGGTCCGATGGCTTGCATCGCAAACGTGCCGTGCTGAGGTTCAAAGAACTTGGCGAGCTGTTCTTTGAGGGCGCGAATGAGGTTCGTTTCGGAGTGGAGGAAGATGGTGCGCTTGTCGGGCGAGACGTTGACATCGTAGGCGTCTGCACTCAAGTCGTCAGCCTAGTGGCACATCGAAGTGGAAATGTGGCAGCGGAACTGACCGGGAGCGAGCTGGAAGTCGGCAACGACGATAGGAAACTGGTTCGAGTTGTAAGACTTGTAGACCTCGTTCACCGTTTTCGCGATCTGCCGGTCCTGTGTAAGCGCGGCGTCGCAGCATAAAAAAGCCGGGATAGACCCACCTTCGAGGGAGAGAACGGCCGGCCGTTGACATAGAAGAACTGTCGGTTGCTGGTCGTCCGACCGTGAGGTGCCGCAGGCTTCGAGATCATGCCTTTGACCTTGATCAATGTCGTGCTGCGCGCTCGGCACGGTCAGTGCCGCAAGATTCGGTCGTCGAAGGGGGAACGCACGCCTCCATCGCCCCCTCAATCCGCTTCAGAATGCTCTTGTCCGTCGGCACCTCGAGCGTGAGGTCAAAGTCGATCAAAGAGGCAAGATCTTTCGCCGCGAAGATCGACGCGTAGTTCGAGCGGATCGACGAGGACGTAGGCGTTTGGAGGTGCGTCTGCGTCTTTCTGCGTGTAGAACACGATCAGAGGCTGATCGAAGGGGGTATATAGCGTGTTCCGCTCACCCTTTTGCGGTATTGCGCACGTCGAAGCGCACGCCGGTGTTGATGATGGCGTACGAGTTGATCAGCTCGATGGCCTTACCAAACTCGCGTTTGACGTTCTTGACGAGCTCCTTCCGCCTGACCGGAAGCGTGTCGAACAAGCGCTCGACCTTGACCGTGGTGCCTCGCTCTCGGGCGACCTTGCCGCCCACGACGCACTCGCCTGAGTGGGCGAAGGTAAGAGACGTGCCGATGGGCGGTTTGGACGAAGTCGAGGTGATCATCGAGAGGGTCGCGACGCCGCACAGTGAAGAGAGCGCCTCGCCGCGGAAGCCGAGCGTCGAGACGGAGGCGAGCTCGTCGAATGAGGCGAGTTTCGATGTATGGTGCTTGAGCGCTGGGTGCGTGAAGTCCGTCAGCGCACCGCTCGCGGCCGCGCGGGGATACATACGCACCGATAGAAGGCCAGTCGTCCTTGACGATGCCCTTGCCATTGTCCAGCACCTCGAAAGCCTCGAGACCATAGTCGCGGAAGCGGACCTCTGCACGACGAGTCAGCGCGTCGCGGGGGCAGCACCAACAGCAGCTTCCACGCACCAATCTTGGTCGCTCCAGCATCCAGCGCATTCTCCACGAGCTCCTTGACTGTCGGCGAGAGAGGTCAGCACCGCCCCCATCAGTCCTCGCGCGCTGTCGCCGGCTTCGCAAGAGCTAGCGGACGGACAAATCACGCACCCGCAGACTGCAGATCAATGACAACCTGCCCGCTCGTCAGCCTGTGCACCGAAGACTTGTCGATGGCTGCTTGTTTCGCAAAGGAGAGTCGCGTCCGGGCGAGCGTGTCAGCCGTGTTTCGTGCGCCATTGGGGTAGGCGGGGCTTGCCTTGGATAGCCATTGAGCAGTGAGATGAACCAGAACGGCGAGCGAGCGAGGTGAGCGAGATGTAGAGGAGGAGGGAGAGTCATCGCGGAGGAAAGGCCACTCGTTCCTTCGAAAAGCTCGATTTGCGGGCGCATTGACAGTCAGAAGGCCGCAGACACCGCAAGGGAGGCACGAGAAGGCCGCGCGAGACAGAGGACGGTTCAAGCGAGGAGAATGAAAGCGGTCTGCCTTCGTTTCTAGCTGACAACCGCGCCCGTCTACAAGACCCACCCGTGCCTCCGCCGTATCTGCCGTACCCTTGAGCCTGCCGTAAGCCGGCCGACGTCCAGCTGAAGGTGGCGGCGCTTTAGAGTGACCTCCCGTAGATCGCCGCCTTCCTCGCCGTCCACGACTCGCCGTATCCCGGCACCTCGTTGCGCTCGCGCTGCTGCTTGGCGAGCGAGTGCTGAACTCCGCCGCCGGTGTAGAGGTCGTGTGGGTCAATGAGGTCAGTCGGAGCGGGCGTCTGTCCCGTACGCTCGTAGAGTCGCACGTCGCCTGAAGACTCGTGTGCCGAAGGGTGATGTTCGTCGGATTGAGGTTCAAAGGGCGGCAACTCCTGCGCTTGTGAGAACCCGTCAGCGCCAAGGGAAGACCAACAGACTGTCCCGCGCGTACGAGGCGATGGCGGATAGCTTCTGCCGAGTATTTTGGCTGTGATTGCGAGGACTGGAGTGACTTGCTGTTGGGCCGCACTGTGACGACAACACGCACCTGAAGGTCCTCGAGGATCTGCTCAGCGGAATAGCCATTCGCTTTCAAACGACGAGCCTCTTTCTCCGCCTGCTCCAGCTCCTGAACGATCGCGGTCTTCTGCGGCTTCTTGAGCTTCTTGACGTACTCGCCGGTGAACTGCTTCATCTCCGTCTGGAAGACCAGGATGAACTGCTTGTCGATCGCCGTCAAGCGGTTGCCTGCACGTCGGACGCCTGTCGCTGCCACTCGAATCTCGACAGCGCGGGCCCTTATCTCCTCAAAGAGGCTGCCGACCATGAGCTTGTCAAAGGAGAGGGTGCAGCACTGTATTCGAGGCAAAGCGTTGTAGGGCGCAGGTGCGAGGCGAGGAGAGGGATGGATAAGGAGGAGCGGAGAGGAGAGAGAGATGGCGAGGCCAGCTCGACTGCTTTGATCGCACACCCCAGTGCGCGATATGCCGTCGCAAACGCCTCGTCCACGTGATGATCACGAAACGTCCGATGAAGAGCGCGAGCGAGGGAGCGTACCCAGCTCAGCGTTACGCAACCGGTTCGAACTGGGCGGCGGTCCACAGTCCTGAGCGAGTCTGTAGCCGTCCTGCAAGCATCGTCCAGCCTGTTCTAGCGATGTCGAGGTGAGGTGGGGGAGCGAGAGCGGCGGTTCGCCTCGAACGACGACCGCAACGATGCCAGAGTCGTACTTGGTCATTGGCGGTGAGTCAGGCAGATTGCACAGCTCTCGAAAGTACTGACAAGCTCGTCCAACCCGCAGGCGAGGGCTTCGTGGGCCATCGCATGGTCGAGCTGCTCCTCGAGCGATTTCCGGACGCGACAGTGTCCTCGCTCGACCTCGTGCAGCGCCATTTCCCCGACAAGCTCGCCGCTGGAACCTCGCGCAAGTGGTCCTTCTACTCGGCGGACCTCACCTCGCTCGACTCGCTCTCATCGGCGTTCAGGCAGGCGGGCGCGACTTGCGTGTTCCACACCGCGTCGCCGTGGACGGGATCGGGCGCAGACGTGTGCGAGAAGGTCAACGTGCAGGGGACGCAGACGGTCGTCGATGCGTGTGTCAAGGAGGGCGTCAAGAAGCTCGTCTTTACCTCGTCCGCCGGGACGGTCTACGATGGCGTCGACCTGATCAACGTGGACGAGCGGATGCCGTTCCCTGAGAAGCCTATCGACCCCTACAACGCGACTAAGGTGCGTCGCAATCGTTTCCTGCCCATCTTCACCGCTGACACCTCGTCCCGCAGGCCAAGGCGGAGCAGATCGTCCTCGAGGCAAACGGGAAAAACGGGCTGTTGACGGTGGCGCTGCGGCCAGCGGGCATCTTTGGGTGAGTGTCAGAGACTCGCGGTCTTAGTGAGCTGGAGCTGACCTCTCACACGACAGACCCGGTGACCGACAAGCCGTTCCGGGGATGATGGACGTCCTCAAGACGGGCAAGACCAAGTTCCAGGTCGGCGAGAACGACAACATTTTCGACTGGACCTACGTCGACAACGTCGTCCACGCGCACCTCATTGCCTCGCAGCGCCTCGGCCAATCCGTCCCCCTCTCCGTCCTCGAAGACCGTCTCGTCCCCATCGACCTCACCGTTCCGCGCCGCCAACTCCCCACATCCGATCACCGACCGCCCTCACTGCTCGAGAAGGAGAAAGAGCTCGACCCGTCGTTCGTCAACAACGAGAAAGGCGACGAACCGCTCGGCGCGACCCGCAACCGCTTCGACCCCTACTTCCCCGAATTCATCGCGCACGCTTTCCCCAACCTCGACTTCTCGGACGAGAAGGCCCTTGCGGACGGCTCGTTGCAGATCCCAATCGCCGGCCAGGCCTACTTCATCACAAACGGCGAGCCCGTTCCGTTCTGGGACTTCCCGCGCGCGTTGTGGGCCGAGTACAACGGACATGTCGCGTCTTGGACGCTGCCGCTGCCGGCGCCCATCGCGCTCGGAATCGCGGGAATCGCAGAGACGGTCATGGGCTGGCTGGGAAAGACGCCGAATATGACGAGGGGCAAGATCGTCTACTCGACTGTGAACCGGTACTACAACATTGAGAAGGTGCGTGCGACGCTATGCTATCCCGCTCGAGTTCCGCTGACACTGCATGGTCGCAGGCGCGTCGGATTCTGGGGTACGAGCCCATCGTTGGCGTGCAAGAGGGCATCAAGCGGGCGGTTGCGGTTTGTCTCATTTCTCCCACATTTGGCCGGCGTCTCGCTTACCATCTCGGTATTGCGCAGTGGTACAAGGAGAACGAGTCGAGCATGCAGCAGAAGAAGGCTTGATTTCGTCCTTTCCGCCCCTTTATCTCGCTGGTAGATACCCTCGCCTCGTGTCTCGTGCAGTAATTGTGTGCATTGTACTACTGCGGTTACAGATCATCGATGAGTCCTTGCGAGCGAACGCTGCCCCCTGGCCTCTCCTTCCGCTCCTCCGCCTCGCTCAATCTCAACGGCCCTTCAGGGCCCGTGCGAAGTAGGTGTCAAGGCTGCCTTCCAGCTGATCGTCGACGACCGAGAACGAGAGTCAGCCTCCGTGCGCAGCCAGTCGAACCGCACTCACCTCCGCCAACGCTTCTCATGCACCCTCTTCCATATCTCCTCAACCTTATCCACCGTCAACCCAACATGATACCAGCAGTGCTTGCACATCTGCTTCTGCGCTTCCGTCTCGACCAAAAAGACTCGCAGCTGGTCGACATCGTCCGGCTGGAGCGCGAGGATCTTGCTTGTTAGCGACTGGCACAGCTTTGAGGCGCCGCAGCCGCGCTTGTGGCATGTGTAGAGGTGGCTTGGATCAAGCTTGTGCCAGGAGAGGATGTGGCAGACGATCGCAGCCTTGTCCTCAAGGTGGTCGAGCTGTTGAGTCCAAGAGGTCAATTTCTGCTCGGGAAACTGGCACAAAATATGAGCGGAACGCACCAGAAGTGCCTGAGCAACAGCCGGAAGAGCCGCGAAAGCCGGACCAGGCTTGATAGGCTCGCCGAAACCAGGACCGTACTTGCGGCAGTATCGACTTGCAGCCCAAGCGAGTTGCTGGTCGCCCATGAGGATCCCAGCGGAGTATGCCAGGTACGGATCCGCTTGGCAGCACCACCTGTGGACGCAATACAAGCGTAAGCACCTTCGCGAAGTAAAGAAACGAGAGTTGGACGCACCACCCGCCAAGCTGCAACATCGGCAACAGCTCGGGACAATCGTACTTGTCGACCATGCCGTACAATCCAATCCAGGCGCCTGATGTGTCTGGCTCGCGCTTGTCAGCCAGCGCCTCGACAAACGCAGCGACGGTTTCGGCGTCTTCTGTCAGCGTGCATTCTTGCTTCGTGTCAGGCGAGATCTGGTGGATGGTCGAGAGCATGTCGGCAAAGATGGAAGAGTGTTTGATGAGTAGCGCTGGGTCAATCTGGAAGCGCTCGCTGTCGCAAGCGACGAGGGTGAAGGTGCGGGTGACGGGCATTGTCAGAGTGGGAAGCGATTTGCGACAGTAAACCGGTCGCTGGTGTGACAGTCCAGCGTGCAATGACTCCGAAGGAGGTTCGGCCGGAGCAAGCGAGTTTGAGAGCGGGAGGAACTCGGGGACGAGGAGAGGGTGCGCGGTGACGGTGAGAACTTGGAGCGAGCACTGCACGGGGGGTCCAGTCGAGAGGCGCAGAGTATGAAGAGCCCTGTATACGTATCCACTTGGCTGCGTACGCTGCCTCGCTGCCTGGACACCGTATTATGCCTTCAGAGAGATGAGAATCGACGAAGGGGAGAAGTCGGCGAGTACAGCACGGTGACGGGCTACGGGCAAGACTGGATGTGAGATTAGCGCGCTGTGAGCAGTCTTGCAGCCTCAATAAGCGCGCAGAGTCGCAGCGACGGGAGTGGTCTGCGGAAAGGGTCACTTCAAATTGCTCTCGCTTTCACGCTCTCCCTCAACCCGCTCACACCCGCTCGAGGCTTGGATAAAACAGCTGCGTTGCTCTGTACGACCGACTGAGCAAGTGCGCAAGCCAGTCCGCCCCGAAGCGCCGTGTTCACTGACTCACCTCCTCATCGCTCTTTCCAGCCCCACCCTCTGCGCCAACCGGGATGGACGCCCCTCAGACCAAGCCGCCCGTCTCTGAGATGACCGAGGCCGTGCAGGAGGCGAGGGACGAGGCGCTTGTGAGTCTTTGCTGCCTCGACTCGCCGCAAAGAAGGGATCAACGTTGAGGTCGGTGTGGGGAGGCTGTGCGAGATAGGCGAGGGATTGCGCGGAGCGAGCTGAGGGCGTCTGGATGGCGTGAAATAAGCGAGGGTGACAGTGAGGGCCAGCTGGGTGACACCGAGGCCTGATGCTTGTCTTCTCCGCAGGGCGCCAATGTCCACTCCTTCGACCCATCGGCATCTCCCGCCGAAAAGGCTGCACAGGCTCGCAAAGCAGCCTCCGCAGTCACGCCAGTCGACATGTCGGCCGCTCCCTCCCTTCGCAAAGGCGAACTCGGACAATTCACGAAAGACGGCGGAAGCTCTGTCTCGAGCGATGTGGGCACGAAGGGCGAGAAGATCGAGGTTACTACAGGCGCCAAGGCGGCAGAGTTCGAGTCGACGAAGGAGAAGGAGAGTGGGAAGCCGCTGAACGATGCGGAGAGGGCCAAGAAGATTGCGCAGGACGAGGGACGGGTCGACGAAGATGGCGTCAAGAGTCCGCCCGGAGCGATGCCGAACAAGGAGGCGGAGAAGGGCAAGCCTCGCGAGAGTGCGTGCACCTGCGAGCGAGGTGTTCGAGTGAGGCAGTGCTGACTTGCCTCGATCCGCAGTTCCCTCCTGGTTCGCAATCGGCTGGAACGGACAGGACAAGTCCTTCTTCCTCTCGCCCGAGGACGCTCGCGAGCGCTCCATCCTGAGCGACTTCTTCACCGACGCGTACTACGGTCAATGGCGAGTCCTGCTTGCCCACCTCTCCTTGTCTCCTCGCTGATCTGATCCCTCTGGCCCGCAGGTACCACAACGCCGGCATCATCGTCTTCGCCGTCGTCGCGACGCACTTTGTCACCCTCTTCGGCGGCGGTTGGGGCTGGATGGTCATCATCTTGGCCGTCTGCGCAACCTACTACGAGACTTCGATCAAGCGCGTCAGGCGCAACGTCAGGGACGACATGGCGCGCGAGGTGGCCAAGAAGGGCTTGAAGACGGAGGTCGAGAGCGCGGCGTGGATCAACTCGTTCCGTCAGTCTTGCTTCACTCCCGTTCTGCCTCGATCAAACTGACTTTCGCATGCCCTCCGCAGTCCAGCGCTTCTGGCTCATCTACGAGCCTATCCTCTCTGCGACCATCGTCAGTCAAGCGCTCTCTCGGTAGCCACAGGCGACTGACCTGTCTCGCCTCGCAGGTCGCGTCCGTCGACCAGGTCCTCTCGGTCTCGACTCCCGCCTTCCTCGACTCGGTACGTTTTTCTGCTTTCCTAAGACGTAGGCCACCGCAAGAACCGATCAAGACTGACGACGGGATGCCTGCAGCTCCGCCTCACGACCTTTACGCTCGGCACGAAACCTCCTCACATCGACCACGTCCGCACCTTCCCCGACACGGACGAAGACGTTGTCGTGATGGAGTGGGCCGTCTCGTTTACGCCGAACGACCTTGCCGACATGACGCATGCTGCGGCAGCGAAGAAGGTCAACCCGAAGGTCGTCCTTGAAATCAGGATCGGAAAGGGTATCGCTAGTATCGGCAAGGATATCATAGTCGAGGACATCTCGTTCAAGGGCGTCATGAGGATCAAGCTCAAGCTCATGAACAACTACCCGCACGGTGCGTGTGCTTGCGGCTCCCTTTCCTCGCATCGCCCTGACAAGCTTCCTCGCTCGTACGCAGTCAAGACCGTCGACCTCTCCTTCATGCACCCTCCCGACTTCGACTTCGTTCTCCGTCCCGTCGGCTTCGACTTGAACTCGGTCTTCCCTGGCCTGTACTCGTTCATCAAGAGCACCGTCGACTCGTCTATCGGCCCGATGCTCTACGACCCGAACACCTTCACCCTCGACCTCGAACAGATGCTCTCAGGTGCACCGATCGATACGGCTGTCGGCGTTCTTGCGGTCACGATTCATTCGGGCAAGGGGTTGAAGGGGACGAAGATTGGAGCGGGCGCACCGGATCCCTATGTCTCGATCAGCATCAGCAATCGTGCCGAGCTCGCAAAGACCAAGATCAAGCGCAACACGTGCGTCCAGTCTCCTCTCAGCTCCGAATCGCAAGCTGACCCTTTCTCGACCGCGCAGCTCGACGCCGCACTGGCAGGAGACGCACTTTGTCCTGCTCAACACGCTCAATGACGCGCTCACGATGAAGGTCTTCGACTACAACGACCACCGGCCCGACTCGGATCTCGGCACCGTCTCGTTCGACCTCAAGTCGCTCGCGGACGACGGCGAGCAGCCTGATCTCATCGGCGAGGTGATCCTCGATGGTAAGCCGAGGGGCCAAGTCCGCTACGACCTCAACTACTACCCCGTCCTCAAACCGACGAAGCTTGCGGACGGAACGCTTGAGCCTGTCCCCGAGACGAGTGAGTCGCGCACCTCCTCATTCGCGTGCTCGCAACGACTGACGCGTCCCGCTTGCTCAGCCGCCGGTGTTGCTCGCGTCGTTGTCCACCAGGCCAAAGACCTCGACCCGAAGGGCGAGCAGATCAACCCGTTCAACGTCCTCAGCCTCAACAATCAGCGCGTCCACCGCTCGCAGACGCTGAAACGCACCGCCAACCCGGTCTGGGAGAAAGCGCACGAGTTGCTCGTCACCGCCAAGGACTCGGCCGTCATCGGTGTCGAGGTCGTCGACGACAACTCGATCCGGTCAGACACCAAGCTCGGGTTCTGCAAGGTCCGCCTCGTCGACATCCTTGAGGCCAACTCGAAGGGCAACGACTGGTTCCCGCTCAGCAACGCACGCAGCGGAAAGGTCCGCATCACGGCCGAATGGAAGCCAGTCCTCATGGCCGGCGCGATCAACGGCGCGGGCGCGTACACCGCCCCGCTCGGCGTCGTCAGGTTCTGGTTCAAGCGCTCGAGGGATCTCAAGAACGTCGAGGCCTTCACCGGCGGAAAGAGCGACCCATACGCACGCATCTTGTCGAAGGGTCTCGTCGTTGCGCGAACGATGGTCCACGACAACAACCTCGACCCCGAGTACGACGAGTGCGTGACGTCTCCGTCCAAGGCTGATGCGGGCACAGGTTGACACACTCTCACTCGCAGGATCGTCTACGTCCAGGTTCACTCGCCCCGCGACTCGTTCGTCATCGAGGTCATGGACTACAACCACAACACGAAGGACCGCACGCTCGGCCAGACCGAGTTCTCCGTCTCGGGCATCCTCGCCGAGGGACCCGACAAGCGCAACAGGCCGTGGATCGGCACTGGCAAGGTCAGCAAGACCGAGATGCTCAAATCGGACAACAAGCGCACGGTCAAGGGCAACATCGAGTTCGAAGCCGAGTTCTTCCCCTGCACGCCGCTCAAGAACGTCTCGTTCACCCCGCCGGACGAGATGTCGTCGCAGGCCAAGATCACCGAGGTCGACGAGGACGAGAGCGGTGCGAACGAGGAGACTATCGAGCCTGAAGGCGACGGCAAGGCGGCCGTTTCGACGCCAACTACCGCCTCGTTCGTCAGTCCGCCGACGAGCCCGTCGAAGCCAAACGCTTCTGGCTCGAATGGCGGTGCGAAGGAGGAGGACGAAGGTGTCACGGTCCCGCGCGAGCAGCTCCTCAGGACGCAGACGGGTGTCCTTGCGTTCCAGGTCATCAGCGGGAACCTGTCGAGGAAGGGAGCAAGGCTCGAGGTTTTGTGCGTCGCCGTGCTTGGTCCCCGAGTGAGCTTGAACTGACCCTTTTCGTTCGTCAGGATGGACGGCGGATACTGGCCGTGCTTCTCGACGGAACGCTCTCGTTCTGCTCACAACACGTGGGACGAGATTGGCGAGGTCCTCATCCGCGAACTCGACTTCTCGACCATTACTCTCGCCCTCAACGACGCCGAGAAGGACACGCGCGAAGACATCCTCGCCAAGGTGCAAATCGACATGAACGACTTCCTCGAGAACACGCTCGATAAGCCGTACACGTTCACCCTCCTTCCGACCGAAGGGCACAGTTCGCGCTCGACCGTCACGATCATGTCCAAGTACATTCCCGTCGACATGCAGATCCTGCCTCGCGAGTCGGTCAACAACTCGGGAGTCATCCGCGTCGACGTCCTCGATGCAAAGGGCTTGCCGTCTGCCGACAGGAACGGCAAGTCGGACCCGTACGCCATCTTCGGTGCGTCTGCTTGAGTTCCGCTTCCTCGGCTTCCACGCCTGACACTCGTCCGCCTACAGAGCTCAACGACGAGCGCGTGCACAAGACCGAGGTTGTCAAGAAGACGCTCGCGCCCGTTTGGAACGAAAAGTTCGAGATGCAGGTCCCGTCGCGCGAGGCGGCCAGGTTCATCGTCGAGGTGCACGACTGGGACCGCGTCGGCGCATCCGACAAGCTCGGCCGTGCGCAGATTGACCTCCGCGACATTGAGCCGTTCGAGCCTGCCGAGCGGACCGTCCAGCTCTACGACTTCAAGAATACGTCGCAGACGGCCGGCACGATCCGCATCCGCATGGTATTCCAGCCCGGCTTCATCTACCGCTCTCGCAAGGCGACGTCGACGTTCTCAGCTGGCCGGATCGGGACGACGCTCGGCGGCGGTGCGATGGCTGTCGGAGGAGGCCTCGTGGGTGCAGGAGGGGCAGTTGGCAAGGCGGGCGTCGGCGCCGTTGGCACTGTCGGGAAGGCTGGTATCCACGGCGTCGGGACGGTCGGCAAGGTAGGAGTGCAAGGCGTCGGCGCGGTCGGCAAGGGAGTTGGCGCGGTCGGCAAGGGCGTCTTTGGTCTCGGCCGGCGCGGTACGAAGGAGGGAGTCGCTGCCTCGCCCTCTATGGCAGAACTGGCTGATGCAGACGCGGCGGCCGCGGCTGGCTACTCTGTCCCTGCGGCCGACGGCGTCGAGGTCCTCGCAACGGACACGGCGCCCTTCCCTACCTCGGCTGCTGGAGCGGTCGTGGCCGCAGCCGGCACGCTCACTGTCACTGTCGGCGACTTGAGCGGCGGCGCCGACGCGAGCGAGAAGAAGGCCGTCATCGTCAAGCTCGGCAGCAAGACCGTGCTCGAGACGCACTCGCACAAGTCGGCGGACGGCAAGGTCACGTACGGTGAGACGGCGGCAGTCAAGACGCCTGCTGACGGCGAGACGGAGCTTGGCTTCGCGGTCGTGCACAAGAAGACGTTCGGCGGTGACAAGGTCTTCTCGTCGGCCGTGCTGCCCGTCTGGCAGCACATCTCGCCGACCGCGCCCGCCACCACCGTAACTCTCCCGCTCTCCGGCTCGCACCCCGGCGAGCTCGTCGTCAGCCTCTCGGTGCGTGCGCTGCTCCAGTCTACTCCGACTTTGGGCTGACCCTTTCTTCACACACAGTGGATCCCCGTTCCCGCCTTCCTCAACTCTGGTTCGCGCGCGCCCTCCGAGGCTGACGTCCGCTCCCTCGCCGACTCGACTGCGGGTGGTTCGCCTGCCGGCAAGACGAGATCGCGCTTCTCGAGCGGCAGGTTCGGCCGGCACAAGGACCGCGAGACGACGCCCGTCGTCGAGTGAGGCTGCGCATTGACTACGCTTGCCTGTTTTCACCTCACACCGTCGTGCAAGCGTCGCTCTCGCCCTTCACAAACTGTACATGCCTCGTCTCCTTCCCGGAATTTCACCCAGTTGTCGATACCTCTATACTTGCGTTGGCTTCCTCTTCACTACTTGTCTATTGCCACGCGCTCTCAGCCTGTGCACGCCTTGCAACTTTCGAGAGAGTCGTTCACCTTCACGGCCTTCGCCGTGAAACAGCTCGACCTCCTCCCGCTCGCTTCCTTCGCGCTCGGACACGCTCAGGCTGCCTCTCAAGGCGCCAGAAAAGGTCCCTGGAACCGCACGACTGCTCCAAGCGCCGCCCACCGCCTGCGTCGCCGTCTGCCCCCGCTTCCACCCCCTCTTTCAACCAGGACCTCGTTCTCGCTTCTCACGCCCAAGGGATTGACGGTGAGGGCGTTGGAGTAAAGCAGGAATGGTTTTGCTATCATATGCGGCGGCGGCGGCCAGCTCGGCGGGTTCGTACGCTGTTTCGACAGGTGCGTCTCAATCACTCGCTTCTTCGGGAGGGGTCGACACGAACGGGTAGGCTAGTCGAGCGCTGTGGGACCTGACAGAGTCTGTATTGTACCGTGCAGCCTCGTCCTATGTCTTCCGCAGCGATGCCTCGACGTCGACCGCTCCTTCACCTGCTTCATCCTCCAAGTCGTCCAAAAAAGCGAGCTCCTTCATGCCCGCCACACCCGCACACGCCGCACGCCAGAACGGCGCATCGAAGAAGGGCACGTCTCCGCCAGCCCTGAACCGCCGCCTCTCCGTTCGCCGCGGTCAATCTCGTAACCGTCTTCCTTCCGCCGCTCGTCCGCTTGCTGCTGAGCCACCAATCGAAGAACGAGGAGAAGGGGAAGATCTTGTCGATACGGTCAACCTGGAGGAGGACTTGTACGCCATTCTGGGAGTCGGGAGGAAGGCAAAGACGGATGAGATTCGGCGGGCGTTCTTGGCGAGGAGCAGGATCATCCATCCCGAGTAAGTCGGCGTCTCCGTCGCTGGCCCCTCATTGTTCGACAGCCGAGTTCTTGATGGCCTTACTGGCACGAGCAGGATTCACTGACACCCTTTTCTCGCTCGCAGCAAACTTCCTCTTTACCCGCCGGCTACAACGGCCTTCCAACGCCTCTCTTACGCCTACGAGACGCTCTCGAAGCCCAGTTCTCGTCGCTTGTACGATCTTGGAGGAGGAAGAGGCTACGATCCAGGTGCGTCGTGCTCACCTCCCATCTACTCGCAACCAGCGATCCGTCTCCGCTGCAGGCTCAGCTGACGGTCTGCCATGTTGACGCAGCCAAGTCCCCTGCGCCTTCCGACAACATGGCCGACGAGACGCTGAACAGCGTCTTGCGCAACGTGATCAACGAGGTGCGCGACCTCTTTCGATGTTCGCGGGGCTGGGTTGCTCCGGATGACCAGCTTGCTGAAGCCTTGCATGATTGCAGTTCCTCAATGGCGACTTTGAGATGATTCGCGTCTTCGTCAGTGCGTGGCAGCTCTTCGCTTTTTCCGAGAAGGAAATACGTGCTCACTTCGGCTGATATCCCTACAGCCGCCATGAACGAGAGCAATCCAGGTCTCAACATTGGCGACGAGGCTGTCGACAGCGTCGAGGGCGCTTTCAGGCGTGTACGCGAAGTCCTGCTGGGTTCGTTCCGCCTCCTATTCCAGGTCGATCCTGATCAGCACTGATGTACTCGCTCGTTGATGTTCCGCACAGCGGGATCACGCTACCTCAGCCTCATCAAGTTCGAGCTCTGCCGCCTCTACGAGATCCAGTCGTCGCTCCGTTCCCTCTCCTACTTCGACGTCTACGGCCGCCTCCGCCTCACCCTTGCCCTCACGCGCGTCACTCTCGAAATTCCGATGGTCCTCGACAAGGCGATGCGCGAAGAGCTTCCCGCGCCGCCGCCTTCTCCGGCAACCGACTCCAGTCGCAAGCGCGGGGATTCGAGGAGTTCGCGTCCTGCGCCGGACGGTGGGCAGCTTGAGCGGAGGGGACTGCTCGGTACGAAGACGAGGGGGATGCTCGTTCTTACATGCAAGATGCTCGAGAAGGCGGAGCGTTGGGCCGGCACGCCTTCCTCGCCGACTTCCTCCTCCAAGGTGGCAGCTTGACCCCGCCTCTTCGCCGCCATTATACCCCTTCGCCTTTCAGCGCCGACCCTGACCCCCTTCTGCACAGCCGCGACTCGCAAATTCACCTTACACGTCGCACTGCCGCCTTGCCATCCATACCCTCGTTCGGCCTCTCCCTTCCAACTACCCTTTCCCGCTCACGTAATACCCCACCTCAGTGCCGTCTTCCTGTCGTTGTCGAATACAGCTTTTCTCGCCACGTTCTCGCAGTCTTGCGCTCCTATCGAGCCCCGCGGATTGTCCGGATCTCGCTTAACCTCCTCAGCACTCGGGCTTTCCCTCCTTCCCTTCCCTCCCTTGCTGACTTCGTCGCTGACGCTGACGAGATGGCCGACGAACGCGACCGACTGCACGTCCTCGCTCAGGCTGCTGGACGTGTTTCGCCGGCACATCCACCTGCCCTTCCCACGATCCTCCACTCGGTCTCCGTCGTAGGGGAACTTGAACGGGTTCGTCTGGGACTGCAACGCCAGGAGCCTCACATGTACATCCCACAGCCTCTTGTGGTGCACGGTCAGTGGGCGTCGACTAAACAGATCCTCTGCCGAAACTCATGCTTTGGCTAGCAGGTCCGGCTGCGCTTCTGCTCTGGTTCACGGCGCGACAGGCACAAGGAGGACGCGCTGGTCCTCAGCTGAGCTTCTATTCCGCCCTTTGCTCGACTGCCGACACCCTGGTGCGTCGCGGCCGAACTCTCCTCGTCGTAGAGTACGATTGACGGGTTTGGATTTCGCAGGAGACGCTCAACCAGGTCTACTTGACGGTGCCCAACGGCGCTTCTTCGGCCACCGGCAGATCTCAGTGGCATTCAATCGAGACGAGAAGCGGCGTGTGCTCCTGTCCTTCTTCGCAGACAGGCCGCCGCCAGGACTGACCCACCGTCTTCACAGGCGCAACTGCTCTACACCCAGGAGACTGTGAAGCCAGGAGGTCTGCCTTTCGCCAGCGCCGTCAAATTCAGGGATGCCGCCGGCTTCAACCACAACCGCGGCCCGCACAACTACCCAACCGGCAACGCCTCATTCCCGGACGGCACCTCTGTCAAGCTCTTGTACGCTGCGGCGCATGTCCAGCTGTACGACCTGCTAGACAGGTGGGTCCACGAGGGCGGTCTCTCCCCATCGGACGCGGGTCTCCAGGACAGCCAGCACCTTGTCCTCCTCTCGATCGCCATGCTCATGCAGCAGGAGGCGAACGATGCAGAATTGTCGAGCCACGAGCCGATCGAGACGAAGCTTCACATCGCGCTGCTTGGCGAGACGCCCGCCTCGCGCAGCACAATTCTCGGGACCTTGCGGCGGATCGTGCAGCACGCCGTCGCGCACTGTCCGATGTGGAACCCAGCGGAGCCCTTTGCTACGCCCTGGGTCCGCGACCACATCAACTGGTGCAACTCGCTCAGAACGACAGCACAAGTTCACTACCCGAACTTGCAGGATCCGCAATTCTACCGCACGCACCTCATTCGGGCTGTCGAAGTCTGCCGAGTGCGTGTACTGGTTCTTAACAGCAAGACTGTATGCTGATCCGACGTCCTGCTCGCAGCGCGTTCTCGTCCGTCTAGTCCTTCTGCTCGCTCGACGTCGACCTGACCCTTTCTCCTCCGTCGCAGGCCGTCCACACCCCTCGCCCGAACCCTCAAGCAGCCCTGCGCGCTCCTCCCGGCCATCCCGCTCACGTCGCTGTCGCACGTCAAGCGAACGGCCAACCGGTCATCGTCCACCTCCGTCAGCAGCCAATGAACCGACAGCAGGTTGTCGACCGCCGCGCTGCCCTGGACGCCCTTCGCGGGCGTCAATGAATGCAGCTGGTCGATCCGCGCGTGAGGATGATGGACATTCGCGGTGGACGACAGCCCGCGCCTGTTCATGTGCCCGTCAACTTCGGACAACCTCCTCAACCCGACCCGCCCCGCGGCGAGCCGCCTCGCGACTACCGCGGCCACCCTGTCAAGCAGGAGAGCGACAGCGACAGCGACTAGCTTTGTTCTCCCCTTCTCTCCCACCCTCTCTCGCGACTTGAACCTTCCTAAAGTGCTGTAAGACTGCGAATGTAGGGTTGCAAAGCGATGCGAGTTACGAGGGATGACATGCGAAGCGAGTGAGAGTGATGGCAAAAAGCGTGTGCGTACGGGCGACAGACGAAAGACGAAGCGATGCGAGAGAAACTGATGCGAAGCGACGGATGAAGAAGCGAGTCTAGCTGAGGACTTCGAGGGAGCGCTACGTACGAGACGAGCGCGTCGTTAGCGAACACGCGAGAGAAGCGCAAGAAGAGAGAAGAACGCACGCTCCACTGGATGACCTTTTCGTGCGCGAGCACCTTTTTCGGATCGAAGCGGAGGACCTGCAGTCCCTCGAGGGACGTGGCGCGGGAAAGGGCGACGTACGACTGGCCTGTTGGTCGTGCTCGTCAGCCCAGCGGAACGGGAGAAGGAAAGGGAAGAAGAGACGAACCCTTCTCGAAGACTTTGCCGAGGTCGACTTTGACGCGCTGGATCGTCTGGCCTTGCGACTTGTGGATGCTGCAGAGGCGCTGTCTGTGAGCGAAGCACTCAAAATGCAGGAGGAGGAGCGGAAGCGTACCTCATCGCCCAGGCGCTGCGAATCGAGGAGGTAGAGGGTTAGCGAACCACGAGGGTGGATGAGCGAGACAAGACGAGAGAGCGCACAGGATGATCGGGTACTGTCGCGACGCAGGACGTCAGTCGTCAAGCCCAACAAGCGAGCGAGAACAGTCCGGCAACGCACCTGCTTCCGCCAACTCAACTTCTGCCCGTTGTTGTCCTCGTGCTTGAACTCCTCGCGGACCATGACCTTCTTCTCGATCCCGTTCGGCGTCTGCCACGCGACGACCGGACCCTGCTCGATCCTCCCGCTCGCGACGCCCTCGGCAATCTTCTGCCTCTTGCGCGCCTCGGTGACGCTCATCTCGCCCTTGATCCGCACCGGCTCGTCGCACGAATTGAGCGTCCATCCTTCCTTCCCCTCTCCCCCGTCCTCATCCTCGTCATCCGCAAGTTCCGGCACCCCAAAACCCACCACATGCCCAACCGTGCCATTGACCAAGTTCTGGTCCAAGTTCTTAATCAACATGACCTGAGCGCCAATCTTGAGTTCGAGAACGTCGGGCGCCATGATGTTTTTGAACCATTGGCCTTGTTTAGAGGGGTCGGGTTCCGAGTCTTCGGCGCGGAAGAGGCGCGATTCGCCTGCGAGTGAGCGGAGGCGGTTTTGGTTCGCGCGGTCGACGTCGTGGCGCATGGGGAAGCTGCCGAAACCCATCATCAGCGCGTCAGTGAGAGAGACAGGGAGGAAAGCAAGGCAGGGGGGGACGAACAGCTCGGTGGGCTCGATCTCGCTGTACTTGAGTTCGCGCTTGAGCGCGTAAAACTTGTCGATCGACGACTGGCTCAACTTGCCGAACCTCATCTCGTTCAGCATGTCGATGAACTCTGCCCACCCTCAACCTCGTCAGCCCACTCAAGCGAGCGAAGGAAGGAAGCTTCGAACGCACCCGTATCCTTCTGCCTAAACACCTGCGTCAAGTTGACCGTGTGGTGGATACACTCCTTCCACGCCTGCGCCTCGAACGCGAACGTCGGACTCGAGCCTTTGGTGACGGGCGGGAGCTGGAAGAAGTCGCCTGTTACGACGAGCTGCGGTCACGAGCGAGCGTTAGCGGAAGAGACAGAGACAGAGAAGGACGAGAGATGGAAGGAGGGAAGGGACGCACCTGGATGCCCCCGAAAGGTTTGGACGACGCCGTCTTCGAGCGCGGGTTCTTCTTGAGCGACTCGGCGATCTTGGCGAGTTTGTCAAAGAGGATCCCGTCGACCATCGAGACTGCGCTCCGGCGACCGTCAGTAAGGAGTTACGTGAGAGAGGGTGGTGGGAGCGAGCGCACCTTCGTCGACGACGAGCACCTTGACCCTCTGCCACTTGGCATTGGCGTTCCTGTTCTTCTTGATGTTGGCAACCAGTTGCTCGACACTGCCCGTCCCGATCCCGATACTCGCAAACGAGTGAATCGTCTGTCCACCAATGTTGCACGCCGCCATGCCCGTCGAGGCCGTGACGGCGACGGCGTCGGCGTTGGATTTGTATTTGCGCTTGAGGGACGAGATGATTTCGCGGAGGAGGACGGATTTGCCCGTTCCTGCGCCAACTCACTATCAGTTCCAGCGAGAGAAAGAGGGGGGGAGGAGAGACGCACCGGCGGACCCGGTGAAGAAGACGTTCTTGCCGTCCTCGACAACCAACTTGTGAACCGTCTGTTGTTCCGGACTCAAGACGACCTTCTGCTTGATATCCATCGACTCGCTCATCAACAACCTCCCTGCACCGCCCGCTGCGTTCCTGACGCCTGACGGACCGGCGAGTTCGTGAAAGTTGCGCGACGAGGAGGAGGAAGAGGTGGTTGAGCGTGAGGTCGAGGCTTCGAGTTCTTCCCAGGGCAGGGTGCGCTTCTTGGGTAGGACGGAGCCGGTCGTGGGGTTGTTGTAGGCGTAGGTCGACGGCCCGGGACGCGAGGAGGAGGAGGAAGTCGAGGCGGAGGGAGCACGGCGGAAGAGCGGCGCGAGAGGGACCTTGCTTCCACCAGGAGACTCCTTGACGAACGCGGGCTTCTGCACGCTCGCGAGCGGCCTCCCCTGCGCCTGTCCTCCCATCGCCCTCGCGCCCGACTGTCCGCCCAATCCTCCCATCGCACTCGGCTGCTTGCCCTTCGCGGCGGTGACCACCGCCGTGCGCTTCTTAGGCGGCGTCGGCGGCCACTCGTCCGACCCGAGTACGAAGTCGGGTCGCGTGTTTTCGGGTTCGTCGTTGTCCGAGTTGGGCGAGTCGCCCCATGAGCGTTTGGGCTGCGAGGACAGCATGCGTGGTTTGGACATGCCCAGCGAGAGTCTAGCCGTGTCTAGCCAGCCAGCGAGTGAGTGAGAGTGAGAGAGAGTAAGCGAGTTGAGCGATGTCAACCTTGAGAGCGCGTCGACGCGAGGGTTGATTTCGGCGCACGTGACTCTCGGGTTGACGTGTCTGAGCTTTGACCCAAACGAAGCGAACCACCTCGCCTCGCTCTCTCACTCTCTTCTTTCTCCTTCAACGCACACCGGGCTCACGACTCCTCTCACGGGGAGTCACAACGGCCACTTCCAGCAACTGGGGCACCGAGGCATTCTTGGCGGTTACAGCAACCAGCCTGCCCACGACTTGGCTGCTCAAACCACTCCTGGCGCGTGTGCAGACCCGACCTCCCCGCCTCTCCTCCGCTCGACGTACCCTGCCCGGCTTCCCACTCCTCTTGCTCTCGCCCCCTCGGGGGCTTGAGAGCGAGGAACGAGGTCGTGCGGCGGGGAAGGTCCTTCATGCTCGTCTGCGATGGCGAGGAGCGCGACGAGGCGCTGGAGATGCCGTACATTCCTCGACTCGCTGTAGGGCGCTTAGTTTTCGCCCGTGACGGGGTAGTCACAACCGTACGGCGGACATTTTACTCCCGCTCTCTTCTGTAACTCGCGCGTTCGTTCTGCAGCATCGGTCGTCGAGAGAGCAGAGGGACTCGCTTCGGGCTTTGGACTCGCTGGGCAGGAGTAAGCTACGATGCACGAGCGACGAGGTGGTACGGGCGGATGCGAGGACGAGGAAGTCTGGCAAGCTAACCTACCCCTTCTCCCCCTCCGACTCCCTCACCCTCTCTCACTCCGCCCTCCCCTTCTCCTTCTCCCTCCCCATCTTCTCCTGCACCACACAATCATCAGCTCTCATTCGCGCGCAAAGAGGAGAGAGCCTTAACAACGCACCTCGACCGCAACTCCCCTCTCAAGCGCACACATCCTCCTCACCTCATCTTCCTCCCCCAGCACCACGCACTGTGTCCACCCATCGGCTGGCGTCAGCACCACCTCAACCTCAACTCGAGGAGGGAAGGGGGAAAGGACGGACCCGAGCGAGGTGGTCGCGCAACACACTCGGTTTCTTCCACCCTCCCCTCTCTCCTCCTTCTCCGGAGGTTGAGGGGCGTAGGAACGAGAATCCGCATGCGCATGAGAGGGACGGGAATCGGTGCGTCAAGAGTGCGCGAAGGAACGTGTTCCGTTTCGCCTGTACTCCCCCTCCCCTCAAAGCTCGTTAGTGTTGTCCGAGGAGGGAGAGAGTCGGGGTGACGCACGGATGAGGAAGAGTAGGGGAAGACTTCGTTTTCGCTCTCGTTTTGGTTCGAGCGAGAGGAAGAGGGGGAGGTGAAGACTCGGACGTAGGACGAGGGTGGGAAAGTGAGGAGTGTTGAGCGCTGGGTCGGGGACAGGGAGCGGTAAGGGCTTGTGCTGCGCGCATCGAGCGGAGGAGGGGGCTTTGTCAGGAAGAAAGCGAGGGGAGGGGAAGAGAGGGGAGGGACGCACGAGGGGAGGAACGCGCGGAGCGAGGGAGTCCAGCGGATTGTGAGCGGTTCGGCTGCGTAGCGTCAGTTCGAGCGTAAGCGACCCTTGCGCGTGTGGATAAGAGCAGAAGAAAGCGGAGAGGAGAGGAAGGGGATACGCACTCGCTGGCTCAGTCACCACTCCTCCCCCCGCCTCCGCTCCGCTCCTCTTCCTCCCCTTATTCCCCCTCGCATTCCCTCCTCCTCCTCCTTCCTCGCGCTCAGGAACCCACTCCGCATCGCTCTCCCTCCCCTTCTCCCTCCCCTCCTCCCCATTCCCATCCGCAGACGACCCGCCCGAGGCGCGATACGCCCAGTCGTGCGCAAGGAAATCTGCTCTAGCTTTCTCCAATGCCGGACCCGCTAGAGCTGCGTAGGGGTCCGTAGATGCGTGGTTGGAGATATCGGAATCGCTGTCTGAGTTTGAGGTTGAGGCTTCTGTGGGGAAGGTGGCATTGGGAGGAAGGGGACGAGGGAATGAGAGAGGAGTGTGAGGAGCGTGGGGAGGAGGGGGAGGGGGGAAGTAAGCGGGCGGAAGCGTCGTCGACGTCGAGGTCGGACCAGAGGCGGAAGTCGCGGAAGGGAAAGCGAAAGACGCCCTCACCCTCCCTCCTCCTCCGACTCCTACTCCTCCAGCTCCGCCTGCTTCGAACGGCGTCGGAGCGGATGAAGAGCGCGTTGAGGAAGAAGAGCTGGAGAGGAGCGGGAGGGAGGGGAAGAGTGCGGGTGCGAGTGCGGGTGCGGGTTGAGAGCGTTGAGAAGGGACCGGAGCGGGTTCTGTGCCTTCCAAACGTCGTCGTCAACTCACCTCGAACCTCTAGAAAGCCCCGGACGACGCACCTGCACCTCCCTCCCCCTCCCCCTCTGCCCTTCCCATCCCCCCCTCCTCCCGCTCTCCCAACGCCCTCCGGATAGCCCAAAGCGGCACAAACACCCCCACCCCCTCATTCGTGAGCGTGTCGAAACCGGGTCCGTCGGTGGGAGAGGTGGCGGGTGAGAGGGTTAGGGCGGTCAGAGTAGGGCCGGAGGAGGAGCGGAAGGGCGGTAAGGGGTGTGACATGTGTGGAGAAGACGGGGCGGGTGATAGCGAGGTCGACGAGCGAGGAGAGCGGAGAAGCGAGTGAAGAGACGGAGGCAGAGAGCGAAGGAGGGGGAGCGGTGTCTCTCAAGGGGAGTGATCCGGTCAATGGCGGGCCTACCTGCTCTGTGCGACTGCAGGAAGACGTTCTACACCTGTTCGCTCCAGCTGTTCCCGCCGCTGACAGACGAAGTCTCCGTCGCCGTCTTCTCCGACTCTGCACCTGACACCCGTCGTCTTGCGCGAGAAGCTGCGGTAGTGGCGCTTCTGCGAATGAAGGATAATTCGGTAAGCGACGGGACGGGTTCTGGAAGCCTTGCTAGCGAGCGAGATCGCGAGCTAGGCGAGAAGAAGCGGTCGCAACACACCTTGGGTGGTGGCCATGAGTTTGACTGCGCTCTGCGCGTCGTGTCACGTCATACGGGCGGAGCACGTGTCTGTGGTGAGGGCTGTGAGGCGAGAAAGCGGATCAGGACCGAGGAGAAGCCGGTCCAAGACTCGAACGGGATGCACCTGTTCCGCTTCCTCTCTTCCCGCTCAGCTCACGTCGCCGCGACCACCTGCTTCGTCTCTTCACCGCCATTCAGTTCCGCAGCATCGCCTGCTGCGGCGCAAGCTCCCGCACCTCCCCCGTCCTCCTTCTTCCCTCCCTCGCTCGCCAATCCCCCCATCGCCTCACCCAACCCCAACCCCTCTCTCTCCCTCCACCCCGCCCAATGCGCCACCATCTTCCCCGCCCACTCCTGCGCCAACAGCGGCTGTTCCTTCAGTGCCTTGCGGAACGGCGCGGAGGAAGTGAGGAGCGTTAGCTGGTGGAGACTTTGTGGGTATTGGAGGAAGCGGCTGTAAGTGGGTTGGCGGAAGTAGAGGAGGTAGGTTAGGTAGCTGTGCGCACATGAAGCTTTCCGTATCAGTACCGAGCCTCGAGGGAGGGGAAGGAGAGAGAGAGGAGGTCGTCGCGTGAGGACGCACTTGAGGAACGGTTCCGAGTCGAAGAGGCCTTGTTGTGCGAGTGCTGTGGGAGCGGCAAAGCAGTGTCAGCGCAATTCCTTCGGTAGGGTGAAGCGAGACCGTCCCCTTCGCGAGGAAGAAGCAGTCCCGCATCCACCGCACAGGACTCGCCGGACGCACACTGGAGGTAGAACGGGTTCGCAAGGCAGGAGACGAACTGCACGAGCCGCAACACGGCGGATCAGCGTTCTCTCTCCCCTCGCGAGGTGTTCTCCCCGCCGAGACTGATGAAGCGGTCACGCACCTCGAGTTCCGTCTCGAAGCGGATCTTGTTGGCGAGGCGTTGTGGGTCGGGTGGTTGTGCAGCCGGTGCGGGTGCGGGCGACGCCATGGCATGTAACGAGTGGGCGTCAAGGGCAACAGTTGGACGACAGCAGCGCAGCAGCACCAGGTCACTCTCCGCCAGCAGATTCTTCAGCGAGTCGAGCAGGAGCACTCACTCACTCTCCACGGCTCATTCCCATTCTGTGACTGTCCGGGTTCTTTGCAACTCCAGACGACACAGGAGAACCTCTCCGCCGTCGCTGTCCCCCTGTCCCTCGCCAAAACGCCGCGATCCGCCGTCCCTCCCTCTTCTCGCCGCCTCACCGCTTCGCACGACTGACGGACAGCTCGCACGGACTCTGTGTCACCTGCTCGACATCAGCCCCGTCAGCACCCGCTGCCCACCCCGTGCCCGCTGTCGAGCCGGGCGTTGGGCCCTCGGCGCGGGAGGTGGAGGCCTCGTTTGCTCCGCCGTGCCTCCGCCTCCGCCCTCGCTTACGCACGCTGAGCCTGTCGACGGCGAGCGGACCTCGGGATGACTGGGCACCGCTCGACTCCGCCCGCCGAGATCGCGCAATGCTTGCTTCCCTTCTCCTCACTCACTCCGCTTGAGAGACTCCCTACCTCGCGATGCTCTCGTTCTCCCGCCGCTCGTCGTCCTCGTCCGTCTCGACCCTCGCGTCGACGACTGCCTCGACCCGCTCGACCGTCGCAAGCAGCACCTTTGATCTCCTCGAACCGGTCGACCTCTGCTCCCTCCCCGTCGAACTCGTCGCCGCATCCCTCAAGCAGCCCACCAAGTCGCACTCGCACTCGCACTCGCATCATCACCGCGAGCACCGTCCGCGCTGCACGCTCGATTCCGAGGACGAGAAGCTCGATTCGATCTTTGTGAGTCTGCGCGGCCGTCCTCCTCGACTCGGTCGCTGACTTGCTCCGTCACCCGCCAGTCCTTCCCGCGCAATCACACGACGCACGCGCGCTGCCCCAAGCACGGAATCGTCCACGACCCCGCGCTCGCACTCCCTGAACGCAACTCGCGCGAGACGTCCAGCTTCGAGAGTAGCTGCTCTTCGACGAAATCGACTCGCTCGCTCAAGGTGCGTTTGCGCCCACTTGCCGCCTGCAAGTCACAGCGACTGACTCGATCTCGACCTTGCAGTGCGCATTGAAGCGTGTCGTCTCGCTCAAAAGGCCATGAGCCATCCCCTCTCCCTCACCTCCATCTCGCTCGGCCATCCCAGTCATCGCCGCACACCGCTCAAGACGTCCAGCACGACGCACCACCACCACTCAGGCAGTACTTAAGCAGTACATAGTCGCCTTTCGCCCGGCCAGGTCGGACGCAGGTCGTCCACTTCGCTCGCCAAGATCACCTATGATCACCTTGTCGCGCCCTCGTCCTCGGCAGTATCGGAGGAACGGAACCGTTGTTCTTGCGCAATGTTGGTTCGTTGCAGAGGTCTGTAGGGTAAATAGTAACGAAGTCGCGCTTGTTGTACGACCTCCAGCTTCCGTCCGCAACCCGCTCCTCTCGCTCATCTCGCTGCCCGCTCGTCCGCTTCTCGCACCCGTTCAGCTCGAGAGCCAGTCTCCTCCTCCCAATGAATCAATCCGCCCCATCCAAGATCGTCCAAACAACAAGCCGAATCGCAGCCGTCACCTCCTCGATCGAATAAGGCTTGCCCTCCCTGCCTCTCGTCAAAAACGTCAATTCCCAAAATCACGCGCAGGGAGAGCATCGAGACGCACGGAGGGATGTGGATGAATTGCACGGGCGTTGGGGAGTTGGGGCGGAGGTGGAGGGCGGTTGAGAGGGAGGTGTAGAAGGAGTATTCGCATAGGTATAGACCTGCAAGAGAATACGTCAGCGCGACGTGCAGCAAGAAAAAGAATCAGGGCTGGTCACGCACCTGCATCCTCCGACAGCGAAACGTGCTCGAAGCCCGCCGCCCTCAGCCGCCCAACCACCTTCTTTCCGTCGACCCTAGTCCTCAGTTCCTCTGGCGAATCCCTCCACGCCTCATCAGCGAACCCTCTTCGTCCGTCCGCGGCCACGTCAGCCAATTTGTCCGCCGCATCCGTACTGTCGTAGCCGTACTTTCTCGCGCGCTGTTCAAGGCGGATCTGTCGGTCCTGGCCGCTGACGCCGACGTGTACGACGAGGTTGGGTGCAGAACCGTTTGTTCCTGCTTCTTGGAGAGAGGGAGCGAGGCGAGTTACGGCTTCGTATTCGACGGGAAGGAAGGAAGCGGAGAAATGGATCGGACGGGAGGGTACGCGAGAGGTGGGAGTGTCGCTCGGTGGGTGAGCGGCTGGCAGAGGTTCAGTGGAGAGGGTTGTTTCGTGCAAAGGCCGGACCGCTTCCCATGATGGGTTGACCGTCACGTCGCGGAAGGGCTGTTGACGTGGAGAAGGGGGTCAGGACAGGTGTGCGGGCAATGGAGTGAGATCGACGCACGCCAAAGCCGGTGATGTGTACTCTGTAAGGTTTCTGCGAGTCGTCAAGCTGTCCTAGCGGAGCCATGGCGTGTGCAAGGTGAAGTTGGAGGACGGAGAGGAGGGGCCGGCGAAGGTTGCTCCTGTTGTCACTCGTCACTCAGCTCGAGGGGACTCGCAGGCTGGCTTGACTGAGTTTGACTGCCTCAAAGACTGCACTGGTCGACCCGCCATCCCGCCCCAATCCCTCCTCTCCCTCCTCCTCTCCCCACCTCCTCCTCATCAGTCCCCGGCACAAACGATGCACTCGCCCTTCTCGCTAGCGCCGCTGATACGACCAGACGTACTCGGGACAGAGCAAATTACGGCGACACTTCTTCACGGTGCGTGCGAGTGCTCAGGGACGCGAGGCGACGGACTTACCCTGATCTCATCCAGCCGACCGTATCGTCTTGGGCACTGAGCGGGGGACGCTGCTTGTGTTTGACCTTTCTCGAGCTTCGACGAGTACTGGTGAGTCAGCTTCGGCTCAATCGGGCGCCGCAGCTGACCCCTCGTGCAGCACCTCCGACCGCAACTCTCGTTAACCGGCATGACGGCTTTGCGAAGAAAAGCATCGAGCAGCTGGGCGTGATCAAGGAACTGAACGCGCTCGTCTGCCTCAGCGGTGCGTCCCGCCCATCGTCCTGAGCGAACATTGCTGACCTCGTCGTAAACAGGCGGAGACCTCACCTTGCATTCCTTCCCTGACTTCGCCCTCCTTTCCTCCTTCGCAAGCCAAACGAAAGCTTCCGCATCCGTCTTTGCACTCTCGACCGAAGTCCACCACCCCGCAGCAAACGCCGACGTCCCCCGTGCCGTCCCCGAGATCCACACCACTCTCGCCGTCGCCTGCAAGCGTCGACTGATCCTCCTCAGCTGGGTCGACGGGACGTGGAATCCGCAAGTCGAGGTCTCGCTCCCTCATCAGATCCGCGGCATGGCTTTTGATGGTCGACGACTCGTTGCGGGCTTCTCGACGGGCGAATACGGCGTCATCACGCTTTCGCCGCTCGAGGGCAAGGGCGCCGGTCAACCGCCGACGCTGGGCGACCTCTTCTCTCTGCCTCTCCCGCTGGCAGAGCGGCCGTCACGCACGGGCGTGCCCGGACTAGGAGGACTTGGCGGTTTAGGAAACGTCGTCAGTCTCGGGGCGCTCAACGCATTGTCGAAGAAGCTCGAGAAGAACGGTGTCGTCCGAGTACCGCGGCGGACGAGGCGGCAGAGACCTGAGCGTCCGGAGGAGAGGAAGGTCGAGTCGGAGTGGCTTTGGGCGGAAGAGTGGGGTTGGCAGAATGAGAAGGCGGACGAGCCGGGCGAGGTGCTCGTTGTTCGTGATAGTACGTGTCAGACACCTCTCGCTTCTGAGCCTGTGCTGACAGGACCGCGCAGACGTTGTTCTTCCGCTGTCATCGACCGGCAAGCCCCGCCCAGCCGACCGCCCATCAGCCTCGGCACCCAGCATCTCCTACCATTCCTCCGTCAACGAGGCGCTCGTCTGTCCTCCCTACGTCGTCTCCCTGGTCGCGCCTACTTCACCAGCTCCAGGAACCACCGCTAGCTCCGCCACTCCTCACTACTCGCTCGCCGTCCACGCTCTTGAGACCCTTGAACCCGTTCAGACACTCTCACTACCACCAACCGCTTCGTCTCCGCCCGCATCCATCGCCGAGTCTACCCTCTCCGCAATGAATCGCTCGGCAGCTCCCGCCAAACCTGCGACTCTCGCCCGCCTTCTCACCGTCTCGGCATCTACGCCCAAGCCGCCTCTCCTCGTCCTCACCAGCACGCCCGCGAATACTACAGCTCCGACAGCGCCAGGCGCCGCGTCAGAGCAGACTCTCTGGGTCGCGACGGTGGACAGCTGGCAGTCTCAGCTTGAGGAGCTTGGCAAGCAGGGGAGATGGGAAGAGGGCATTGCTCTCCTGCGCGGCTCGTTCGACGTCCTCACAGACCCTTTACCTGTACGTTCGGATCCTCTTCCCGCAGCTCCTCCCGCTGACTTCGTCCTCGAACAGCCTCCTCTCTCCCGCCGACTCGCCACGCTTCACGCCCTCCACCTCTTCAAAACGCATCGCTACAACCTCGCCATCGACGCCTTCATCGCTCTCGACATCTCGCCCGCACGCGTCGTATGCCTCTACCCTGTCGCCATCTCCGGCAAGCTGTACCGCGAGGCATCGGCGCACGAAGAGGTTTTTGGTGGTCGTCCACATGCGCGAGTACAGGCTGCGCACGCAGAAGCGGAGGAGAAGCGACGAGCCGATGAGGAAGAGCAGCGCTCGGCAGCGCAGCAGGCGAATCAGGCGCGAGGCTCGCCGGCGACCGGGAGTCCTGCTCGGCTGAGGAAGGGTATCCTAGCTGGTACAGCGGATGAGGACGACGCGGCGTCCATCAGGAGCGTCGGGAGTCGGCTGACGGGGAAGAGCTGGTTGCGGGATCGGGAGCCGAGTACGACGCTTGACGAGATTGCGGAGAACGCAGCCCGTGCGTGCCATCCCGGTCGACCGCCTCGCTTACACTGACGTCTGCTTCAACAGGCGAGCGCGAGCAGCAGGAGAAGCATGCGGCGCAGAACTACTCGCGATCTGTCGACGAACTCGTTCGGTACCTCACAGACCGTCGGCAGAAGTACGTGCAGGCGTTCGCTGCCCTGCTCCCCTCGTCAAGACCTACGCCGTCGTCTCCGCGACCCGCAGCAGACGCCGACGAGCTGCTCAGCCTTCCGAACGAACCGCTCACGAAGCTAGGTCCCGACCAACTCGCTCGTGTCGCGCAAGTCGTCGACACGGCGCTTTTCCGGAGCTACCTCGCGACGAAGCCGGTCATGGTCGGTCCGCTGTGCCGGATCGAGAACTGGTGCGAGGTGGCGGAAGTCGAGGAGCTTCTGCTCGATACAAAGGTGCGCGCCTCTCGTCGTCGACTTCGTCCCGAAATGCTCACTCGTTGTACCTGAGCAGAAGTACCGCGAGCTGCTCGACCTGTACAACGGCAAGAACATGCACGAGAAGGCGGTCGAGCTGTTGAAGCGGTACGTTCGGCGACATGGTGGACTGAAGCGCCCTGCTAACTATCGCCGCTCTGCAGAATGAGCGAGGACGAGGACGACCTGAAGGCGAAGGTCGAGCCGACTGTGCGCTACCTTCAAAAACTCGGCCCAACGCATCTCGCCGTCATCCTTGACGCCTCGCGGTGGGTCTTCGACCAGGACGTCGCATCCGGCTTACAGGTGAGCTCCGAGGTCTACTTTGGTGTGAGCTGTGCTGATGCTCTCATGGCCGTAGATCTTCTGCGCGGACCTCGAAGAGGTCGAGTCTCTCCCCCGTCACGCTGTCATGGCGCATCTCGAAGGCGTTGGACGAGACGTCTGCATCAAGTACCTTGAGCACATTATCCGGCAGCTGGACGAGCAGGGCGCCGACTTTCACGAGAAGCTCATCGAGCTTTACCTCCAGGCGGTGCAGGCGCCATCGACGGGCAAGTGGCCCTCCTCCCCCTCTTTGATGCGGATGTCTGACTAATCTCCGCTCACAGGACGCGACGACGAGTCGTACCGGAAACTGCTCGACCTGCTCGAGACGAGCAAGTCGTACCGAGCCGACCGCATCCTCGGGCGTCTCCCGTCGGAAGATATGCACGAGGTCCGCGCTGTACTCCTCGGACGGCTCGGTCGACACGAGGGCGCGCTGCAGATCTACGTCTATCAGCTGGAGGACCATGCGACGGCGGAGCAGTGAGTCGGCCCTCTCGCGAGGTTCCCCGCTCTGGCCGCTCACGTTTCCCTCGCAGGTACTGCAAGCGCGTGTACGACTCGGACGAGTCGATGCGTCCCACTATCTTCCATCTACTCCTGCGACTGTACCTTCGTCCCCGCCAGAACCACCCGCTCTTCTTCGGCCCCGCTCTCGCCCTCCTGTCGACCCGAGCTGCTCGTATCGATCCCATCGAGGCCTTCGAGCTGCTGCCGCCTCTCGTCGCCGTCAGCGACATCAAGGTGTATCTCGAAAAGACTCTGCGACGGAGCAACGAGCGTGCGCGTGAGGCAAAGATGGTCAAGGCGATCGGACGAAGCTGGGTCGACCAGGCAGACCGCGAGGTGGTCGACCTCGAGGAGAGGCGCGTCAAGGTGACGGAGGGCAGAGTGTGCGTTTGGCAGCTGTACCCTTGCGCGCCGAAGCGCTCGAGGCTGACCGTTCCCGCGAACAGCTGCCCGGTCTGCCACAAGCGAATCGGCAACAGCGTGATCGCCATCCACAACCCCCAGTGCGTTCTCTCACCCCCAAAACGGTCGTCGTAATCTCCAGCTCACTCTTCTCACGGTCGCAGGGGCGAAGTCACACACTACCAATGTCGCGAGGACTTTCAGCGGACTCGCGCGTTCTGATACCTTCGCAAGCGTTATAGATACCCCTTGCATGCATCGCAACGCAGCCATACCCCGCTTGACGCGACGAGGTGCACGTCGCTCCTTTGAGCGATCCTTGTCCTCCTCTTCTCACGCTCATACTGCTTGCGCTCCTTCGGCTGCTCCTACGAGTCACTCTTGCAACTTCTGTGCATCATGGCCCCTCGCAGGCGCGTCCCCAGCAAGCTCAAGGCGTCCAGGCCGCCTCATCGTCCTTCGGTGAGTTCGCGCGTGTTGGCTGGCGAGCGGCGGCCTCGCTGGGCACGCGACGAGGGTAGCTGACACTCATTGGTTGTCCTTGACAGGCTCCAGCCGCCACACAGCCCAAGACGACGCAGGAGGCTACCCCTTCGCGCCCTTGCCACTTCGCGCTCCTCCCGCCTGAGCTCCTCATCCGCATCTTCGATGAAGCTGGCGCCGACCCCAAGTTCCTGAAGCTTTCGAAGTCGTTCTTCCACCCTGCGCGCGCCGCTCTGTACAACGACGTCAACCTCTTCTCGTGGGCGATGCTGCGCCGCTTCCTCAAGGCTCTTCAACAAGCGCCTGACACGGCTCCGATGGTCAAGAAGCTCGGTTTCAGCAACAGCAGGGAGAAGCCAGAATTGATCTCGGACTGGGAGGAACTGGCGGCGAAGTTTGCGACTCTGTCCTTCGAGGCAGGTGCGCCCACCCTCCTCCTCCAGCCCGCCGCGAATCCCGCTGATCAGGCCCTGTCGCCGTCAGATTGCTCCCTTTCAAAGGAGGAGCTCGGTGCTGCGACGCTGCGCGACGTGATCGGCCGCCTCTCTTCCCTTGAGCGGCTTCTCCTCTTCGGCAAGGCGAACTTCTTCACCATCTTCGACCCCGCTTTCTTGTCGACGGTCGATTACCTCCCGACGCTCCTCGGAGTCACCTTCTCCTTGACAGAGGTGGAGGCGTACGACGATGAGCGAGACGAGGAGATCTGCCAACGTCTCTCGCTCCTGCCAAACCTCCAGCGCGCCGAACTGTACCACAACGGCGACTTCTTGCCGCTCTCGGACGACAACATCGGACCCTCAGTCCGCCTCGAGCCGGCCAGTTGGGGTCTCACCGACCTCTGCCTGCGCGAAATGGTCTACATCGGGCCCGAGATCCGCCATCTTATCGCCGCAATGACGCCGTCCCTGCGCCTCTTCCTCCTCCAAGCGATCGACTGCTACCCCGGTCTCGCCGACGACCTCAAGCTCTTGCCGCGCTCCCTCTTCTGTCTCGACATCAAGTTCGGCTCGGCTTGCTTCGTGAACACCGCAGGACCTCTGCCTGTCCTCGATGACGCCTTGACGCGCTTTCCTGATCTCGTACACCTTCACCTCAGCAACACCATCTTCACGCCCGACCTCCTCACCCGCCTTTCCAAGAGGTCGCCAAAGATCAAGTGCCTCGACTTCGGTCACTTCGCCCCTCTCACCGGCGAGGCGCTTCTCTCGATCCTCAAGCCGGGCAAGTCGCAGCTCCAGCACCTCGAGTACATCGCCATCCGTGTCTGCCAGTGCCCGACCGACGAGGCGCTCGTTCGCGGCGATTACAGGCACAAACCGAGGTGGTGGGACGGTTTCGGAAAGAGCGATGCTGAGAGGTTTGTGAGGGCGGCCGAGCAAAGGAGCATCGAGATTGGCGGGAACGTCCTGTGCGCGTTGAGGAGGTGCAGGGCGAATGACGGACATGCGTGCAGCAGGGGATGAGCGAGGGACCGAATAGTCCGCTTGAGTGTGCTATGAGACAGTCTCCTCCAGGTGATCGTGCTAGTCCCGCTCTGTCAGAGACCAGGAGAACATGCCCACCACAAGTCTCAAGCGAGCGGCAAAAACGCATCCGCTGCACTGGACTCGCACCTCTCGAACCAGGATTTGTCACGAGTGATACAATGCGCGGCATGGAAGAGCTATAACAGGCGAAGGGGGGCAGAACGAGCGCAGAACAACGCCATCCGCAACCTTCGCAACTTCCGACTTCACTTCCTTTTCGCTCCATCCTCGACCCTGCAGCTCAGAAACGCCGGGCTGACCGGGCTTCCCATTCCTCAGGGGTCGTCCCGTAGATCGCTGCCTTCCTGGCGGTCATCGACGAGCCGAGGCCGTACCCGAAATTTGCGTGATCGTGCCGACGCTTGGAGAGACTGTGGTCCTGCTGCTGATGCTTCTCCTGCTCTTCACGCGTGAGCATCCGCGGGAGGCGGATCGATGAGGGCGTGAGAACTGGCGAGGTGACGCCGGCGAGCATGGGAGGGAGACCAGTGTGGTGCTGTGATGCCGGGGGAACCTGAGGCGGAGGGAGGGAGACGCCGTGATGGTGAGGGTTGCCTGTCTGTGGTGCTGCAGCAAGGTGTTTCTCCTCCTGTGAGACGTCGTAGACAGGAATGCCCTAAGGTAATGAACAAGCCTCAGCACAAGCGGAACGCAGCAGGGGACGGTAGCATACGGTCTCGTTCTGCAGTTCTTTGAGTGAGTACTCGCTCTGTGGGTTATGAAACGTCAGTCTTTGTGCCAGCCACGCTTGATAACGGCAGGATCTTGAGGCGGATGCAACGCACCAGAATCCATCTGATCACGTCCTGAGAAGGCTGACCTGTCCTAAGGCTCCTACGGACTTCTTCTGCAGCTAGCTCCAGCTGACGGCGAAAGGTCTTCAGGGGGTCCGAATCGTACTCGGGACTTCCGACGGCAAAGACGACGAAGATGCACCTCGCCCAGGCAGAGAGGTTCTTCGCGTCCGCACTGAGCTGATCCTCTGCTTTAGCCAACTCAGGGGCAAGGATGTGTCCATCCTTGCCGAGCGCAAATCCTGTGAGGTCACTGAAGATTTGCCTGACGGCCGCGCGGATCTCGAGCCGTGCCACTTTCTGTAGGGTCGGCATGTTGGCGTGGCTCAAACGCTCGAACGAAGCTGAACGAACAGAAAGGGAGAGGGATGGAAGGGAGAAAGCCAAGATGAACCTGAGCGACGTCGGGACTGCCGCGGAGCGCGAAGAAACCGCCGAGCAGTCCGATCTCGCCGACGTTGACCAGCAGGGGCGCCGTGTGTTCCAGTCTATTGTAAGGGCATATACGCCCACGCGTACTGCCCAGCCGTCGACATTCGCGCACGGCTCGGTTTGGATGGAGAGCTGACGAAGTTGCGAGGATGAGGAGAACAAGACGTGGCCGACTCGCGCGACTCTCAAAGCTCTGGAAGAGTCCTTCGAAAGCTGCAGGGCCTGCGCTGCGCGGACTCCAGCGGTGTGTCGGCGCAGGGTGAGCGGCAGGAGGAAGAGGAGCGTCGGCCTTTGCCAGTGCCTAACTCGCTCTGGATGGGCAAGGACAACGAGCGAAGCCTGTGACGACGAGTTTGCAGTTGAAGATATACCCTCGAAAACGGAGACTGCCGGCGCACAAAAGTATCTCCGATCTCCGCCTCGCGACCGCACCGCTTCCTGCTTGTCCTGCCGCCGCTTCGCCTCTGTCCCCACCTCAACTTCTCCTCAGAACGCCGTGCGAGCCCTGCCTGGGCCTACAAGACCGTAGATGGCGGCTTTGCGCGGCGTCATCGACGCTCCGTACCCGAGGTCCGCGTCGTTGCGACGAGACTTTGCGAGACTGCGCTCCTCCTGTTCATCTTCACGCGTGAACATCGGCGGAAGACGGATCGATGGACGCGCGAGAACTGGCGAGGTAACGCCGGCGAGCATGGGAGGGAGGCCGGCGTGCGGCTGCGTCGGAGGGAAGTGAAGCGGAGGAAGGGAGACGCCGTGGTGAGGGTGTCCTGCGTGTCGCGCAGGTGCGTGCTGTGGCGTGGTCACATGCGGTTCCTGCCCCTGAGACGCGTCGAAAACCGGGATGCCCTGTTACAGACCTCATTGTGAGCAGCGAGCGCGACCTAGCGGGATGGGCAGCTACGTGCGGACTTCTCTTGCAGTGACGCAAGCGAGTAGTTGTGCTGTGGAATGCACAGAGTCAGCGTGGCATTTCACCCCTGAGAGATACACGGAAATAATCGAGGGACGCACCAGGACCCACTGGACAACGTCGTCCCGAGACTCATTCATCCTCGCGTGCACGCCTCGTTCAGCTTCCTCAATCAGGTTGCGTAGCGTGGCCAACGAATTGGGCGGGTGCGTGTTCAGCCCCCGGCCAGTCGAGAGACCGACAAAGATGCACCGCGCCCAGGTGTAGAGGTTCTTGGCCTCGGTGCTGAGGACTTCGTCTGCCTCCTGCATGTGCGCATTGTACATGAAGCCGTCCTGGCCGATCGGGAACCCTGTGAGCTCCTCGTAAATCGCCCTGACAGCCTTGCGGATCTTGGACGGGGCTGTCACTTGTGCGCTTGGCATGTCGAGGAGCTGAGCGGTGATCAGGAGAGGGTGGGAAGCAGTGAAGAAAGTGGACGAGGGAGTAATGTAGAAGAGAAAGCAAGCCGAAATGACTGCGAGCAAGGACGGAAATGCCGGCGAAAGGACGGACACTCCGTCGGAAAGTCCTGCGCTGCTCCGTCAGACGACCGCGTAAAGGTGCATTGCTGAGGTGAGATGATTTGGGTCGGTCGATGATTCAGCAACGTGCGGGCAAGGCAGGGCGAATGAAGCAGGAGGCGAGGCGAGGAGCGCGCGAGGGTGTGTGTCGCCTGCTGCAAGTTCTCGGAGCGCTGTCCGCGCCGATTGGGCCACTCACAGCCTTCACAGGCTCGCTAGCGCTGTTGGCTGGCCCTCGGAACTCCTCGATGGGTCGGTAACGTCGAAGGGTGATGAGATTGTGAGGACGGGGAGAACGAGACGCGGGAAGCTGGCGCAAGTTCGCAGTCCTCGCGAGAGCCTGTCAGAAGTCAAAGCAAGAGCGCTGCGCCCGTTCCAGCGGTGTGATGGCGCGCAGTGAGCGGTCGAAGGGAGAGCCATGGCCGCAAATCTTCCCGGGTCTGGTCTCTCTTCTCCGCCTCGCTGTCGTAGCAGCTCGAGTTCCTCAGCTTAGCCATGCTTGCGACTCGCCAGGCTCTCCGCCTCACCGCCAACAGGCAGCTCGCGCCCTCGCTCGCGGCGTCGGCTCGTTCGTGTGCGTCCACCACCCCTCCACCGCCTCGTCGCCCGAACAGCCGTTCGCCACTGCGCTAGGGAGCTACTGAAGACGAAGATGGAGGACCAGAGCTGACCTTGACATCCCGCGCACGCAGTTTCGGCCGTCGCTCGCCCCGTCTCGCAGATTGCCGCCGTTCGCGCTGCTGCTCCCCGAGTCGCTGTCCTCGGCCGTGCCCGTGAGTAGGGTCCACAGAGCTGTGTTGCGGCGAAGCGAACTGACTGGAATGGACACCCGCAGTCGGCCCCGTTCGCGGCTATGCTGCCGAGGCTGGCGGCAAGTACGAGCGCAAGCTCCCGCACATGAACATCGGGTGCGTCCTCACGGCAGCCAGGAGGCTTGACGACTGTATGACGGGTTGCTGACATTTCTTTCGATCTTGCAGTACCATCGGACACGTCGAGTGCGTCGCCTATCCCGCCTTTCCCCTCGAAACCCCTTCGTTAACCTTCCTCCTTCCCTCCTGAACAGCCACGGCAAGACCACCCTCTCTGCCGCCATCACCAAGGTCCTCGCCGAGGCTCAGGGTAAGGGTAAGGTCCTCGCGTACGACCAGATTGACAAGGCGCCCGAGGAGAAGGCTCGTGGTATCACCATCGCCACCGCTCACCTCGAGTACGAGACTGCGTGAGTCTTGCCTCTCATCGGAGTGATCTGAGCGCGGGATTTGGCAGACCTGGCGGTTTTACGGTCTCTTGGCGCTCCAAAATTTCGATGAAGGCGACTGACCTCTTCGTCCGCAGCAACCGCCACTATGCCCACGTCGACTGCCCGGGTCACGCCGATTACATCAAGAACATGATCACCGGCGCTGCTCAGATGTGCGTACTTGGGCGGCAGCGAACGAGGCGAGTCTGCGAACGGTCGGACTGACGAGGCTCACTCGTGCAGGGACGGCGGTATCATCGTCGTTTCGGCGTCTGACGGCCAGATGCCGCAGACCCGTGAGCACTTGCTCCTCGCCCGCCAGGTCGGCATCAAGAAGCTCGTCGTCTACATCAACAAGGTCGACCAGGTCGACGACCCCGAGATGCTCGAGTTGGTCGAGATGGAGATGCGCGACCTCCTCTCCACCTACGGCTTCGACGGCGAGAACACTCCCATCGTCAAGGGTTCGGCGCTCGCCGCGCTCGAGGACCGCGACCCGACCATCGGCAAGGACACCATCATCGAGCTCATGAAGGAGGTTGACGCCTGGCTCGACCAGCCCCCTCGCGACCTCGACAAGCCCTTCCTCATGCCCGTCGAGGACGTCTTCTCGATCCAGGGACGCGGAACCGTCGTCACTGGCCGTGTCGAGCGCGGCACCATCACCAAGGGCTCGGAAATCGAGATCATCGGTATGGGCGCGTCGTTCAAGACTACCCTCACCGGTATCGAGATGTTCCACAAAGAGCTCGAGCGTGGTGAGGCCGGCGACAACATGGGCGCCCTCCTCCGCGGTGTCAAGCGCGAGCAGATCAAGCGCGGCATGGTCATCGCGGCGCCGGGCACGATCAAGCCGGTCAAGAAGTTTGAGGCGCAGTGCTACATCCTGACGAAGGAGGAGGGAGGCAGGTACACGCCCTTCATGAACAACTACCGCCCCCAGCTGTTCGCCCGCACCTGCGACATCACGGTTGCCATCACTTTCCCCGAGGGAACCGAGAACGCCGACGAGAAGATGGTCATGCCCGGAGACCAAGTTAGCGGTTCGTTCTCATCGCTATCGTGATTCGCGCGACTATCATTGACAGGCCGCCACACAGTCGTCTGCGAGCTGGTTCACGAAGTCGGCATCAACGAAGGAGACAGGTTCACGCTTCGGGAAGGCGGAAAGACAGGTGCGCCGCGTCGTTCGTCAACGTCAGGCTGCATCCGATACTGACTCTCTCCTTTCGCCTTGCAGTCGGCACGGGCGTCGTCTCCAAGATCATGGCCTAAGCTCGCACGACTCTTTCGATCTTACGCCGTCGGCCCCCCTCCAGACGTCGAGAGGATCGCCCTTAACTCCACCGCACACTCGCATCTATACCTCGCCCTCTTCCGCCCGCCCTCGCAACCTCTCTTCTCGTTCTCTCCCCCGCTTCCCTTTGTCGCAAACACCACTACCACCACTCCTTTCCACTCTATCCTCGCGGGCCGAGTCCTGCCTCCGAAGCAGGACCGCGACACGAACCAGACGACAGTGCCTGCTGTAACTCCCTAGATTTCGCTCGTCTGCCTGGCCTGCCTGTGAGAGAGCGTTTCGAGCGCCCCAGTGGGTCGGAATTTCCCTGCGAGCGCGTCAGGAGAGCAAAGGGAGCCCCTCCTCCTCGCCTCGCCCCTTCGCCTCACCTTCACCACCTCGCAACCTTCGCCGACCATGCAAGCCGACCGTATGGAACTGGAAGAGTCTGCGGGTACGCCCGCGCGCTTCCTAGCAGCCGCTAAGCTGAGCTGACGGATCCCACGCCCTTCCTCCCGACTTGGGCTGATGAGGAAACAGACTCGAGCACGAAGCGCAAGGGACGGCTGTTTGCTGATCGGGACGGTGCGTTAGCTCTCTTTGGCCGCTCTGAATCACTAGAGCAGCTCCCCAGTGCCGTCGCCAGCGAGATGTGACCTCGAGACTGGCGGGGGAGGACGCAACTACCCATTGCGATCTCGCTCGCCTAGTGATCGTAGGCGCTTGCTGATGCACTTTCTTACGCACTACAGACCGAGACGACCAGCCGGCCAGCTTTTCGGGTGCGGGTGCCGGATTGGGCGACACGGCGAGTCGGGCGCAGCGATGTGAGTTCCTCACCTGACGAGCTAGCGGACCTGCAAGCGAGGTGAACGAGTGCTGACAGGCTTCGTACCCCCGCTGCCGCTCGCGCTCCCCTCCTCGAATCCATCACACCTCACCACTCGCACTCGCACCACGCCTCCCGTCCTCCCTCCTTGCCTTCCCGCTTCGCCGGTCCTATCGTACAGCCGTCGAGGGCTGGATTGTGCTCGTTACCAACGTTCACGAGGAGGCGAGCGAGGACGACTTGATGGACCGATTCAGCGACCACGGCGAGGTCAAGAACTTGCACCTCAACTTGGATCGGAGGACGGGTTATGTCAAGGTGAGTAAGGGCGCCAACTCCTTGGTGTGCATGGAGCTAGGTTGAGGAAGGCTGGGAGAGGCTGCAATGCCTTTCCTGCCGTCCTTCCTACCCAGCTGTCCTTCCGAGTCCTTGCTGACCTTCTCGTTTCCTACAGGGCTACGCGCTGGTCGAGTACGAGACGAAGGACGAGGCGCTGAAGGCAATCCAGGAGGCGCCGCAAGAGCCGTTCCTCGAGAAGGTCCTCTCGTGCGACTTTGCGTTCGTCCAGCCGCCTGCAGGGTGCGTCCGGCGTTTGCGCTTTCAGCTTGCGGCTCACATACACTTGAGGATCTCGCTGATGGGCAGCTGCTGTTTTGTGCACAGACTGCCCGCTGCACAGGAGAAGACGACGTCGAGACGTTCCGGCCGCGAACGGAGCGCGAGTCCGGTCAGGAAGCCGCTCGTCACCCGCATCGACTGAGCTGTCGACGTTGTACCATCGAAGGGAGTCGACGACTGTAAAAGCAGCCTTTCAACGATGTCAGCCTCGCGCCATAATGGGATCCCGGTGTGGTCGCGGAGATCTTCGCTACCGAGCTTCCCTCGGTTCTTGTCCGTTTGAGAGCGTGGGCGGGCGGCTGCAGTCAGCTGACCAGTCCTGGCGCTACCCTCGTCGTTCGCAAGCGCGGTTGCCCCTCGACACCGACTCTCTCCTCCTCACTTCGCTCTTGACCTCGTCCGTCTCGCTCGCTTCGTCTGTTCAGCTTGCAGAGTGCGTTGGCTAGTCTCAAGAAAGGCTCTCGCACCACTGCCACACTCGCTCCACACCGCTCACGCCGCTCTCCCTCTCTCGCCAGCTCATCGCTCTTCGGGACGAAACACGCCCAAGATGCCCCTCGACGCGCCCACCTACACGTACAAGTTCCTCAAGAGCCACACCGTCGGCATCGTCGGGTGCCCTTTCTCAGGCGGCCAGCCCCGCGCAGGCGTCGACACCGGTCCCCTCGAGCTCATCGAGAGCGGCCTTGTCCAGGACATCGAGGTGTGTTCCTTCGCTCGTTCTCCCGCTGAAAGAGCGCTGAACGAGTGCGTGCACAGGCTCTTGGATGGAAGGTCGACTTTGCGGGCGCAGACACGCTCGTCTCGCCGCTTGTCGCCGACGGACCCGACCCCGACATTGGCAAGCTGAAGAAGCCCCGGCTCGTGTCCAACGTACGTTCGAGTCTCTATCTTACACGCTGGTGTGGCTGACGAGGGGCCTACGCGGGCGACAGGTCAACAAGCAGGTCGCTGAGCGCGTCTACAAGCATGCGGGCGCTGGAGAGCTTACTGTCACTCTCGGCGGCGACCACTCGCTTGTGCGCTTCCATCTGCATACTCCACGTCGAGAAGCGCTGACAGAACGCGTCGCAGGCTATGGGAACCGTCAGCGGCACCTTCAAGGCGCACCCGGACGCTGCGCTCATCTGGATCGACGCTCACGCCGTACGCTTCCCTTCCCAGCTCTCCTTTCAAACAGCACTGACGCTCCTTTTGGCGCAGGACATCAACACGCCCCTTACGACTCCCTCGGGCAACCTCCACGGCTGCCCCGTCTCGTTCCTCATGGGTCTCCCCGGCACCTCGAAGGAAGAGATCCCCGAGTTTGGCTGGATCGAGCCCGTTCTCAAGCCCAACCGCCTTGTCTACATCGGTTTGAGGGACATCGATGAGGGAGAGAGGAAGATCCTGAAGGAGAACAGTCAGTCGAGTTTCCTCGTCTTCGCATCGCTTTTTGCTTGACGGGCGATTGCGCGTGCGTGCGGGTCGGGTGCGCGTGCTGACGGCCGTCGATGATTCGCTGCAGACATCAAGTCATTCACGATGCACCATGTCGACCGCTACGGCATCGGCAAGGTCGTCGACATGGCCCTCGACCACGTCGGCAGGGACCGCCCGATCCACCTCTCGTTCGACGTCGGTGAGTCCGGCTCTGCTTTGCTGCTCGCCTCGTCGGCTTGTGTCTGCGACGCGCGGCTCATGGAGGACATTGAGCATACGCTGACTCGTTCTGCCACGCAGACGCCTTCGACCCCGCTGTCGCTCCCTCGACCGGTACCGCCGTCCGTGGTGGTCTCCAGTGGCGCGAGGGTCTCTGCGCCGTCGAGAGTGAGTCGCAGGACCTGTCGTGGATCGGCTTTGCCAAAGCTTTACAGGCGGAAGCTGATTCTCTAGCGTCTTTTCGTGGCAGTGATTGCCGAGACTGGCAACCTCGTCTCGCTCGACATCATGGTGAGTACGCGCTCAGTGCTTGCACTACCCTGCAACGCTCCCCGTTGACGGGCCTCTGACGAACCCGCGGGACGCCGTACTCACACCGTTTCCCGTGCCTGCAGGAGATCAACCCGTCCATCTCGTCGACGGAAAACGACGTCAAGCAGACCGTCGACGTCGGCCGCGCGCTCGTCCGCGCCGCCCTCGGCGAGACGCTCCTCTAGACGGCGGACCCAAGATCGTCAACCTATCCCCTCGCTCCGTCAAGTCGTTTATTTACCCTCTCCTACACACAAATTGTTGTTACATTCTAGCATGCGATAGAACTGCGTGGCGCTTCTCGTTCCTCAGAATGTAACACCAGCACACATTCTTTGACGTCTTGCCGTCGTTCTTTCGCTGGAGTTGCTCGCCTGTCTGTACGAGCGAGTCGCTGGGAGTACTGCGCTGACAAAGCAAGTCGTTCCGGCGGGAGAATAAGTCGAGGCTGTCGCTCGCTCGCCCCTTCGCTTCCTCTCCGGATGCTCACTCGCCCTCGCTTGCTCTCCCGCTCCGCACACAGCTTCCTAGCGCGTCCCAGCTGCACGAGATCGTTCAACACGACACCAGCAACCCCTACGACCCGCCTCGCCCGCCACCGCGTTCCACCGCCGTCTCACTCAGCCAAACTCGCAATCAGGATGGTCAAGCCGCTCTCGAACAAGCAGGCCAACGAGGCCCACCTCGCCAAGATCGCGAGGGACTTCCGAACGTCAGTCTCGTCCTTTCTCCGGGCGTCAAGAGGGTTGTGTGAGCGCGTCGACTGGGGATGCGAGCTCGGGTGTTCGGTAGCGGAGGAGGAAGGGCCGATTCGCGCGCCGGAGTGGATGGGATGCTTCGGGATGTGCTTGTGGCGGACTATGGAGCTGTGTGATGCGCTGGATCGCGAGGCGGAGTGATGCCGGCGCCTTCACCACCCGCTCCCATCCCGACGAACAGCGGCTGACTCTTCGCTCGTCCCCAATCGCTCCTTTCGTTCGATTTCGACCACTACACGCATCTCAATACAATCTTGCACAATGCCATCGCCACCCGCAGCGACACGATCACGATGCCGACGGACGAGATGTTTGAACTCATGAGGGATGCGTCGAGGGGCGACGACGTCTACGGCGAGGACCAGGCGACGAACGACTTGCAGGATAAGATTGCAAAGATGGCCGGCAAGGAGGCGGGCTTGTTCTGCGTCTCGGGCACGATGGTCAGTCCCGACTCTCGCAGATCTTCGCACGCTGGGCTCGTGCTTCGAGCGTAATGAAGCGTGAGATGGTAGGCTCGGATCCGACTGACTCTGTCCATGCTTTCGCAGACCAACCAGCTCGCGATCCGCACCCACCTCACCCAGCCTCCTCACTCGATCATCCTCGACGCCCGCTCGCACGTCCACCTCTACGAAGCCGGCGGTGTCGCGATGCACTCGCAGGCGTCGTCGCACGCCGTCCCTCCCCGGAATGGCCACCACCTCACGCTCGAGGAGATCCTTGACAACGCCGTCTTTGGCGAGGACATCCACTCGGCACCGACCAAGCTCGTCTCGCTCGAGAACACCCTCTCCGGCAGTGCGTGAGACGCACTTCTTCTCCGCAGGCTTCAAGCTGACTGTTGCTGTCCCGCTCTTTCACCGCCGCCGCTCCTTCCCTCCGCCTCCATCGCCTCTTCCCGCCTCGCAGTGGTCTTCCCGCAGGAGGAGATCGTCCGCATTTCGGACTGCATGCGCAGCAACGGCATCATCATGCACTGCGATGGCGCGCGCATGTGGGAGGCTGCGGTCAAGACGGGGTTGAGCCTCGAGGAGCTCTGCAGGCCTTTCGACACCGTCTCGCTCTGCTTGTCCAAGGGTCTCGGCGCGCCTGTTGGCTCGGTCCTCGTCGGTCCTCGGAAGTTCATCGTGCGTCCCAATTCCCTCTCACGCAGACAAGAGCGTCGACTGATCCGACCTCCCCGCTCGCGACTCGCAGGAAAAGGTCAAGTGGTTCCGCAAGGCGTTCGGCGGCGGTATCCGCCAGTGCGGCTCGCTCGCCGTCGCGGCAGACTACTGCGTCGACAACCACTTCCTCAAGCTCAAGGGCACGCACGAGCTCGCGAGCTACCTCGCCAAGTCGCTGGCCGACCTTGGCGCGCAGCTTCTCCTTCCCGTCGGTGCGTGGCGTTCTCTCCCTTTCGCCCTCGAGAGTGCGGGGGAAGCTGACGAGGTCGGTTTGGCTTTCGCAGAGACCAACATGCTTTGGCTCGACCCGTCCTCGCTCGGCTTCTCCATCGCCGACCTCGCCGCGCGCGCCAAGACGCGCGGCATCACGCTCGGCTCGAACCGCATCGTCGTGCACCACCAGATCACGCGCGAGGCATGCGAAGACCTCGTCGCTCTCGTCGCCGAGTTGAAGGACGAGTTCAAGGACAGGCCGAAGAAGGAGATTGACCAGGAGCAGAACAGGCTGTATGCTGAGGGCGTCTACTCGAGGCCTATCGAGCCCCCCATCGCGCGTCTCGGTACCAGCTACGGCAAGGTGCGTTGCGGCCTTCCCTTCACAAGCGGTTCTGCCTGCTCTTGGCCGACACTCCCTCCTTCTCGATCTACAGAATCAGTAGACGTTTGCGCTTCCCTTACACGCCAGCATACACACCCTTCGTCTCGACGCCGCCTCGCACTTCTCCCCGCTTCGCCTTTTCCCCTCGATTACCGTCTCTCCGCCCCGGAATCGCCTCATAGACGCCTACCCGCTCCGTACACATCCTCCCCAGCATCGCTTCTTCGTCGCCGCCTTCTTGTAGTCTTAGTCTCGCCTCGCGGCGCTGTCGGAACGGTAATCGCTCACTTGTTGCATCACTCACGTCTTTCGCCTGCCTCGGGCAGCTCAACCACGTCGTTCGCCCGCCCTCCCAAATTCTCCGTTACGCCCGACGCTGGCCCCGACAAGTTTACTCGGCGTTTGTCGCGCGCTGACCACGCAGGCCTCGTTTGTCTGGCCCGACAACTCCGCGGATTCCCCGAGCACGACAACATGCGGCTTCGCTCGCTTCCCTCTCCCTACCTTCGTTCGCTCATCGCTTCGCCATGCCTCGCGAACTCACCCCGGTGACTGCTGCGCGGTACATCAGGTATCCGGCCCTTGCCGTCTGGCGCGACATTACCGGCCGCGAGCTGTCCAAGCAATGGATCTTCCAGGGGACTCACCTTCCCGACGACATTAGCGGCCTGTATCAGTGGCTCTTGAGCATCAGAGGCTCGACGAACAGGCAAGACGCGGCGGCGTTGGAGAACCAAAGCGCTGTGCGTGCCCTTGCGCGGGAGCTAGAGAAGGCCGGCGCAGAAGTACGAGCAATGCGTCGCCGAGGCGCCTCTGAGCAGGAGATGGCGCACTACATCCTGGTGCGCGATCTCGAGCTGGCTCGAGCTGGACGGTACTGACGAGTCGATGCTGCAGAGCCGCTACTCTATTCCCCAGCTCGGCAGACGCACAGTTCGAAGCCTTCTCGTTCACTGTCTCCTGCTGAGTCCACACTGACCAAGCACTTACAGGGCTTTCCGTTGGCCATGATCCGCGCAAATGAGCAAGCGGTCGAAGAATACGTCGATCCGCCGGCCCAACAGGAGAGTCAGGCTGAGAAAGGTCGTCACTCACCTGCGCACCTCGCTCCCCCTCCCCCTCCCCCTTCTGAGCCACAGCAACACGCGTCTCACCTCGCCCTCGCGCCGCCTCAGGTCTTTCAGCACCAACCGCCGCCTCCTCAGCTTCGCGCGCCCGTTCACCATTCTCTCCATTCTACCCCGCCGCCGGTTTACGGAGCTCCACCGAGCAGCAATCTTCTCCCGTCAATCTCGCACTTCGACGGCGCTCGCCACCCACCTCAGCACCACGCCCACGCACCTCAATCCGCACTGCCGAACAGCGGTCCGTTCAATCTTCCTCCGATCCTGCCGCGGGATGAACTTCAGCTTCCGCCGATGCGTCTCCCGCCGGGCATGGCCGAGGAGGAGGAAGAACTGCGGCGCGCTCGTTCAGGCCAGCACAGTCTCTCGAAGCAGGAGGAGGAAAGGCTCGGCTATGGCGCCGCCTGGACCGCGAGGAAGGCGGCGATCTACGGGAGGAGGGCGACTGGATGGTAGTGCGACGAGCGGAAAGCAAGCGGCGGGCTCAACGAGGGGAGAAGCACAGGCGGGATCTGGGAAGGTTGGTCAGTTGGTGGGGTTGCGTTGCGCTCGCTACGTCTCTTTCCGTCACCCGCCGTCGTTTGATGAACCTTGCTATGTAGATCGTCTGCCCAATGTCGAGTGTCAACGCGTACACGTCGTGGGAGAGAACGAAGCGGAGTTGCTGGACTTTCGTCGTTGCCCTCTTACTTCCTCTCCCGCCTGGCAGTCCGCCGAGTGTGGTCCTTGACAATCTTGGCGTCGTCCGCTGCCTTGCGAGCTGCACAGCGTAAGAGAGGCGAGTCGCCTCTCCCTTCCTCGTCCCTCTTGTCCTTCGCCTCTTCCTCCTGCGCCGCACCGCACCGCTCTTCCCGGCCGATACTGATAGCCAGATGGCGCCCACGTCCTGCTCCAGCACTGCCTGAGGCGATTCTGCCCATCGACTGCGCCTTTTTCTCGTCTCCTCTTGCTCTCCCTTCTCCTCCTCGGGTCCGCTTCGCTTCCTCGTCCTGCCGGTTTGCCACTCGATCACGCTGAACCCGTCATCGCGCACGACGGAAGGCCGCGGAACGCTCGGCGAGTACAGGCGAGATCGATCCGGGTGCGGTGGTTCTTGCGGAGAAGTGAGGAGGAGATGGGGAACAGAACAGCGACGACGGCGCGCGAGGGGCGCAGACTGGCTTGGGTGGCGTCTAGGATGCCCTGATGCGCTGCGGCATCTCACAGGCGACCCAACGGCAACGACACGCCTTTTCTTCATCCGCATCGCTTTTCGCGAGCTCTCCCCCGCTATTCTCGTTTGTCGGGCCCCGGGCTCGCTGGTTCCTTCCCCAGGGTGAGCTAACCCGCATTGAACCGTACCTGGAGCTCCCTGCGCCCCCGTCAGCGAAACGCTTTCTCCGGCTGCTCGCACCTCGTCTCTCTCCCTCCTCTCTCGCTTTTCTAGCCTCCTGACTGCCGTTCTTTTTCCGTCGCGCTGGGCGAGAACCGCTCAAATTTTCCGCTAAGTTAGCTCAACCCGCTCGCCCGCTCGTTCTCTCCCTCCTTCCCCCGCCGCCTCCCTCTCTCCTCCCCGCGTCGCCCCTTCCCTCCCCATCGCCGGCCTCCACTTCCTCACTCACACGACCCGTCGACGATCACCTTTACCACATCGACCACTCACGAACAACGACGATGTCGCCCGACACTGAAAAGCCCGCGACGCCCACCTTTGCCCGCCTTCAGGAGCAGGTCGCCGCCGAAAAGGCCCTCTCTGGCAAGGCGGATGAGAAGCGCGAGTTGCACGGCGACGGAGAGTACGTCGAGCCTGGCGCGACCAACGCGGTGTCGAAGGCGCAGGCGCTCGACAACCCGCTCTCGGGAATTTCGCTCGACCGTCTCGAGGGTGCGTCTCGCTTTCGTGCTCGTCCCGCGCCGTCGTTCAAGTACTCTTGCTGACCTTCGCTCGAACGTCGACGTTACGCAGAGATGGGTCGCGCCTTCGCCCGCGAGAAGGGTCTCGGCGAATACGAGGTGGAGTTCGCTCGCGGTGCGCAGGCAGCGCAGGACCCGCTCGCCTTCGAGTCTCTCCCGCTCCTCAGCGACGAGGACAAGGAGGTCTTGCGCCGCGAGACAACGCACAGGTGGTCGCATCCGGCGGCGGTGCGTCCTCGTTTTCTTCCGTTGCTCGCCTCCTCGATTCCCTCTGAAGCTGTGCTGACCTCCCTCCGACACCAGCTCTACTTCCTCGTCATCTGCTGCTCGATGGCTGCTGCGACGCAGGGAATGGTGCGTGGCACTCGTTCTCGACTCGCGCGAGACCCTGGCCTGATCGTCCTCGCTTTCGTCCGCAGGACGAGTCGGTCATCAACGGCGCCAACTTGTTCCTCGGACCGCAGCTCGGCCTCAACACTTCTCGCGGCAGCCCGGGTGCGTCGGTGCACACTTCGAATCGGTCCATCCGGCACACGCCTGTTGATCCTTCGCTAACCTGTTTGCGTCGTTTGCAGATGCTGGAAAGAACCAGTGGATCCTCGGTCTCGTGAACGGAGCTCCCTACCTGTGCTGCGCCGTGCTCGGTTGCTGGCTTACCGCTCCGGTCAACAAAGTCTTGGGAAGGAAGGGTGCCATGTTCCTCGGCGCCTTCATCTCTTTGTGCGCCTCTCCTCCGAACTCTCTCCGTACTTCTCGCTGACGATAGCTGGCGCCAACAGCGCCGGATGCCTCTGGTCGGCGTGCACGAACTCGTGGGGACACCTCCTGGGCGCCCGTTTCTTCCTCGGCATCGGTACGTCTCGTCTCTCGTACTCGCTGGTGCTTCGCTGACTCGTCGCGTCGTAGGTATCGGTATCAACTCTGCCACGGTCCCTGTCTTCGCTGCTGAGACTGCGCCGCCTTTGTGAGTGCAGGCGATGACAGGTTCGACCGACACTCACCCACTTCCTTCACAGGATTCGCGGCGCCCTCGTCATGCAGTGGCAGGTCTGGACCGCGTTCGGTGCGTCGCTCGTTGCATGACTCTGCCGTTCCGCTCACCGAAGCTAACGTCGCTCGTTGTCCAGGCATCATGCTCGGCACGGTCTCCTCGCTCGCCTTCTACCACGTCGCCGACCCCAGCAGCGCCCACATCACCGGCTTGAACTGGCGCCTTATGCTTGGCTCGTGCGTCGAGCTTCCTCACGAATTGTGCTAGGTTGAGAAGGCTAGCTTTGCTGACTTGGTTTCCTCCTTGCAGCGCCCTTCTTCCCGCTCTGCTCGTAATGTTGCAGGTCCCCTTTATCCCCGAGAGTGTGCGTTCGCTGCCGGCGACATTGAGTCTCCGAGCGAGGCTGACCTTCTCCTTCCATAGCCTCGCTGGCTCATCGGTCGCGGCCGCTACGTCCAAGCCTTCGAGTCGCTCTGCCGCATCCGTTACACCAAGCTCCAGGCCGCACGCGACCTCTTCTTCATCAACGCCCTGCTCGAGGAGGAGGCCTCGGTCTCTACCGGCAAGTCGGCCATTGTCGAGCTCTTCACGGTCGCCCGTAACCGCCGTGCCGTGCAGGCTTCGTCTATCGTCATGTTCATGCAGCAGTTCTGCGGCATCAACGTCATCGCCTACTACTCGTCCACCATCTTCCGTGAAGCCGGCTTCAGCGAGATCAGTGCTCTCGGCGCATCACTCGGCTTCGGTACTTTGAATTGGGTGTTTGCCGCCCCAGCCGTCTGGACAATTGACAGTAAGTAGCGCGTCGACGACGTCGCAGAACGCCGAAGGAATGAACTGACGCTCGCCGCTCGCAGCCTTCGGTCGCCGCACTCTCCTCCTCACGACCTTCCCCCTCATGGCCCTCTTCCTCCTCATGACCGGTCTCGCATTCTACATCCCCGACTCGAGCAAGGCTCACATCGGCGTCATCGCCCTCGGCATCTACCTTCACTGCATGGCTTACTCGCCCGGCGAGGGTCCTGTTCCCTTCACCTACTCGGCCGAGGCCTTCCCCTTCTACGTTCGCGACGTGGGCATGTCGTACGCGACCGCCCTCACCTGGACCTTCAACTTCGTAAGTCGACGTTTGTCCTCACCCCTTCGCATCCGTTCTCGACTGACGGACTTCCTCCTTGCCAGATCGTCGCTCTCACGTTCCCTCGCCTCCTCGACGCCTTCACTCCGACCGGCGCTTTCCTCTGGTATGCCGGCTGGAACGCCATCGGCTTCCTCCTCGTCCTCCTCTTCGTCCCGGAGACCAAGGGTCTCTCGCTCGAGGAGCTCGACCAGGTCTTCTCCGTCCCGACTTTCAAGCACTCCGCCTACCAGCTCGGTGCTCTCGGGTGCGCTCGCTTCCGCTCCGTCGACCCTTTCGTCGAGCTGATTTCTCATGCGCTCGCAGCCACAACTTCCGCAAGTACATCCTCCGCCAGCGTGTCGAACCGTTCCCGGCTCTCTACGCGTGGGACGATGCTACGATCGCAAAGGCGTGATCACGTCTGCCAGGTCGCCTTCTTATCCCCTTCGAGTCGACGCTAGACGTTCGGCTCTCCCACTTCGGTTCCTTCTAGCAGTCCCTCAGGTTCCCGTAATGCACGCAATTCGTTCACGACATGCGCACAGGCAGCGAGGAAGCAGGCAAGAGTGGCAGCCACGATGCGAGCGCAAGGCTTCAGAATGGAATCCGTCTGAAGTTGCAAGCGTCTTGTCGTCCGCCACGAGACGGCGACATCATCCTCGTCCACGCGCCGTCCTCTTCCTACCCGGCGGAGGCGCCTCGTCCGAGCTGTCAGCCTCCGAATCGGTCGAGAGGGTAAGCGTCTCGCTCTTCTTGCTCGCATTGCGAGCGGGCGTCTTGCGGGTGGAGGTCGAGGCGGCGGCAGGCTTCTTGGCGACAGTCTTCTTCGGCGCACTGCGGGACAAGCAGTCAGCGGCACGTTCGCTTGGAAAGTCGGCAGGGGAAGAGGGACGTACGCCTTCTTCTTCGGAGGCGGAGTGGCCTCTTCCTCGTCGTCATCCTCGTCTTCATCCGGGTTGAACTGCACGAAAAATAGACGATCAGCGTAGCGCGAACCAGAAGACGAACGGGCCGACGCACCAGATCCGCCTTGGCCTTGCCCTTCGAGACGACCTTCTTCGGCGCCGCCTTGCCTTTACCCTTCGCCGCAGCCGTCTTCTTCGTCCTCGGAGCGGACGACGAAGCCATCGAGACGTCGCTGTCGTCGTCCATACTGTCGCGCTCCTCGCGGGCCTTCGCCTTGCCCTTGCCCTTCGCCTTGCGATGACTAGACTCGTCTTCCTCGTCCTCGTCTTCCTCATCCCCGTCCGAATCTTGCGCACGGGCTTTCTCCTTGCCCTTACCCTTACCCTGTGCGAGGCCGGAGTGGCGTGTAAGCTGGCGGGTCAAAGGCTCGACGCTGGATCGATGGAAGACGCACCTTGGCTCCGTACTTCGCTTCGGCTGCGGCTTTCGCGGCATGCATCTCCTCGCCGAGGTCATCATGCTCGGGACCCTCTTTCGACGGCTCGTACCCCTTGCGTAGGATCTCCTGCCTCGTCTCCTTCAACAGCTTCCGCACCCAGCTGCGAGCGGTTCCGGCATGAGCTACCGCCCTTGCTTGAAAGGATGAGAGCGAGCACTCACTTTCCCACCGCATCCTTGTCGCCCTTCCCAACAAACTCGTCCACCGCGTTCTGAATCAAGCTCTCGCTCAACACGTTGAGGTTCTGCGCCTCGAGGTAGTCGTGCACGAGCGACGAGACCGTCACCTTCTCCGTCTGCGACGAGATGCGGCCGGTCTCGGTTTCTTCGGCCATCGCGGCTTCGAGAGCGCTCAGGTTCGGCTGGTTGATCGTGACTTTGGCTTTGCCTGCGAGAGGTCGCGGGCGCTGAGTCAATCTGCAACGAGGAAGCGGACAAAGCTTGACAGAGAGACCGTCCACTCACGCGTCGTCGACTTGCGGTGGAACTGGACGATTTCGCGCGGGTTTGCAACCTTGTCGACGAAATCCTGCCCAAACCGCTGCGGGTTGCCGACCTCGAACTGGCTGTTCCCGTCCGGTCCGCCTGAGTAGTCGACCTGTGCGAGCGAGCGTAAGCCCGAGAGTGAGGAAGGAGGGGAAGCGGGACGTACGCGGAGGCGGATGAGGGGCAGGAGGCGCTCCGAGCCGTCGTCGTCCGGATGCAGCTCGTCCCACTCCTGATTCGCCCGCTCAATGAGCTCGTTGACCTGTGGAGACGATGTTCGTTCGGCATCAGTTGATGCGACCTACGAAGACATCAAGTTGAACCGCAGTCGCCGGCCTTACCTTGGTCTTGAGGTATTTGGTCACAGCGACTTTCGACATGAGCTTCTTCCGGTCGTCCGTCTGCTTCTCGTGATGATCGAGCAGCGAGATCTCCTCGAAGACGAACGGGCGGACGGAGCGGAGGCGGATCGGCTCGAACTCGAACTCTTTGCCTTGGATCTTGATCAGGCCGACATGTCTGCGACGAAGCGAAGCGTCAGCTTGAAGGCACTCGTCGACGAATCCGGCAAGCGGTCTGCAAAGACCACCTGCTTGGACGAGAACGACTGAACCCGCCGACTCACTTCGGGATCGCCTCACCCTTCGCCAAACTCGTCGCGATCGAGCTCCCCGGTTGACTGATGTAGTATGGCCGTCCCGTGACGGGTACTGGACGAGCCTGCGAGATACAGTCGTGCTCGTGGCCCCAGACGACGAGGTGCGCTTCTTCGCCGAAAGCCTCGTCCGGGACTGAGTTGTTAGGGCCGTGTGCGACGCTGTGCGAGGAGCGGTGGCTGGTCAGCAAGAGAGGGAGGAGAAAGGAGAGGTAGACGTACCGGTTCTGGTGGACGAGGATGATGTTGAACCAGTCTTCCGGGTTCTCGGACGGGCGATACAAGTTGATCCGCCTGTTGGTCAACTCGAAGACGAAGCGGTCGTCGCGGATGTTGCCCATGCCGTACAGCGCGAGCTTGGTGTCGCCCTTCTGAAGGAGGATCGGCTTGACCTTGAGGCCGTCTTCGAGCGCTTCGCCGTCGTCGGTCGCTTGGCCGGGCAGCTCCATGCGGCCGAAGTAGTTGATGAGACCGGAGGCGGAGAGGACGTCGAGAGCGCAGAGAGCGCCTTCCTGCGGGTGAGGAAGAGCGGGAAAGTCAGTCTTCAACGCCTGGGAGCGGAGGCGGCGAATCTCGAGCGCACAGCACCAACGCCTTGAGGGTCGTCGTGGTTTCCGTGGATTGAGAAGACGGGCAAGCCGATGTTGAGGTTCTCGTCCTCGTAATTGATCCCTGGCCAGCTGTGATCCGTTTCCGCCTCGTCAGCTCCCTCTCCTGCACTCGAACGCTTCGGCACACGCACTTGGCATCCCTCATGATTCCGAGACCAGCATCGCTGACGAGTTCGAGGCTGATGGGGCGGTCGCTGAGGCAGCGTTCGCGGAGCGCAGAGATGGTCTGGTAGAGCGAGGTGCGGGACGGGCGGTTCTCGTGGAAGAGGTCGCCGGCCAGGAGGAGCATGTCGACCTGCAGAAGCGTTTGAATGATAAGCAGGCAGCCCTGTACAACGCTCAACATCCCTTGTGGGGAGACCTTCAGGACGAGAGCGAGGGAGGGCCCGCAGACTCACGTCGTTCGCGACGGCGAGGTCGAGGATCTCCTTGAAGGCATTGATCGAGTCCCTCCCGCGAATCGGGTCCTTCTCAGCGTAGCCGATATGGTTGTCCGTTGCGAGGAGGATCTGTGCGAAGAGAGGTGACGAGCGCGTCAGTGGCCGTGCGCGCGCCTAGCCACGACCGCAGCTAGTCTAGCAGCCTGTACGACCCCTCAAGACCCAGCACGGCGAGAGCGCGAGCGCACCTTGATGCAGTTGTCGGGTTCGACGGCCTGCGTGAGGCGCGGCTCTGGCCCAGCGAAGCCGCCTTCGGGACTGTGTGCGACAGCGAGTCAGCTGCGAAGACACTGGCGGTGCACACGAGCACGCACGGTGGAGTCTGGCTCATTGCGTGAGGAGTGTCAAAAGGAAGGAGATGTCAACGCGTTTGTATTCAGTCCATTACAAACCCAGTTGTATTCAACTAATTACAACTCCTTATCGCTCGGGTCTCCCTCCTTCTCCTCACTCAACTATCGCTCTTTGACCTGCTGACTGCCTGACGAGCTAATCTACGACCCCTGCTACCTGCCAACAGACCCACACGGTCTCCCTCTCCCTCGTCGCCTATCTGCCCCCACATCTCCCTCTCGCCATGACCTCCCGTCGCATCCCCATCCAACAGCCTCAGCGACCCGCTCAGACACAGAACACAGGCTTCAAGTCCTCCTCGCTCGACGCAGTCTTCTCCTTCCAGCGTTCGGCGCAGTTCTTCGGGGAAAACTTGCCTTCGGCTGCGTCGTTCGTCGATCCCAGTCGGTATCCCCGGCCGCCAGAGGATTGGAGTAGCGGAGACGAGGACGAGGAGGATGACGGCGACGAAGAGGAGGCGGTCGGCGGAAGAGGGAGGCGCACGCGGAGACGGGAGATGAGCGAGACGACCGAGGACGATGAGGAGAGCGAAGTCACCGACGGCCACGAGCCAAGCTCGAGCGAAGCATGGCACAGCACGCACGACGGGACGGAGCAGTTGCCGCCGAACGCGGTCGTACGAGGCGGAGGCTCGAGGCGCGCGAGTGCGGCAGGATGGAACGGCGCCGCTTCTCCTGCTACCGAGCGCAGCCCGCTTCTCGCTGCCTCTCGTCCGGCGGCCGCGGCAGCCAACGGCTCGCACCTTTCATCGGGCGTCGACATCACCGAAGAACCCGAGCAAGTCGTGCGGAGACGGCCGTCGACTTTCTCCAAAGAAGCGTGGAAGGCCGCTATCGAGGAGCACCGCGGCGAGTCGACCTGGTCCCAGTCCCTCTTCAACACGTGCGTTGCATCTGTTCTCTACCTCATGCGAAGTCGTCACTGACGCGAGTGTCGTCCCGCAGCGTCAACGTGCTCATCGGCGTCGGTCTGCTGGCAGACCCGCTCGCCTTTGCCGACTCGGGCTGGATCTTCGGGACTATCCTGCTAGTCTTCTGCTGTCTCGTAACGAACTGTGCGTCACTGCGCTCTCGACTCTTTTCCGTAACTCTCGCGAGCCTGACCGACCTCCCCCTCTGCATAGACACCGCCAAGATGCTCGCCGCGATGATGCGCCAAGACCGCCACTCGCACACCTACGCCGACGTCCTTATCCGCGCCTACGGCGGCAAATACACTCCCTCGCTCATCTACTTCCTCTTCCTCGTCGAACTCCTGACGTTCAGCGTTGCGACTGTCGAGTTGTTCGCCGACTCGATGGCGAGCTTGTTCCCCAAAGTGGGAGCTCTCGCGTTTAAGCTTATCTCGTATGGCATGTGCGTTCGCTCTCTTGCCTCCATCTCGCTTCTGTCGCTGACTGCCAAAATCGACGCCCCGCAGCCTCCTTCCCACGACCTTTCTCCCCCTCCGCATCCTCTCCCTCACCTCCCTCATCGGCATCATGTCCTCCTTCGTCCTCCTCGCCGTCCTCATCACCGACGGAGCCGTCAAGCATGACGCGCCGGGCAGTTTGGTCCAGGTTATGCCGACGAGCATCTGGCCGAGGTGGAAGCGGTTTCCGCTCAGCTTTGGGTTGTTGATGAGTGGGGTGAGTGGGCTTTCGAGGCTCGTTCGTGTCCATGTGACCTGGCCACGGTGCATGACACGATAGATGTAGCGTCCGTTGCCTAGCTCTTGCTTACACATGCTCGTTCTGCGCAGTTCTCCGGTCACGCCGTCGTCCCCTCGCTCTACCGCGACATGGCGCACCCGCAGCACTTCCCCTCGATGATCAACGTTGCGTACATCATCGCCTTCTCGACCTCGCTCGTCTTTGCCGTCCTCGGCTACCTCATGTTCGGCAACGACGTCTCGAGCGAGATCACGCGCGACTTGGCCAAGACGGCCGGCTACCCGGTCGTCTTGAACAAGCTCGCAGTGTGGATGGTCGCGCTCAACCCGCTCGTCAAGTACGCGATTGCGAACAAGCCGCTCGTACAGACGTTCGAGCACCTCGTCGGCTTGCACCACCACCACGCGCCGTCACCAATTCCGCAACAAGCACCTCCCGCCCCCGACCCGTCCGACAGCGTCATCGCGACCCCGAACGTCTCGCACCTCTCGCCCGCCATCTCCTCCGCCATCTCTTCCGCACCACTCACGACACCCGCAGAGCACGCCGCACACGAAGCGCACCAGCGCCGCGTTCGCATACTCCGCTACACCGTCTTCCGCCCAGCACTTACCCTCCTCTGCATCGCGGCCGCTATCGCCATCCCAGAGTTCGACCGCGTCCTCGCCTTCCTCGGCTCGGCCAGCGCATTCGTCATTTGCGTCATCGGACCAGTCGGGGCGTACTTGATCGTCGGTAAGAAGCGCGAGCCTGGAGCGCCCGGGATGAGGAAGAGGAGGAAGAGCTCGGTGAGCGCGGCAGCGGGAGGGCGGTACGGCGCGCTCGTTGCGCAAGTGGGTTCAAAGCCGGCTGTCCCATCGCCGCTCAGCTCGAGCTTTGGGCAGAGCGATCTCGAGCGGCGCAGGCGGTCCAAGGCGTTCGAAGCGGGCGCGGCGGACAGCGAACGCGAGCTCGTCGTCGAGGGAGCGGAGCGAGCTCTGTGTTGGGTGTTGTTGGTCGTGTCGGTGCTCATGGCGACTGTCGGAACGGTCTGGTCTTTCTTGCCGGTCGAGGAGGCGGGGTTGCAGTAGAAGCAACGGATCTCGCGGATTGCACTTCTTATTGCACGGCGCAATACGTCTCAAGGAGTAGGCTGTTGTGAGCGAAGAAAAGGTGAGCTTTGGGACTTGTTCGAGACAGGAGAGAGGGAAGCGCACGAGAGGGATCTTCGCAATCTCGCGAGCGTAATCCGACGCGAATTCGCTGATAGCCGACGTGAGGTCCGTCTGACAGCAACGGCGTACGCGGCGGATGTTGATTTTCTGCTCAAGACGTTCCGCCGGGCGGAGATAGACTTTAGAGGTCAATACATCGAACGCGGCCACCATCCATTCAGTGGATGCGTCGGCCCTTTCATCGTTGCTGTCGGAGTCGTCAGAGTCGGACGTCGAGCCGGATGCGTGCCGACAGACAACCGGACGAATCTTGTTGAGTAGATCCTGCAGGATTTGCAGGTGTCGGAGCCGGTACAACTCCTGGGGAGCACATGCGGTAGATAGATGCTCAAAGATGGCAAACACCCGGGGTCTCACTAGATTCTCGCGACACGGAGGCCGCAATGCATTGAACAGGGGACCCTTGGCAGCCGAAGCGAGCCCGAGTGTCGCTCGAGCCGTTTTGGCGATGAGCTGAGAGTCGTGCAATACGCAGCCGGCTGCATATCCGTCGTATGGACTCACGTCTGCGGTCTGCCTGCGGAGCATGTTCGGTAGTCAGCCTCCCAGCTTCCGGAGACCGCTGAGAAAGCTGTACCTACCAAGCCTTCAACTGCAAAGCGAGCTTGTGGCGTGGCGAGTCGTACTTGTCGGCCATTTGAGACATAGCCCATCACGTCTGCCAGGACTGCGGCAACCAGGTCTCGTCCGTGAACGCCTTGAGGAACTCCTCGACGTCTTCCTTCGATTCCGACAGCGTGCACGACTTCTCCTCGCTCTCGCCCGTCTCAAGCATGTCGAAGAAGACCTTGCAGTTGCCGGCGAGGACGACGGCGTTGACGGGGAAGGCGGTTCCATCGGAGGCGATGAGGGAGAAGGTTCCGACGTCAAAGGCGGAGGTGCGCTGGCGCTTCGCAGGCGGAGCGGCCGTATCTGCCTGCTTGTCGCTGCGCGTCTGCCGCTTTCCGGAGTCGTTCGCCATCTCGCGAGCGCGTATGAGGCGAGAGACGGCGCGGACTGATGAGGGCGAGGTGGGGAAGCGGGAAGGGCCAGTAGAGCTTGAGGCGGGACGGCGGTAGACGTAGTGCGGCTTGAAAGCAGTCTTGGTTCTATCAAGCCAGCCTCTGACGTGCCTTGAGCCGAGCGACGAGGGGAAACGGGAGCAACCTCTCCCGACGTCTCTCTCTCTCCCTCCTTCGCTTCAGTCCAGCGCATTGCGGCATTTCCGGGACATTCCAAGGCCTGCAGCACTCGTTATTAAGCCAGGCAAGCGAACTGGTGATGCCGAAGCCTGTACTTCGGTCTGCAAACCTCCCTCCTCTCCAAAAACAATCCGTTGCGTTTGAACGGGTGAAGGGATGGGCAGGTGTCAATCACAGGATCAACGCATCGACTCCCTGCAAGTTCAATCTTTGTCAACCTTCACCCCTAGGTGAAGAGGGTAGCCGGCGCACGAGGCGTGTCGTCTGGAACGCTTCGTAGTCCTTTTCTGCTCGGTCTATCCGTTGGTCAATGAAGGTCTTGCAGCAGAAGCGAACGTCGTCCTCGATGTCGTTCTCGTACGACCACATCCGGGTAAGCGGAGACGTCCAGGGATGTTGACCTTTGGAATCGCAAAGCGTTGATTTCGCCGCGGCGTCCCAAATGCGCTGCACCTGGTAGCCCGGGTTGTCAGGCTGGTCCCTTCCGCGCCCACAGCCGGTGCAGAAGCGCGGCCTGGCTCGGTCCAAGCTGATCCGCATGAGTTCGGGAACGGCAGCTTGAAAGCGTTCCTGCAAGTTAGACAAGTCAGCGAGGATCCACCAGGACTTGAGAGCGCCATAGACAGCGCACCAGTAGGAGCCGGTCGATGCGAGGCAGAGCCTTGAAGGTGCACCCGGCTTGGCCAGGATCGAGAACGGAGTTGCCGAGCGTTACGGTCCGTTGGGCGGCAGCATATGCCAGTGCTGGGTCGCCGAGCAGCTTGCCGGCTGCGTATGCAAAGATAGGCGAAGTCTCGACGACCTGCCTGCAAGACGGTGAGCGTGTGAGCTAGAGAAAGCTGAGCTGCAAAGCTTACTTGGCCTCCAGCAGCAGCAGTGTCTGCAGGACGGCGCAGTCGTACTTGTCGCCCATGCGGTACAAATCCAGCCACACCCCTTCGTCAAGACCGCCTTGGAAGTCCAACGGAAGCCTGCCGCCTTGAAGGACGCTGAGGAAGTGTTCGAGGCGGACTTTGGTCTCGGTCACGTCGCAGGACCCGCCAGACAGCTTGGATCCCGTCAGCATGTCCGCGAAGACCTTCGAGCTTCCCGCAAGTAGCAGCGGATCGACGGAGAGGGCGTGTCCGTCGGAGGAGATGAGAGTGAGGGAGGAGGGGAGGCAGATCTGAGCGGCGGGCGCAGGGCGGCCAGGCGAGGCGGGCGGCGCATCGAGCGGCGAGGACGGTTTCTCGACGAGATCGGCCATTGTCGTCAGTTGGTGGAAGCGGACGAGAGGCGAGTTGTATGGAGGAGCGTGGGGCGGGCGACGTGCGGCAGCAAGACGAGCGCGGGCGTTTTACGAGCTGTCGCAGGGTGAAGTGTCTTGCGCGACCGAGCACGAGAACCAAGCGAGAAGTTGATGGGAGAGAAGCGAGAGTTGCGAGCGGAGGAGAGACGATACAACAAACGAGTTCTTCGTTACTACTCCCCTATGTAAAAGAACAACATCCGTAGAGGCAACAGCTGACTTTCCTCGAGACTGCCGAGGAGGAGGGCGCGAAAAGGCGAAATGGCGAGCGAGCGAAGTGGACGACCTGCGTCCGACCTGGCCGGCGAAAGGCTGACTATGTACTGCTTAGGTACTGCCTGAGTGGTGATGCGTCGTTCTTGACGTCTTGAGCGGTGTGTGGCGTTAGGTGAGATGGCCGGGTAAGGAGGGTGGAGAGGAGAGAACGGCTCATGGCCCCTTGAGCGAGACGACGCGCTTCAAGGCGCACTGCAAGGTCGAGGTCGAGTCAGTCACTCCGGCTTGAAAGGCGGTGAGCGTGCGCACTCACCTTGAGCGAGCGAGTCGACTTCGTCGAAGAGCAGCTGCTCTCGAAGCTGGACGTCTCGCGCGAGTTGCGTTCGGGGAGTGCGAGCGCGGGGTCGTGGACGATTCCGTGCTTGGGGCAGCGGGCGTGCGTCGTGTGGTTGCGCGGGAAGGACTGGCGGGTGACGGTGTAAAGTCAGCGGCTGACTCGAGGAGGGGACGACCGCGCAGACTCACAAAGATCGAATCGAACTTCTCGTCCTCCGTGTCGAGCGTGCAGCGCGGACGGTGCTCGTGGTAATGATGCGAGTGCGAGTGCGAGTGCGACTTGCTGGGCTGCTTGAGGGATGCGGCGACGAGTTCGACTGGGAGGGAGGAGAGGTTGACCGGTTCGAGGAGGTCAAAGGTGCTGCTTGCGAAGGTTGAGCGGGTCGAGGCAGTCGTCGACGCGAGGGTCGAGACGGACGAGGAGGACGAGCGGCGGGAGAAGGAGAGCATCGCGAGCGAGGGAGTCTCTGAAGCGGAGTGAGTGAGGAGAAGGGAAGCAAGCATTGCGCGATCTCGGCGGGCGGAGTCGAGCGGTGCCCAGTCATCCCGAGGTCCGCTCGCCGTCGACAGGCTCAGCGTGCGTAAGCGAGGGCGGAGGCGGAGGCACGGCGGAGCAAACGAGGCCTCCACCTCCCGCGCCGAGGGCCCAACGCCCGGCTCGACAGCGGGAACGGGGCGGGCAGCGGGTGCTGGCGAGGCTCTGGCGTCGAGCAGGCGTCGAGCAGAGTCCCTGCAAGCTGTCCATTAGTCGTGCGAAACGGCGAGGCGGCGAGGAAGGCGGAGGGAAAGAGGAGGGCGGACGGCGGACGCGGCGGACCTTGCGAACGGGACAGGGGGACGCCTGTTCGCAAACGCGTGTGTCGGCGGACGTTCTCGCATGTACAGCGTAAACCCCACGAAACGTCGTATACACGAAGCGCTCGGCGAGACAGGCGAAGTCCGCGCGAGTCGTCGAAGAGGAGGGTACTAAGTGGGAATTAAGCGGTGAGCTGGCGGTGATCGAGATTTGCAGGCTGTACTACGCCTTGTTCAAGGCTGCTGAGAGGCGACTGAAAGTCTGCGAGCACGGGAGGGCCGATTAAGCCGCTGTCGGGCGGAAGTGTCGCTCGAACTCACCTTGTCCGCCAGCTGCTGCTGAGCGCGCTCCCATCTGCCCGCCAGCTCACCCACCTTCTTGTGCAGCTTCTTCCCGCAGCGATGGCAGTCACCCCACTGACCAACGCGCGACCAGATCTCCTCCCGCACGCGCGCGACCACGTCCTCGCCCCCGTCAAGCCGGCTGCAAACGCTCAGGACCACCGTATCCCAGACGCCCTTGTCGCAGTCGCGCTCGTCCTTGTCACGGGCGCAGCTGCAAACCTTGCCGAAGTTGATGTTCTGGAGAATCGACCGGGCCTTCTCTGTACGCTCCTGGAAGTAGGTGGTCTGGGGAAGCGTCAGGCGTCAGGAGTGTCCCGCTGATGCTGAGAGAAGGAACAGACAAAGACGTTTCGAGGTTCTTGAGGAAGCGCGTCGAAGACTGCTCCCCAGCCTCGCAAGCCCGTGTAATCGGATACCTGACGCAGCGCTGTCCAGGCGAGGTCGGTGTAACCGAGGTGGCAGCCAACCGCGTACGCCCAGATCAAGTCGGAGCAGATCGGGGACCTGTGGGCTGTACGGTCAGAGAATCGAGCAAGATTCGGAAAGAAGGAGACACACCATTCCGCAAGAAGAAGCGGAGTCTTCAGCGCCTTGCACTCGTACTTGTCCATCAAGCTGAAGACCGAGAGCCACGCTTCCTGCGTGCTCGGCGGGATCCCTTCCAGCAATGCCTCGAGGAACGCCTTGACCGTCGCCCCGTCCTCCGCCAAGTCACACGTTCTGTCCGCCTCATCCGACTCGCCCACCGTCTCAAACATGTCCGCAAACACCTTCGAGTGAAACGCAAGGACCGCCGAGTCGACGTCGAAGCGCTGGCCGTCCGAGGAGACGAGGGTGAAGGTGGTCGAGCGGCGCGAGAGGGAGACGCCGGAGAGCGTAGTGGTGAGGTCCGAGACGGTCGACATGTCGATTGTGAGCGTATCCGAGCGGTAGCAAGCGAAAGCAGCTGGAGCGAGTGAGTGGAAGAGGAAGAGGAGCGGAAGAAGCCCCGCGGACCTTCGCAAGTCGACAACGTCGTGCGACGCCTCTCGCCAGACTCACCTGGGCCATACAACACGCTCGTAGAATTCCCTAACGTCGCACGACCTACCACGGGTCGTCTCCCCACCCACCGCCGCCTCCGCCTCCTTGCGCACCATTCGCACCTCCGTACCCAGGCGTCCGTCCACCTCCAGGCTGACCGTACCCTCCCGCTCCACCCTGGTTCGCAAAATGCGCAGGACTCGCTCCGTACGCCGGTACAGGCGGAGGCGCGTACCCCTGTCCTCCCATCCCTCCAGGCGTCGCTCCTCCGTATCCTCCTCCTCCGCCATATCCCGGTGCGCCGCCGTACGCTCCAGCCGTCGCTGGCGCACCTGCGTACCCGCCATCACCGACGCCAAAGACGGGACCGGCGTCCATCATCATGCCGTCTTGGCCGCCGTCGCCGGGGTGCATCGGGCCCGGTCCGCCTTGGTTCGTCAGGTCGAGCAAGCCTTGTCGCAGCTGACCCATCTGCAGAATGAGCGCGTCGAGGCCCTGCGGATGCGAGACTGTCAGCCAGATCTCGGGTGCGATAGAGGGAGGCTGTGAACTCACCTTGGTGACGATCTCTTCGGGCTTGAGCTGGCCAACCGCTTCGACGTCGTAATAGAACCGCGACGGCTTCTCATTGTAAGGGAAGGGATCGGTGTCCTCCGGCTTCTTCTCATACTGCGCGCGCGGAGAATGGACGCAGACTCAGCTCTTCCGCCTCGCACGAAAGGAACCGAGTCCTGCGAAAGCGAGCGCACCTTCCCGTTTTCCGACACAGGCCACTCGTCCTTCGGGTCCGTCCCAACCTCGAACCACAAATCCGTGTGCTTGAGCTTGTTGTACGGGTCGTACTCGAAGCCGACAGCCGCGACGGGCGCCCATTTCGCGTGTTCGAGTGCGCGGCCCTACAAGCACTGAGAGTAAGCGACGGCAAAGGTAGACGAGAAGAGAGGGACGCACCTTGACGGCGATGCATCTCAGGTTGATCTCCTGTCCCTTCGCGAGCTTGGCGAGCAAGATGCCGTCCTGGAGTTTCGGATCAGGATCTGCGCGGTAGAGTGTACGTCAGTCTCGATCCCCACCGTGCCTGCTGATGTGCAAGTCGAGAGCGAGTTGAACGAAGGACGCCGCAACGCACTTGTCGCCGGCTTTCCCACATCGCTAACCCCGCCTTCGAGCACTAGGTCCTTCGTCGTCACCTCCATCGTTTGCGAGCTGACGCATTTGGCCGAGAGGGTGAGGACAACGGAGCACTTCGGGCAGTACTGGTCGCAGTCGCATTCCTGCGGGACACGAAGCGAGCGAGTGTCAGCGAAAGTTCCGTGGTCGAGCGCTCGCCCGTTCGACGGTGGACTCGACACAAACAACGCGTCGTCCACGAGCCTTACCTTGTTGTAGTTCAAGATCTGCTTCTCCATCCCCTCCGAATTGAGCGGAACCATCCCCAGCCGGTGCGCCAGCATCTCGTCCGGCAACACGCTCGAGTTCTCGTGGATTTGCACTTGGTCGATTGCGAGGGTGTCGATGCGGGAGATCATGGATCGTCGGAGCGAGTTGGCGAGGCTGTGGGAGCGAGTCGAGGAGGGGAGGTAAAGAGGTCAGCTGGTGACCGAAGGAGTATATTGCATGTCTGGCCACTTTTCACGGACAGCGGTGAAGGCATCGTCGCCCTCGAGCACCAGCCGAACCCCCTCGTCGAGACTCACCCAAGGTGCACACCATCCAGGATAAAGTGGCATCGGTCGCCCTTCAGTTCCGTGATCTTGACGCGCAAGTCTGCGCCATCGTACGTCGCCGGAGGCTGCATGGGCAGCTCGCCCACTGCCATGCCCTGCATCGTTGCGCGTGTAGAGAGAGGAGAGGCCGGGTTGCTGATGAGGACGAGGGAGGGGAGGGAAGGAGGCGGGCGCGGCTGGTGAGCGCGGCGGTGTGTCTAGAGAGCGAGTCTCGCAAGTAGAGCAGTCAAGCAGGTCGGTCGAGCCAGGCTGCGGTGGAAGGGAAAGCATCAGCGAATACACTTGATTACAGTCGAGTTTGTATTGCCAAGTGTATTGATTGAAACACTACAAATCTGATTACGCTCTCGTTTGTAATGCTTCAATTACACCACTGCGTCATCGCTCGGCACTCGTTCACTCTCTCGACAAGCTCGAACAGCCAGCTAGACACGCACTCGAACAGCTAGACTCCTACGCTACTCTACCAGCCAAATCCGCGACTCCCACCCGCCCGCCTCGCCCTCTTTCACCTCGACCTCCCCTTCCGTCCGACACTCAGATGGACAAGGCCTGCGAATACGAGCAGGACTTGGAGAAGCGTGCGGGCAAACTGGAGGACCAGCTCGTACTTGGACAGGTCGACACGACCGACACGAAGGCTCGTTACCTTGGTTCGTCTCGTCCATTTGCCTGATATAATTCCCCCAGTGATTTGACGGGATGATTGACTTTCGCGTGGAACAGGATACCTCGCACGACTCCGACCAGTCCTGATCTCCTCAACCCGATACCTCGCCTGTCCGTTCCGCCCTCCTCTTCCCTTCGGATCCTCACTCACCCTTGCTTGGCGCAGACTCCTCCGACGTCGGCGAGTCCTTCCGACCAGTCGTCGCGCCACGAGCAGTCACAGCTGCGTACGGTATCTCGTGGGCGTACGTGACGGGAGATGTTGCGTACGAGGGATACAAAGCGAGGATGCGGGCGCACGAGATGGCGCCTGAGGCGGTTCAGCAGGTTGTCGGCTTGACGTGCGTTGCTTCCTCGTTTCTCATAGTGTGAAGATCGTGCGCTAAGCCCGGAACCCGCGCAAACAGCGTCGCCAAGCGAGCAATCTTCCAGGCAACCGCCTCGATGCTCCTCCCGTCCCTCACCATCCACACCATCGTCAAGTACAGTGCGCTGTGGGTCAAGAAGCAGGGTATCCAGAGCATTCGAGTCCGACAATGGCTGCCCTCTGCTCTCGGGTGCGTCCTTTCCGGCCTTTCCCTCGCGCTTAAAAATGACCGGTTCCCTCGTGCAGTCTCGGCATGATCCCCTTCCTCCCGACACTCTTCGACGAGCCTGTCGAGCAAGCCGTCGATTCTACGTTCGACCGCATCGAGCGCTCGCTGTACCCCGACGCCGACTTGCCCGTCCGCAAAGCGCTCGAGGCGGGCAAACACCACATCCACAGCGCGCCCGTTGAAGCGGTCGAGAAGAAGGTGTAGAGTATAGCCTGTGTGCGATTGCTAGAGATGTTGTATTCATCGGTTGACAAGGCGAATGTCTCCGAGGTGTGGTTGTGGCTTCTCCGGGCGCTCGTGCTCGTCCGCTTCTCGCTGTTCTCTCCCGCTCTCAACCCGCTCGTGCTTCGCTAGAATGTCGGCCCAATTCCTCAAGAGCTGCATGGGTCAACATCCCGGTGCGTCCAGCTCGCTTGGCTGAGCACTGGAGACAAGGGACGACTTCATCGCTCGACAAGGGTCGGGAGGTCGAGGAGGTGCAGGGATGACCTGGGACGGCTGGCGGGCACACATAAGGCTCGCTGGGCTGTACAAGAGTGAATCAGGCTGGACAGGCGGACGCAGGAGGCGAGGGACGACGAACCTCCGACTCCCCCTCCGCTCGGAACGTTCTCTCGTCCTCGCTCGACCACCTACCTGCCCAGCGGGCCTGGGAATGAGTTGCTGGTCTGCGTAGGCCTAACTCGGACACCTACATCGCGCTAGGAGGTTGTACAAAGTCGCTCATCTCTCCAAAACGCTCGCAGACTTCCCCAAGCGCGGAGTCTTGTTCCTTGACGTCCTCCCAATCCTCCAGAACCCTGTAGCGTTCGAGGTGAGCCTCTACAGCACTACCGCAGTCGGCGCCGGACGTCTGGGAAGCGCGGGACTGACCTTGACGTCCTCCGTCCTCCTCTCTCCCTCCTCTCCACCCGTTCCTTCGCTCCCAGACTCTCATCACCGACCTCCTGAACCACATCACCAGCGTCACTCTTCACGCCCTCCGCGAAAAGACCGGCAACCCCGCCGCCAAAATCGACACCATCGTCGGCCTCGACGCACGAGGATTCCTCTTCGGTCCGCTCATCGCGCTGCGATTGGGCGCTGCGTTCGTCCCGGTTAGGAAGCAGGGAAAGTTGCCGGGCAAGTGCTTCAAGGCGGAGTATGAGAAGGAGGTGCGTCGGGAGCTTTTCGCTTTCGTTGGCTCTCCTTTGCTCTGCGAGAGAGCTGACTTCAAGAGTGCTTCCGCCGCACAGTACGGCGTCGACGTCTTCGAGATGCAAGAAGGCGCCATTCCCGCCGGCTCGAACGTCGTCGTTGTCGACGACTTGATCGCGACTGGCGGATCAGCCGTCGCGGCGCAACAGCTCGTCGAACAGGCCGGCGCCAAGGTCGTCCAGAACCTGTTTGTCGTCGAGGCGCGTCCCAGTGCTCGCAATCTGCTCCACCTCAAGGAGCGTTCAAGGAGAGAAAGCTGACGAGACCTGATTGTGGGCGCAGATCGAGTTCCTCAAGGGCGCCGAGAAGCTCTCCGCGCCTACGTACAGCATCATCAAGGCCGACTAGATTCCTTCCCCCGTTAGATTCCTTTTTGTGTGCATTCCTTCGATCTGTACAGTACTTTGGGCGCCAAGGTCGCGCGGGAGGGAGGACTCGTGATAGACTTTCTTTCTCGCCAACTCGCCTCGGATGCCGAGTGTGAAAGAACACTCCTTGGCAAAGGATGAGTACGTCACAAGGAACATTAACTAGAGCGACAGTTCACGAAACCAGGAAACACACCCGACACCTCTCCCCCTCCATCCTTTCCCCGTCCGTCTAATCGCTTCGAGTGCCGCAACTTGCTGGCCGTCGGTGGCTGCACTCTTGAACGGCAGACTCGACTCTCGAAGGAGCGGGACAAGAAGCGCAGGAGCTGCGGCGGGCGGAGGGAAACAGGCTGCAGTACAAGAAGGTATCGGAACACGATATCGCAGAGTAGGACAGAGTGGGTCATGAACGAGTCCGTGAGAGACAGGAGGACAGCGAGAAGGACGAGGCTTGCGTGCGAGAGGCATGCGGATAGACAGTCGAGAGTCTAGTGCTGGTCGGGGACGAGGAAGTTGACTGTACGGGCGGAGAAGGTCAGCTCGCGTCGTGCAGGAGTTGAGTACGAGATTAAGGACGTACTCCACAAGTCGATGCAGGCTGCTGGCTCCTCCTTCTGCGTAAAAACCTTGGCGTTGACCTGGAATTTGGCTGCGACGTCGAACAAGCCAGGGTATGCAGCAGCATCAGCATCAGGGATGCAGCGCGCAGTGGGCAATTTGAGGCGCACCGCGGGGGATCTCTGCGGGCAAATCGACACTCTGCGTGATGTTGTAACTGTCGGGCTTGATGGGGCAGGAGAGGGTTGCGTTCGCGTTGTCGCTGTCAGGCAAACGGCTCCGTCAATCGGCGATTCGGCAGGCAGTAGAGCACACGATGACTCACAGCTCGTCGCAAACGTCGAACCGCTTCGTCAACAGCTTGATCAAGCCCAACTTGACCGTAACATCCGCGTAAGTCCCCTCCTGCACGTCGCAACCGCGTCAGTCTTTCCCCGCCTACGAGAGCGAGAGCTAGAGAGCGCACGTCAATGAGCGTGTTGACCTTGCCGGACGCCTCAATGGTCAATTTGTGGCCGGGCTTGGGCGGGTCGGGCGTCACCTTGATCGACTCGATCTCGAGCGCATCGCCTGGCTCGCCTGTGTAGCGTTCCGATGGCTGTCAGAGGAACGGTCGAGCAATGGCAGGATCCGCAAGCAGCCAGCGCGAGTGGCCCCTGAGACCCCCACTTGCTCGACTCGCCCCTCGTCTATCTCGCTCTCACGTCCAGCGAACGAAGGAACGAGCAAACGCACCACAATCCGACCATCCCCACTGCGTCATCGCATGCACGCCATCGTCTCCCAGCTGCGACACCCGTCCGGCAGACCACTTGATCGCTTGGTTGAGGACGAGTTGGGCGTCGACGGGTGCTGGGGCGGGCGCGGGGGCGGTGAGGGCGGTTGTGGAGAGCGCGAGAAGTGCGGCGAGAGTGGATCGGAGCAGCATGGTGCGAGGAGACGAGAGCGTTGTGTGAGGAGGAGGGAGAGGAGCGTCATGAGGTGGGCGAGGGTGACAAAGGTCGTCGTGCGGGCTCCTCTCGCTTTCCCTGACCGTGCCAACTATCCTCAAGTATGGCGAGCGCCATCCCGCCTCACGCAAAGTCCGTTGCGACCCAATGCGAGCGTTGCAAGAACCCTGATATACACTCTCCTCTCCTCGGTGCACAGCCGCTTAGAGCTCCGTCTTGGGAGCGTAGACCGACTCGGGCTTGACGTTGCCGCCCTTCTTGAGGCGCTGCTCGCCCCACTTGCGGAGACGGATCGACTCGATGGCGATGAAGCCGCTGTTTGCGCGCGAGGGAGCGGGTGCGAGTCAGCGTGGGTGCTCCTCGAACTGTTTAGATAGCGCAGAGCCAGTCGGCTAAAAGGCGGGCGGCTCGGAGGGAGCGCGAGGTGAGGGAAACGCACGAAGTCGCCTGGGGGTCAAAGTTGGTAACCGAGTCCATCGAGACCTGCTCGGCGTCGTACAGCGCCTCAGACTCGGACATGCGGCCCTCGACGATGACGTTGCCGAGGATGAGCGCGAGGCGGACGCGGCCGTTGACCGTCTCTTGCGACTTTTGCAGGCACGACTGGACGAACTCGCGCTCGGGGGAGAACCAGTAGCCTGCGTACGGTCACAGCAAGGATGCAGCATGGCTGTCAGTTCTGATGGCAAGGCGTACAAACGAGCGACCGCCACGCACCGTTGTAGAGAATCTTGGAGAGCTCGGTGGTGACAAACTGGTCCCTCAACGCGCGGACGTTCCGGTCGACGACCAATCCCTCGAGGTCCATGTGCGCCTTGCGGAGGATCGTCGCGCCAGGGCTCTCGTAGCACCCACGGGACTTGACGCCGATAAAGCGGTTCTCGACAATGTCGATGCGGCCGATTCCGTGCTTGCGAGCGAGCTTGTTGAGCGTGAGGAAGATCTCGACCGGGTCGGTGATCTCGGTTCCGTCGGTCGAGGGGACGGGCTGCGCGCCTTCGGGGTGGATGAGGAGGGAGACGGGGATACCCTTCTTGAAGGTGATCGAGATGCGTTCGGGAGTCGTGGGGCACTTGTCGAGGCCGTTGATGAGCTTCCACATGTCGGCGGGAGGGGTCACGTCCGGGTCCTCGAGGATGCCCGCCTCGTACGAGATGTGGAAGAGGTTCTCGTCTGCGCGTACGGGAGATTCGGAGATGCCATCTCGGGGTCAGCTTGTGCCGCCGGAGAAAGCAGTTGCGAACTCGAACGCACCGGTCGACCAGGGCTTGGCGGCAGTCTGGAAGACAGGGATGCCCTTCTCGGCCGCAAAGTCCAGCAACGCCTGGCGACCCGCAAAGCGCTCAAAGAAGACCGGGTCCCTCCAAGGCGCGATGACCTTGATGTCGGGCTGGAGAGCGTAGAAGGCGAGCTCGAAGCGGACCTGGTCGTTGCCCTTGCCCGTGCAGCCGTGCGAGATGAACTGGCACGACTCGGTCACGACGACGTCCATCATGGCGCGGGCGATCACGGGGCGGGCGAGAGAGGTGCCGAGGAGGTAGACGCCCTGCGTGGATAGTCGCAAGTCAGCGGGGAGAACATGGAAGGACAAACTGTCCAGTCGGGGCACACCTCGTAGATGCAGTTGGCCTGGACGGCGGGGTAGATGAGGTGCTCGACGAACTCCTTCTTGCAGTCCTATTGCAGCGCGAGAGTCGGCCGTCAGTCCCTTGACTCAGAATCGACATCCGCGATAAGCCGACGGAGGTAGTCGACGGGGAGAAAGTCGAAAGTCCAAGGACCCACCGCAAGGAAGAACTTCTTGGCGCCAATCTTGAGCGCCTTCTCCCTGGCTGCGTCAAAGTCCTCCTCCTGTCCGACGTCGGCCATGAAGGCGATAACCTCGTACCCTTGCTCGATGAGCCAGGCGAGGATGCACGACGTGTCGAGTCCGCCCGAGTAGGCGAGGAGGACGCGGCCCTTTGAGCCTGCTGCGACTGCGGAGGACATGGCTGGAGCTGCTTGGCGGCGTGTGCGAGCGACGGGAGCGAGAGAAAGAAAGTGGTCGGGAGCGGATGGGGGAAAGATACGGGCGCGAGATCCGGGCGACGGGGGAAGCGCAGGGCGGTCAGTCCAGTGATCTGGCAGTGCTGTGGTCGCTCTGCGTGTGCTCACAGTGCGGAAGAGGGTGTGTGAGGGTGAGGAGATGGCAGAGAAAGCGACGAGTCAATCGCGCGAGTTGTATTCGGCACGAATACAAACGCAAATGTAATCAGCCAATAGCCTTCAACCCATTACAAACTGATTACAACCCGTTTCTATTCCTTCCCATCAGCAACGGACCTCATCGCCTCATCGCTTGATGCCTCAACCATGCTCACAACAAGCTCAAGGGCCCTCGCCCGAACGTGCACTGCTGCACGAAGACGCCCGGATCCCCGCCAGCTCACCCGCTCGCTCGGCTGGTTCGCCCGCGTAACCGAATCGCCCTCATCGCTCGCAGACGAACAACCGCCTCCTCCCACCGTCGCAGAGGAGGAGCATGACTTGGTGATTGTCGGAGGTGGACCAGCGGGACTTACTCTCGCTGCTGCGCTTGGTGCGTGAGCTGTCGACGAGGTGAGGCGTGCAAGAACTGACACTCGGAACGCTTCTCCCCACCATCGACTCGCAGCCTCGTCGCCTGCTGTCGCCCGAACGCACTCGATCACGCTCATTGAAGGAGGCTCGCTGGACGGCGTGAAGAGATGGGCGCCGAAAGAGGGTGAGGAGTGGAGTAACAGGGTTAGCTCGATCACGGCAGAGAACGCTGCGAATCTCGCTCGTACGTGCCATCTCTCCTCCCACTGATCCTGCAGGGGACTGACACAAGATCAATGGTGCAGAGGTCGGCATCTGGCAGCACCTCGACGAATCCCGCACGCGCCCGATCACCGGCCTACAAGTCTGGGACGGCCTCTCCTCCTCCCGCATAACCTTCGACTCTCCCGCCCTCTCCTCCTCCTCGACCGAAACATCGTGGGACGAAGCCTACGCTTCCGCTCTATCCGGCCCGCGACGGAAACCCATGAGCACGATGGTGGAGAATATGAATCTCCAGAGGGCGGCGTGGAGGAGGATTGAGGAATTGCAGAGGGAGGAGAAGGTCAAGAGGGTGGAGGTGCTGGATCGGACGAGGGTTGAGGGGATTGAGAGGGGCGAGAGAGGCGGTTGGCCGGTCGTGACTTTGAGAGCGGCGGATGGGAAGGAGCGCAAGGTGCGCGCGAGGTTGCTTGTGCGTGCGAGCATTTCTTCCGCCCACCTGCCGCCCGCGTTTGCGCACGAGGTGCTGATCGCAGGAATCTGACGATGACACGCACAGATCGGCGCAGACGGCGCCTCTTCACCCGTCAAGTCCTACTCGAAAATCGACTCGTTCGGATGGCCTTACGACCGGCACGGTGTCGTCGCGACGCTCTCGATCGACGCAGAAGCGGCCGAGCTCGGGATGGGAACGACAAGAAACGCCATGAGCACGATGTGGCAGCGGTTCTTGCCGGAAGGACCGGTCGCGTTCTTGCCGGTGCGTGGAGGGTGCTCTCATCTGCGATTCCGGACACTCCTTGGCGATTCGGAAGGCTGATGGATGAGGCCTTTTTGTGCGTAGCTTTCGAACAAGGCCGCCTCGATGGTCTGGTCGACCACCCCCGCCTACGCCTCGCTCATCAAGTCCCTCCCCCTCGATGTCCTCCCAAACCTCATCGCCGCCGCCTTCGCCCTCCCTCACGACCAGCTCAAAGCCTTCCTCGACTCGTTCATCGCGCCTTCCTCGTCTGCGGCACCGCCGCCTGCGAAGCGCGAGTTCGATGCGGCTGCCATCAATGCCCAGTTGGAGTCGCTCCTCGTTCGGCATTCGCAGTCGACGTACGATCCTTCCACGCCTTCCGACCCGCTCCCTCCACCTGTCCTTTCCGTTCAGCCTTCAAGCGTCGCCTCTTTCCCTCTCCGCCTCTCCCACACCTCTTCCTACCTCGGACTCCCCTCCCCTCTGCCATCGACTTCCGACTCTCCCGACGGTCCAATCGCCGTCGACTTGCGCACCGTCCTCGTCGGCGACGCAGCACACACAGTCCACCCTCTCGCCGGCCAAGGCCTCAATCTCGGCCTTCTCGATGCTTTCTCCCTCTCGTCCCTCCTCTCCACCCTCGCTCAACAAGGCACCGACTTGGGTTCCTACATCGCTCTCAAACCCTACCCTCGAGACCGCTACTTCGCCAATCACAAGATCCTCAGCGCGTGCGACCACCTCGAGAGCTTGTTCAGGCGCACGAACGCGCCGGTCGTCTGGGCGCGCAGTACGGGGATCGGAGCGCTCGATGCGATGGAGCCCCTGAAGGAGGTGTTGATGGCCCAGGCGGGGTCGGTCAAGACGTCGGACGGACGAGGCGGGGCGAGGAGTGCGGGTGCGTGGGGAGCGGTTGCGAGCGTACTGGATAACGTTGGGAAGGCGAGGGAGGTTGTTGGACTTGTTGGAGGAGCGGTCGTTGGACAGGTCGGGCGCAGGGCAGCAGAATTTATCGTCAAGGGGCGGTAGGCGCCGGCCCGGCAACGACCCCTCGCATCTCGCATCTCGTCCATCTCCGATCGGTCTTTCAGATCTCCTCGCTTACTGCGCAGACGGCGGTGCTCGTGTTCTTTTTCTTTTCGCGGGGAAGACGACGGGACGTTCCGTGGATCTGGGGTCGCTGGTTCTGAGCTTTTCGTCTCTCGCTTTCGCCTTCTCACTGCCTTCTCGCCGTCGCCTACGATGTCTGGATATGGACGCCCGCCGATGGGTCGCAATCGCCTCCTCACCTTCCTCCCCTTTGTCAACTGGCACTCGAACGCCTGGCTCGCATCACAGCTCGACGCAGGCTGGTGGAACACGCTCAACGACGGCGAAATGTCGGCAATGTTCGCATGGGCGAGCGCGTTGACGGGGTACGCTGCGGGCGAGCCGGCGAGCGCACAAGCTCATGAGGTGCCCGCCTTTCTGCGAGCGAAGGAGATGGCGGTGCGTTCTTTCTCACATCTTCGCTAAGCTGTCACTTATCTGACTGTCTCGGGCCTTGTCTCGTGCAGCTTGTCGCAAAGGAGGACGCACGCGTCCCGCTGACGGCCGAAGAAGACACGGAGCTCGAGGTCTGCAACGGCTTGAAGACGATCCTCCGCGAGGCTCATCAACAGGCGAGTCTTCCAGCCTTTTCTTGAAGTGTTCTGCGCGCTGACGACCGCCTGAATCGCAGCATGTCGCGCATCGTGGCCAGCATTCGCTCGGAACTCGTTCGGCACGCGAGTACCGCCAGATTGGGTTCAGGGCTGCGCGACGGTACGGCTTCTCGAGGCAGGAGTGGGCCAGCAGATTGTGATTGGATGGATGGGAGTTGGGCAACGCTGCTGCAGTTTTGACGAGGCGATCGGAGGGTCCGCGGAGTGCCCGCTTTGCTGGGCAGTCGACCGAACTTCTCTCCCTCTTTCGCTGGCTTCTCGCGCTCTACTCTCCCCCTTCTTGCGGCATGTCTTCCGACCTCAACTACGCACGCTTCTGCTCTCTCCTCGACAGCACGGACCCGCCTCTCGTGCGGCGCAAGTCGAGCAAGTGGAAGGTTCTCTCGCAGAACTGGTGGGATTCCCTTCGCGACGAATCTCGGCAAGAGCTGGACCAGTGGGCCCTTGCTGTCGTAGTATTCGCGGGCGGGCAGGAGGGAAGGGGTGGGACTTGCTGGGCGCATCCTCCTGACTGCGTACAGAATGCAGTGGCGAAGGCATGGCGTTCCGCCGCTTACTATCGGCTTGCACTGACATTTGACCCTGCAGAACGCCTGGCATCGGAACTTTCACGGCCTGCCGGCAGCGGAGGAGGCAGAAGCGGTGAAGCAAGACGAAGTTCTCGATGTCTTCCGAGCGATTTGTACGGCGGCTGAGAAGGAGGCGAGCTTACTGTCTGCGTTCTCTGCTTTCTTGCTGACTCTTTAGCGCAGCACCAGAAACGCTGTCACGCTTGGCAAGCCATGAAGCAGCAGTCCTCGCCAAATTCGGGCGGGTTTCTCGGCGACGGACTGCGCCAAACGCTCCGCAAGAAGCTCTCTGGCATCTCGCTACGACGTTCGAGCTCGCCGCCTTTGGACAGCCAGTACCGCGCCATCGGCCATCGAGCAGCGCGTTGGTACGGAACTAGCAAGGAGGCCTGGGATGCGGGGGAGGCGTTCTGAGCGGCGCACTTGGGCGCACAGTCTACTTGTGAGCATGCCTGGCCCTTTCGGTCCGACTCCTTCGTCCCTGTGCTCGACTGCTTGACCCGTATCAAGAAGAAGACGGATGCCTCCACAAAGTCGCCTTATCTTCCGCCGAGCAACGCACCGAGAGCTGAGGGCAATCCATGGTCGCGCTCCTAGGCGCGGGCGATGCGTCGGAGGATTCACCTAGACTCCTCGGACCTGACGGAGTTGTCCCATGCGAACAGACCTCTCTGTTCCTCTCCTTCTGTCGCCATCCCTGCTTGCTCTCCTGCTTTGATCGCCGCCAGCCTTCCCAGCTTCTGCGCTGCTGCCGCCATGGCGCACAAAAGAGCGCCGGTGCACGCCGACCAAGACCGCCAACTTGCCCGCGAGGAAAAGCATCACCTCAGGAGGGAGAGGCGGGAGCGGAGCTACGACAAGTTCCGCCTGGGCCTGCTTAGCTCATTCCGGCGCAGTGACTACGAGAACACAAGGGAACTCCTCGAGGGCGTTCTGCAGAGGGCGCTCACCCGCCGGTGGTGGGTTCACCTCGAACGCGAGCAGCGACGTGCGGTATGGATGTGGATGATTGACCTGCACAAGGCGATGGGGAAGCTGTACGAGGGAGACTTAATCAGCGTCAGACCTGCGCCAGAGCTGGAGATACAGGAAGGCAGCAAGGTCTGTCGTCCTTTCACTCCGAAATCCTTTCGTCTGTTGACCGGGTCCTTCAGTACGCCGATGAGCAGCGCAAAGCCAACAAGACTCTGCATGTACTGGCTCTCTCGATACGCAACTCGGTGCGCTTGTCGTTCGTGTCCTTCTCCTTTCTTTCCTGTTGACCTGCTTGTCCCAAGATGGTCCTCGACAACCACAACTCGGCAACGTCTCAGGACCGCGGCCCCTGGTGGTCATTGCCCAAGCCCTCGACGACCCAGAACTTTCGCCAGATCGGGCGCAGGGCGGCGAGACGGTACGGAACAACGAAGGAGGCCTGGGAGGCGGGCGAGGCGTTCTGAGTGATGGGTAGGTGGGCTCGTTCGGCATGGCAAGGACGACTCTTCTCACGGGTCTACCGGAGGACCCTTGTCCTCCACACTCGTCAGATCCTCCTTGAGAAGGTCGACATCTTGCGCTCTTTGCGCGCGAGCAGGCTAGCTCGCTGTGCTTCCGCCATGACATGGGCTTGGCTTTACGCAGGAAGAGTTGCTGCTGGGGGGCGGAGGCGAAGTTGCGGGGAGCAGTCAAGGATCCGGACTTTCCGCGGACGGCCTCCTGCTTGCGACGCCTTCATCGTGGTCTACCTCAGTCTCCTGCCTGCCACTCTCGCTCTCTTCTCGTCGTCCGACTGCACAATCACGATGCGCTACGCTACCCAAACTCAGGCGACCTTCTACAGCGAGATCCGCTGGTTCTTGCCGGGCGACGCTATGCAAACTGTTGAGCGGTACTTGACCCCCTCGTGGTGGAAGAAGCGGTCTCCGGTGGAGAACCGCCTCGTCGAAGCATGGGCGGGAAACCTCGTCAGGTGGGCAGACGGCGAGGACGTCCCCAACGTCTTTCTAACGGTGCCAGTGTTCGTCAGCCAGCCGCATCAGCATGTTCGTATCTTCTCCTGTTGACGTTGTTGAACAAGGGATTGAAGGGATTCGAACGGCAGATGCTCGAGCTTTCCCAGCAAGAAGGATTCGACAAGCAGGAGGAGGTCGAGTTCAATCGCGTTGACAACGTCTACACCGCGTTCAACGTCATCAAGATCGCAGCGAGGAAGCAGGTTCGTCGCTCAGAAGCTTCTGACGAGATTCTGCTCACTTTCCGTTCTTCCAGCGCGAGCGAGTCGAGGAGCACTCAGGCGGTATCCGCAGCGCGCGGGCTCCGCATTCACTCGGTGCCGCTCACAACTACCGTCAGATCGGACGAAGGGCAGCGCGGCGCTACGGTTTCACGAAGGAAGGATGGGAGAGGGGGGCTTTCTAGCAAGGGCAGATTCTTCTCTGGCGGAAGACGCGTGGGTAGAATGCGGCGTGCCAATGACAACGATGCGAACGTGACAAACAGAGAAGAGCTACAGAAACATACAACCCAGCGCAAGCGATACGGAAGCGAGAACGACAGAGGCGAGAGCATTACTGCTTCGACGCCTTCTTCTTGCGCTTCTCGATGTCCTTCTTGCGCTGTTGCAGCTTGGCGGTCTGTGCGAGCGAGCGTTGTCAGTAAACAAAGCGCGCAACGAACGGGGAGCCTCGCGACGCACCTCCTCGTTGCTCCGGTCCTGCGAGTACGTCAACTTCTTGAGGAGTCGGCGCTGGCTGTTGGTCATCATGCTCGCCGCGACCTGCTGCTGCTCCGTCAACGTCTTCTTGACCTGCAACTTGTCGCCCTTGCCCGCCGCAGCAGCCTTCTTCGCCTTCTTCGTCTCGGCGGCAAGCTCGGCCTCGAACTGGGCGGGTGCGATGCCGCGCGCTTCGGCCTCGAGCTCGGCGGCGTGTCGGAGCTCTTCGTTCGACGGGTCGGCTGCGGCAGCGAGCAAAGCGGGCGCAGCGGACTCGTCTTCGTCCATCGCCTCGTCCTCGTCGACCTCCTCATCCTCTGACTCGTCCTCCTCACCGAGCTCGACACCCTCGCCGCCAGCCTCCTCAGGCACGTATCCACCACGCTGGCGGACCTCGTCTTCGTCGACGAACGGCGACAAGTGGGGCGGGAGAACCGCGCCAGGCTTGTACTCGTCCGTCGGGAGAAGCGTCTTCTTGTTGATGCAGTCGACCACCCACTGAGGCTGGACGAACGCGCGCTTGCCGGGGAGTGCGGCGGCGGAAGAGGGAAGGACAGGGCGGTCGAGAACGTGGTGGGTGATGCGAGGGTCGTCCTCCTTGTAAGGCGAACCGGCGCCGAGGACGGGGTCCCAGCCGACGCGGCCGCCGAAGGAGCGGATGACGAATTCGAGCGTCGGTCGGGTCACTTCGCGCGAGAGGAAGAAGAAGTACGGGGCGAAGAGGTCGGTCGAGGCGGTGAGAGAGGAAGGCTGGATGACGGACGTCGTCGGGTCCGACTCGTCGACGTTGGCGGGGGCGGGGAAGACGTCGAGCTCGAGCGCGGCATCGTTCGAGCCGCCAGCAACGGTCGCGTCGCCCTCCTGCTCATCCGCCGTACCCTCGTGCGCAACACCGGCCTTCTCGATCTCCTGAATTTGTTTCCGCACGTCCTTGGCGTACACGCGCTTCTTCTCCGTCTGCTCCGCGTCGGCATCGGGCACCCGCTCGACGACCAGTCCCTTCGCGCCGGCCTCCTCGAGCAGGAGCGCGCCAAGCCCCGCACCGTTCTCGTCGAGGACCTCGTCGAGCTTGGGAGGGTACACGAGGTTCTGCTCGGTGTAGAGGCGGTAAAAGACGAAGCCGAGGAGGGTCTGGTAGAGCTCGAGGAAGGTGAGCATGATGCGGTAGTCGAGGTCGGACGGGATGTGCTGCGTGAACATGTAGGGGACGAGCCAGGTGACGGTCTGGCCCTGGACTTCGGCCTGGAAGTAGATGCCCTTGATGCTGAGGAAGACCTTGCGCAGCGAGCGCGTCCGCATCACGTAGAGCTGCCATTCGGCGGCGAGGCGGGCGCAGTTCGAGATGATCGAGGCGGGAACGGTCGTGGTGGCAGGGAGGGCGGCGAAAAGGACAATGAGAGAGAGGGCGTCGTCGAGGTCGCGGACGGCGTCGACAAACGTGGGGTAGCTGCGAGAGAAAGCAAATCAGCGGGGAGAGGAGCGAGAACAGCGCCGTCTTCGAACGCACCGCTCCTTGATAATGTGGTCGAGCCGGTAGGTAGGCTTCTGCTCCTCGAGGTTCTTGGCCAATCCCCACTCTCCGCGTCCCACAGCCTTGCTGAGCTTCTTCGCGAACGCCTTGTGCTCGCGGAGCTTGTGCAGGACCGGCTCGTGGAGGAGGTACTGGATGTCCTTGGCGTAGTAGAAAGACGCCGGCGCCGAGGAGCCCTTGTTCGCCTTCTTGCGGTTCTTGGGCTCACGGGGGTAGATGCCTGCGTGCAAACGAGTCAGCTCGTGCCGTTGCGAGAGCGCGAGTGAGGCGAGACGGACCCTTGAGGATGCAGAGGCGGCGGAAGTCGCCCAGGGTGCACTGGAGCTTCTTGATCGCCTGGTTGCGAGTGATGTACTGCGCACGAGCACCACACGAGCCCTGTCAGCATTCCTCCTCCCACAGCGAGCCACACGCGACGAGGAGATGGACGGACGTTCTTGGATGCGCCCGCCTCGCCCTTCTTCTTCATGCCGTTGTGTCCGCGCGGCGCTGTCCGTCCCATTATGGCAGTCTGAGCAGTCTAGGTGACCAAGCGAGCGTGCAGAGCGAGAGCGAGAGCGAGTCGAAGCGCGAACTTCACCGCCTCTGCTCGAGCTCACTCGACGGCGACAAGTCTCATCTCGCTCAAGTCCAAGTTGTTAAGTTGACCAGGGTATCCAGCAATGCAAGGGGGACAAGGAACGACGTCCTGATGACTGCTCGTAGAGACCGCAGACAGAGATGCGCGCATAAGAACCGCCTCTCGACTTCCTCCTCCTCCTGACCTGTCCTCGTCCCGTCTAAGTCGGCCGCCAGCCGTTGATCAGCAGTCGCGCCATCTGGAAGCCTGTCCGCCTCTGCTGTTTCGGAGCGACGCGGCCTGCGGAGGGAAGAGAGGGGTCAGCTGGCAGAGAGTAGGGAAGCGCAGTCTCGGAACTCACCTCCGGTCGTCCGCATCTCCTGGCAGACAAAGCTCTCGGGCGCAGTCCGCCACTCGTCGAGTTCGTACTTGCCGCCCTCGCGCTTCGTCGGCTCGCGGTCCTCGCCCGACCCGAACAAGTCGAGCGCGAGCTGCGTATGCGACACGCCTGCGTACGTCGTCACGCACCGCGGGTTGACGAGGATCTTGGCGATAGCGTAGGGGAAGGCCGTGTTGGGCAGCGAGCGAGGGCGACGCTTCTCGAGGCGGTGGCGTGCAACGGAGTCGATCTCGCCGGACGAGGGCGCCTCCTCCTCCTCGTCGTCGACCTTCTTGCTCGAGCTGGAGAACAAGCCGCGCTTCTCGCGCTTCTTGCCACCGTCCTCCTTCTTCGCCGCATCGCCCTTCTTCGCGTCCTCCTTCTTCGCGGCACCCTTGCCCTTCGGCTTCTGTCCGCCCGGAACATCGTCTCCAGCCTTCTTCTTCTCCGCCGCAATCTTTGCCAGGTCTTCCGGCTCCGCGCGGAACCATCCACCAGCCGCTACCTTCTCCGGGTCGACCGCATCGGCAGGGACATCCGCATCGACCTTGTGCCACGCCGCAGGTCCCGAGTCGGGCTTGCCGGCAAGCGGGCCCTTCTCGGGCTTTGCCTTGTCCCACTGAGCCTTGTTTGGGCCATCGGCAGCGTCGAGCTTGGCTTTGTCGGCGGCGGGAGCGGCTTTGGCGGCAGCGGCGGCGGCGGCGGGCTTGACGGCTGCAGCACCCTTGGCGACCTGCGCGGCGTCTTGCGCTCCCTCGTCATCGATGTTGACAGCCAAGTCGATCGGTCGGCCCTTGCCGTCGACGTTCTCAGCGGGCGCAGCGCCGGCTCCACCAGCAGCAGCAGCGGCAGGCTCTTCCTCCTCTTCTCCCTCCTCCTCCTCGTCGTACTCTTCCTCCTCCTCTTCGCTAGCCTCGCCCTCCGTAGCGCCTGCTGCGCCCTTAGCCGTAGCACCCTTGAGCTGGCCCTCGAGCGCCCGGCCGATGTCGTTGTCCATCCCCGGTCCTCCGCCCGGTCCCGCGCCCGTCTCGTCCGCGAGGTAGTCGCCCGAATTGGGGAAGCCGACCTTTGTGCTTGTCGTCGGCTCGTAAGACGCAAGCATCGACTGGATCAACTCGTCCATGAAGGGGTGGACCTTGCGCGGCTTGCCCATCCGCTCGTCGGCCGACAGACGCTTCGCCTCGTCCTTGATGCCCTCGCGGAACGACGCGAGCCACATGTCGCGGCAGAAGTGGAGCTGGGCCGAGTCCATGCACGGCCCCTCAGACCATCGAGGCGCCTTGCCGTCCGACGCGGCGGTCGTGTTGAACACTGATTCGACAGACGAGTGGTACGTGATGCCCCAGTAGTACGACTTGTGCGGGTCGACGATGTGCGTGCCGGATTCGCAGCAGAAGACTTGGAAGGGGAGGTGGAGGGTGTACCGGGCGCCGCCGTACGCGTCGCGTGGAGGAGCCTCGTCGATGGGCGACGTCGACTTGGAGCCGCGGAATAGGTTGCCGTCCATGTCGCGCGTGCGCCACCGGTCGTTGTAGATGAAGAAGCCGTTGTGCTCCTTCCAGTCCATCGAGCACACCATCGACGCCTGGTTGATGTACGACACGCGGATCGTCTCGAGGATGTCGTTCGGGCAGGTAAAGCCCTTGAGCCAGATGACGCGCTCGAACTTGACCTTGCGACGCTCCCACAGCTCGAGCAGCGGCTCGAGGGCGAGGTTGCGCGTGTACGACTCCTCGAGAGGGTAGTACGACGCGGTCGGGTCGGCCGTCATGGGCGGAACCTGGCGAATACGGAAGGAGATGCCGAGGAGGGTCATGACGGCTTCGGCGAGGTCGCAGAGGAAGGGCGTCGAATCGACCGAGGCGTAGTCGACGAGCGAGACGAAGACAGACTGCGGGCCCAGTCGTTTCGCCAGCTGAACGATGACGGCGAGCTGGTCGATGAGGAAGTGGTCGGCGCCGTGCACGACCAAAGCGAAGTAGTACAGCGCTCCTGGCCGGGCGAGGTCGCTGTAGTCGTCCTCCTTCTTCCCCAGGCCGAAAGGCCTCGTCAAACTCGAGCACGCCGCCGCTGCCCATCCGTTGAACCCGAGCAACTCGTCAATCGCGCCGCGAACGACGTTCTCGTCGAGATGCATCGTCTCGGGTCCGGTCATGAAGGGCTTCTGGAAGCGCGTCCAGAAGTCCTGCATGCCGGCGTGAATGTCGTTATCGAAGACATCGTGCGTCTCGTCGCGGTTGATGCGAGACTGGAGGAAGGAGTATTTGCGGGTGTCGAGGGATTGGCCGGAGAGGGGGCTGCCGAGGGTGATGCGCTCGAGGATGGCGGGGTGAGCGATCTCGCCGTGTGGCGTTTTGGGCTGTTTCGCGAACGTAGAGGAGTCAGCAAACCAGTCCTTTCCCCCAGCTGCACTTCCGACTGTCCAGCGAGAGGCTCAAGGGGAGCAAGTCCGGCGAGAGATTGCGACGACGCACCGTCGAGTCCCAGAAGATCCACTTGAAGAAGAGCAAGCCCAAGACTGTCCCTCCTATCCGCAGCCAAAGCCGCTGTTGCGGCGAGACGATGATCTGGCGGGGGGACGCGATCAGCTGCTTGCGCTCGGTTCGGGATCAGGGAAAGCAAGCGCACCGAGGCCATGTATCTAGGGAGAATACTTCACGCAACAGGCATGTACAGGAGGGCTAACAGGGTGGTTGCGAGTCGGGAGAGCGGGATGTGCTCCAGGTGGAGAGATGAAGTGAGGGAGCCGGCAGGGCGTGCAAGCGCGTCGGAGAGTCGACAAGCGAGTGTCCTGCGCTCAAATAAGGAAGCCTGGCAAGCCCTCCAACCAGTACGAGCGAGAGAGCGACGTGGTTCAAGGTCGTCCTGCCAAGTCGACCTGCAGGAGGAATTGGTTTCCTTCAATCCGCAGGATGCTTCGCTTTGACCGTGAAACGCTTTCCTCGACCTGTAGGACGCGTGCCGCGCTTTCCGATCAAGCCCAAGTGGCGTCCGCTTTAACCTCCTCCCGTCCCGGTCGCGAAGCTGAAGGAAAGTAGCAACAACAAGTCGAATGTAGGCGTCTAAGTTACTGCACCGTACGAATCCTAGACTATGCTGCTCGCGTCCACTCCGCTGGTCCCGCCATTGACCTGCATCATGGTCTCGTGAATCTCCTCGAGGGCGCGGGCGACCGAAGGCTGAACGTGGCTGTCTGCGCATGCGCAAGAACATGTCAGTCGTGTAGGCAAGCTGGAGCAATGGGGAAAGGACATACCTCCTCCGGACTTGTCGACGACACCAGCTTCACGCAGCCTTGCGAGAGCGCGAGGGTTGCACTGCGTCCAGTAGATCTGGAAAGCAAGCGCGTGAGTACGACGAGTGGTCGGAAAACAAGCTGCAGAACTCACGAGAACGTTCCTCGCGGCGTACGAGTCGACAAGCTCGAGCATGATCTGCAAGGCGGAGGCGTCGACCTCGCTCACGTCCGTCAAGTCGAATATGACGACGCTCGCTTCTTCCCTGTGAGGCGGTCAGGGTTCGAAGCAGTAAAGGCAAGGCGCAGGGAGACAGGGGCGACACGGGAGTGAACGGAAGAGGCGTTAGCAGCGATCCAGGTCCTAGAAAGACGGTTGACGCACCTCCTCGGCTCCTCCGCTGGGTGATGCCGCCCGTGCCCGTACCGCTCAAGCCTCCTCAAGCGCTCCTTCAGGTAACCCGTATTCGCGAACGTCAAGGCGACATCCCTAATCTTGACGATTAAGACGCCGGGCACCTCTTCGCCCATGACCGGCAACAAGCCGTCGTCGTTCAGATCTTCCTCGAGCGGCTCGAACGTCGATGTGCCGGGAACGCGTCCGAGGATATTGAGGCGCATGGCTGTCGAGTGCTTGATGCAGAGGAGCATCGAAAGCGCGACGGACGTGATGATGCCGACCTCGACCGAGACGAAAAGACTGAGGGCGAAGGTAAGCAGCATCAGGCCGCCGTCGGTCCACGAGCCCATCTTGTAGAAGAATTTGACGTCTTCGGGCGTCTCTTCGAAGATCGAGTAGACGACGACGCAAACGATAACGGCGAGTATGCACTTCGGCAGCGGGCCGAGGAAGCGGAGGAGGAAGTAGGTGACGAGGAGGACGAAGGTGCCGGTGAGGAGGGAGGACATCTGCGTCCTTGCGCCCGTCGCTGAGGCGAGACGAGAGCGGGTGATTGAGCCATAGCCGGGGAGCGAGCCGGTACAGAATGCGGCGAAGAGGTTGGCGGATCCGAGTGCGCAGAGTTCGCGGTTAGGGCTGATCGGGTAGTCGTGCTTCGATGCCTGCGAGGAAGTCCAATATGTCAGCTTCGACCCTTTCGTCTGCCCGAGCCGCAAGTTGCGCACCATGTCCTTCGCCGCAACGATCGAATCGAGGAAGCCGAGGATCGCAATGACGGTCGATGTGCCGAACGACTTGGTGACGTAGCGACGCATGTATCCCCAGCCGACGAACGGGACGCGAACTTTGACGTCGCCGGGAGAGACACGACCGAGAACGGATAGACCAGCGTGATTCCAGTGGAAGATGTGCGAGAGGACTGCAGGCGCAAAGATCAGCGAGAAGCAGGGGGTCGAAGCGAGAGGGCCGACTCCGCACTGGTGGACAGGACGACGACAAGCAGGACCTCCGGCACGTAGAGTGCAATTCTCCAATACCCCTTCTTCTGCGCCACCGTCCTCTTGCCAATCTTGCCGCCGATGAGAGCCGCGAGAGCGATGATGCTGACCAGGAGAGTGAGGCGGTGGGTTTCTCCGAGATGCGTCGCGATGTACTGGACCTTCTCGAGAACCGAGGAGGACGCGCCGTACGCAGCGTTGAGACCGGCTTCGATACCGAGGATCGACGGTGCTTGCGAGACGAAGATCGTCACCGCGACGGCCGTCATAAAGCCGCGCAGGAGGGCCTGCAAACATGTCGGATCAGCTATTGAGGCGCGAAGAAGACCGCTTTTTGACAACGCGCCCTCGAGAGAACCGCATCGAGGAAGCCGAGTCGGAAGAATCCAAGTCTGCGAGAGAGGAAGATCAGCTTGACAGAATCGGCAGCCTTCGCTCGTTAGCTGGACGTACAGGAAGGTGACGAGACCGCTCTCGAACGTGATGACCGTGATGATCTTGGCGATGAACTTGACTCGATGCGCGTCGCTCATCCTGCCATGCGCATGCTCCTCCTCCTCGATGAACTTGGCAATCGTCTCGCCCGTGATGAGCGACAACGCTGCTTCCGGCCCGACCGACAACTGGCGGCATGTTCCCATCGCTGAGTAGACCATGGCGGGTACAGCTGCGCCGAAGAGACCGTGGACAGGATCGGTGTGGACCAAGTTCGTCGCGTAGGACATGCTTTGCGGCGCGATGAGCGAGGTGAGCTGCCAGTTAGACTCGTCAGCGAGTTCATCAGGCTCTTGAGGCATCTCCGAACGCACCGTGAGAGCGGCGATGACATCCCGCATGAAGCTCCTGAGCGAGTAATGCGGAAGCCACTGGAGGACCTGCGACGCCAACTCTCGACGTCAGCAACATCCTCGGCTGACGACTGACAGCTGCTAGCACGCACAGGGATGTAGTAGCGCGCCCGCCGGTACAGCAGCTGCCACCTTGTCAAGTCCTCCTCGACCCTTTCGCGCTTCTGCGCTTGTTCGGCGGCTCGTGAGAGGCGTTCAGGGAGTGTGGCGAAAGCTGTGCACCCACAAATCTCAGTAAAGCCGTCGAAACCCCTTTCCAACCAGTCGAACCGCCGTCATCTCCCTCGAGGGAACTGTAACGCACCAACTTCCGTCCGACTCTGCGGCGTCATGCTTCCCGGCCTCCTGCCCTCGCCCGGACTCCGCAAATCACTCTCAGAGTCCGTCCTCGTCTGTCCCAGCCGCGCAGGTTCCGTCTTTGTCTTCCGCACTCGAGATGACGGAGGTGGTGGAGACCCGAGGAGAGGCTGGCGCTCGCTCGTGCGGGATGGAGACTCCGTGACAGGCCTGCTTGCCACTCGTGAGGGTGGTCGCGACATACTGGCGAGCGTTGCGGGAGGGGTGTGAGCGAGGTTGAATGTTGTCCGTCGGCAAGGGGCGGATGCGAGGAAAGAGAGGCGAGGCGAAGCGTGAGGGGGTAAGAGGTACTGTCAGAGGCACAGCGCGCAGTCGCAGGCCAGCAGAAGAGCCCAGAGAAAGCGAAGCGGAGGAAGCGGAGTGAAGGGAAGAAGGGCAACGTTCGCAAATTGCAAGGTTGAGGAGTCGCAACTGGAGGCGCTTGCCCTGGCTGGCACGATACAATAAAAGGGCTCTTGATGCTGCCCAATGACCCAGTTGTCAGCGAGTGAGCTGACGAGGTGAAGACGGCGAGTCTCTTGAGCTGACAAGGTATGCTGGAGAACGAGATTGCGATGCGCTCAAAGTGACAGAACCCGATACTGCTGAATCCTCTCTGGGTATACGTAATCTATCCGCCCCGCCGCGTCACATGCGGATGATGCTGCCCATCGTGGCCTTCTCCTTTTCAACCTCAGCGATCAACGCCTTGGCGTCGAGGGGCTGCGACTCGTCCTTCCGCGATGCGAGGAGGGCGTCCCACCACTTGTAGAGGAAAGACTCGGCAATGAGGCGGAACCAGGGCGTGAAGGTCGAGGCTGTTTGCGAAGCGAGATGAGCGGGAGACGCAGGAAACGGTGAGGGAGAAACGCACAGGGGTCCTTGAAGAAGTCTTCCAAATCCGCCTTCGATACCCACTTGACGTCGCTAACCTCGTTCGGGTTGATGTCGGTCTTCGGGTCAAGCGTGAGGAAGAAGATGTAGTCGACTGTTCCCGCACAAAGGTCAGCCTCTTCATCGACGACCTGCAGTGGAGGAGCGAGAAAGGCGGGACGCACTCTCGTGCTCGGCCCAGATCTCGTCGCTAGGCGCGTAGTAGTGAATGCGGGTGAGGTAGGCAAAGTCGTCGAGAGGGTAGGTGTGAGGGATTCCGAGCTCGTGGGTGAGTTTCCGCGCGGCCGCTCGTCGAACGCCTGCGCAATCGTTGAGCGGTCAGCATCGCGATTGGTGAGTTCCATCAGCAGCGAGAGAGAGCACCGTACCAATCTGACCCTCCTCGTCCATCTCGCCGAAGCTCGTCAAGGGGTGCGAGCAGCACGTGTTTGTCCACATCTTCGGAAACGTGATCTTCTCGTCCGCACGCCGTTGCAGGAGAAGCTTGCCGGTCTGCGGGTGGAAGAGGAAGACGGAGAAGGCGCGGTGGAGTGGCGAGCGGGTCTCGGCGGAGCCGGCGGGCGGGATGAGGTGGCCTACGCTTCTCTTGTGGTCAGCACTTTGCACCGAGCAGACTAGAATGGCTAGCGACGCACAATCCTTCTTTGAACCCTCGCCAATAGCCCGGTCGTCGTTGTCGAGGAGGATCAAGCGCTCCTCCATGAGGTTGATCTGCTCCTGGTCATACTTGGAAGGGTCGAGGGTGATGGTGTCTGCTCGTGAGAACCCGGTTTGGTGAGGTGTGGTCGCGACGAGGGAGGGTCGTGTGCGAGTCGAGGACCGCGGGCATCGGAAACGGATCAAGGCAGGGTGGCGGGTACGCAGAAAGTCGTCAGCAGTCTGTTCGGCCACATTTTAGCTGAGAAACGCCACGCACGAGTGGTGCAAGACATGTTGAGGGGTCCGTGAGGCGAGTCGAACGAGAGGGGCGGCAACCGAGCGAGAAGGGGTGGGATGAGCACTGGTGAGTTCAGGCGTGTCTGTAGTAGCTCGAAACGCGTGCAACAATGCGCAGGGAGCTGTCAAAGCGGGGCAGTCGTGGTGGGAGAGCGGCACCTTCATCGCTCGCAACTTCTCTCCTCGCCGCTCCCCAGATTCGCCGACAACAAGCGATGGCCGCCGTTCCAGCTGCGCGACGAGTGCTTGCACGGCAACTACGCACTCCCCTCGCCTTCGCACGCCCCTCGTCTCACTTCGCCGCGCTCGACGCCGCCCTCCAGGCCAATTCTCCCGCTGGCCCTTCCTCGACGCCGCGCGGACCTCTGTTGGGCCACCAGGTCGGCGCACACTCTCCCATCGCGTCCACCTCGTCGACCCTGCCACCCTCCATCACCCACACCTCTGCCGTCGCCGCCGCCGACTCTCTCGCCGGCACTCCCCCTCTCACTCCCCCTCTCGATGCCGCACCAGCCAAGATTCCCGATCCTGCGAAGCACGACCCCGACACTGAGCTCCTCGGATACCTTGCACGGCTCGTCATGCGGGACGGCAAGCTTCAGCGGGCGTACAACCACATCAACCTCATGCTGAACGAGATCCAGCTCGCGACAAACGCCCCGCCCGTGCCCGCACTCAAGAAGGCGCTCGAGACGGTCAGCCCGATGGTCAGGCTCGTGGCGAGGCGGAAGGGATTGAAGCAGGTCATGACGCCGCAGGCTTTGACGGACAAGCAGCGGACGAGGCAGGCGTGGAAGTGGATTGTCGCTGCGAGTGACAAGCGGTCAGCGGAGAAGGAGTACGAGTTTGGGAGGAGGCTTGCGCTTGAGGTCATGTCGGTTCTTGCAGGGCAGAGCGAGGCCATCAAGAACTACACCTCGACGCACCAGCAGGCTGTCGTCAACCGTGCCAACGCCCGGTAGTATCGTCTAGTAACAGTGAGTTGCTCTCATACGCGGCTGACGCAGCCGGTCGTGTTCCCTCGCAACTGACGACTTCGCTCCGCAGTCTCGCTCGCATTGTAACTCGTCTTTTCGCATCGTCTTCGCTTTTCCAGTCTACGCGACATAACCTTTCGCACTTGGGCATTCCCAGCAGCGCCCTCAGGGCGACCCTGCTTGAGCAATCGTCTACCACCAGAAAAACGCTCTTCGACTTTGCTCGATACGTACCTACTTACCCTGGCTCTAGGCGCCTGCTCGTCGATGCGTCTCGTACTTCTGAAGTTTCGTGCAGGCCCGGACACGCCTCGGAGATTCCAGCGACCCCCGCAAACAGGTCCGCGGTCTATCCGATCGTACGAACGGACTTGACGGTCAGCTTCGACGATGGTTCCTCTTTCTGTCCTCGCGCCACTCCTCTCTCTTCCAGCATGGCTCCTCTCACTTTCAGCGCCACCGCAAAGAGGTGCAGGGCGCACATTCGTACCGTCTTCCAACTCCTCACCTCTTTCGCGCTCGACAATCGCGGCAACATCCTCATCGATCACCCGATCAAGCGGCCAAGTCTCGCCCAGAAGGAGTTTCGCGAAGCTTGGGTGAGGCCGTTGTGGTCCGAGATCCACGAGATCGGCCTCGCAGAGGCGGAAAGCGGCAGGACACCATTCCTCGCGACGCTCACCTCCCAAGACCAGCTGGACGACATCAAGTTGGAGCTGGGCAGGGCTGTCGCATTCGCACAGAACTGCAAGCAAGTCGGGCACTACGGGCCCGAGATGGCCTTCGTCACTGTGAGCAACGAAGTCCTCCACGATCGTCGCATCGTTGACGCCTTTACTCGCAGCGCCACTGGTCCCTCCAAGCACTGATGCACCTGACGGTGTGTTGAGTATGAAGTTCTCGGTTCCTGACGGCTCTGACTATTGTTCACAGACACTCCCTCGACCTCAGCGGCGCGACAGCATGAAACAACGCTGGGAGGAGGCTCAACGCTTCACCCAAGCCCTTGTTGAAGGCGCGGCAGCGGACAACCATCAGCGCGCCGTCGACAAGGGAATCTGGCAGAACGCGGACGAACAGCAGCAACACGAACTCGGCTGCGACCCGAGGATCTCGAGGCGGGCGGCGGCGCGCTACTTCAGGTCGACGCCGGGTGGGCTGCGTCGACGTACTGAGATGGTATGGGAGCGTACTAGGCGGGCACAGGATGGCGAATCGCTGACGGAGGAGCAGGAAAGGACGAGGAGCGACTTCATTGGGTTGCAATTCGTGGTCTGCCTCGCTTCTTCGGCGCCTGCGAGTCTTCTGCCTTTCTCGAACTACTGCTGGCGACGCTGTCAACTACTTGCAGCCAGCTCCAGCTGTCCCCAACACCACCTGCCTCGCAAGCCCCACTTCCTCTTCCTCCTCAACTTCGCTCGCCATGCTGCTCACCCAGACCGCCCGCCTGGCTGGCTCGCGCACGCTCATGCTTTCGCGGGCAGCATCAACCACCGCATCGCGCCCTGTCTCGCTCATCACGCCGGCCGAACTACACAAGCTCCTCTCATCGAAGAACGCGGAGGAGCTCCCCTGCGTCCTCGATGCGAGCTGGCACATGCCTGGGTCGGGAAGGCAGCCCTTCCAGGAGTACAGGAAGAAGCGCATCGAAGGCGCGGCGTTTTGGGATGTGTGCGTTCGGATCTCTCCATCGCTCGGGGTGCGATTCGAGCTGATCTCCGCCAACCGCGCGCATCGTACCGCTTGCAGTGACCAAATTGCGTCCAAGTCGGACGTCGGAGTTCCGCACAACATGCCCTCGGTCTCGCAGTTTGAGGACGCCTGCTCGCGACTCGGGATCAAGAGGGATTCGCATGTCGTCGTGTACGACACCGTCGGCGTCTTTAGCTCTCCTCGAACAGCCTTCACCTTCAAGGTGAGTCGTGCTGGCCGGCGCCGGAACGCAGCAGCGGTCAACTGACCCCACCCTTTGCGATCGCAGCACTTCAACCACCCTCAAGTCTCCGTTCTTGACGGCGGTCTCCCTCGCTGGATCGCCGAGGGCTATCCCATTGACGAGAACCGGCCTACGAACCCGAACCCGCATGCAGTCGAGGAAGGCGGCCGGCTCCTCTACGGACCCATCTTCTCCGAACTCCTCTACGCCCACAAGCCTCGAGTCGAGTCGTACTTCATCGCCGACATCGAGGAGAACTTCTCTGAATACAAGGTAGACGGTGGCGAGAAGAGCGATGTGCGGCAGTGGAAGGACATGACGAAGAACATCAAGAAAGGCGAAAAGGGCGACGTTGTTGTCGACGCACGGGCAGCAGGGCGGTGCGTCGCTTCTCGGGTCCTTCTCTTCTTGCACTTGCTGACTTCCAATCATACAGCTTCCACGGCACCGACCCTGAGCCCCGAGAAGGCCTCTCCTCCGGCCACATGCCTCATTCGATCTCCCTCCCCTTCCAGTCTGTCCTCTCGCCCGAATCGTCGACTTCACCGCCTTACCGCACCGTTCTCAAGCCTGAAGAGCTCGAGAAGGTGTTCGTCGACGCGCTCGGCAAGGAGAAGTGGGAGAAAGTCAAGCAGGGCGAGAAGAGCGTTACCGCGTCGTGCGGAAGCGGGATGACCGTGCGTACTCAACCTTCTTTGCCCTCTGTTACCGTTGCTTTGGGGCTGACCAGCTTGGACTTGCGCTGCGCTGCTCTTCTCCCCTTCGCTCTTCGCCTATCTTCCGCTCGCAGGCGGCTGTGCTCTGGCTTGCGCTCCAGCGCGCAGGTGTGACCGACAACACGGCCATCTACGACGAGGTGCGCCTGATCCTCCAGTTCACACGGTTGTCCGGCTAACCCTCTTGGATGGGCTACGCCTCTCGACCCGAGAGCAAGATTGTCAAGTCCTGAACGCTGTCCTTACCGCCTCTCGAGCTTGTACAACGACGCATCTGCAACGCTAGACGAATCCCTCGCATCGCAGGCGACAACTGCCGTGTGGCAGGTCTCGCGGACCCGCAGTCCACTTCGCCATGACAGCGACACCTCGGCCTTGGTTTTGGCATCTCGTTCGCGTCCTCCTTCGCTTCTCCTTCGCCCAGTCTCCTCGCAAGACCACTTATACGACGACCTTGAGCCCCTGTCACGCCGCACGCGCCCACGACTTCTCGACTCCCCCACATCCACCTCGCGTCGGGAACGCCTCGTCTCGTCGCGCCTCCCTTCTCGTCCTCCTCACCACCCCTCGACTTCCTCGACCTCGTACGCCAATCCACCATGCTGCCTGCACTCCTGCTGCTCGCAACAACCGCCCTCGCGCTTCCCACTGCTCCCCGCGCCTTCCTCGACGACAACGTCCTGATCGAGCGGTCCGCGACGCTCGACCCGCGACAGCTCGCAGATATCCCGCAGGGAGTCCAGCTCCTCGACTACTGGCCTCGCATTACGTCGCCTCAGAAGGGAGACGTCTTTCAGGCCGGCGGGCAGCTCCTCTTGAGTTGGTGAGTCTTGCTCGGCTCTCCCGCGTTGACTTGGGGCTCGTGATCTCGCCCTCTCGTCCTTTGCGAGATGTGGGCGTCGCATGACTGGACGGCTGGGACATGTAGGCGTCGTTGGACGCGAGCAGGGGGTTCTTGTTTCTGTTTGTCGCCGAGAAGGTGATAAGCGAACGACGCGTCGAGTCTGGCGCTCCGTGGGGATGCGCGCTTTCTCGTTCTCAGCAGGCTCTGCATCTCAACGGTCTTCTGGTTCGCTCAAAGCTGCAACGCTGACCTTGCCTCTTCCGGTGGTCTGCAGGAACAACACCAAGCCAGACATCCCCGACAACCAGATCCACAAGTCTTCGCCCGTGATCCTTGGCTTCCTCGACGAGTCGAACCCCGGCAGTGGGTACAACCTCGACGTTCGTGAGTAGAGCATCGTCGTATACCCAGGGAAGAGACCCTGACCGATGCCGGCACGCAGAGCACCCCCTCGGCAACGTCTCTTTCTACTCCGGCTCAGGCTCGGCTTCCCTCCCTCTTCCCGCCGACCTCGCAACCCGCTCGACCTACCTTCTCTTCCTCGGTTCGACGTCGAACATCTCTCCCCTCTTTACCATCAACGCGGTCGCCTCCTCGTCGAGCTCCGCTGCTCCGTCTTCCTCCTCGTCCTCTGCCGCGACTTCGTCCTCCTCCGCACCGGCACACATCCAGTCGCAAGGTCTTACCGTACACTTCCCGAACGGCGAGACGACCGTCGTCGGCGTCTCATCCACCTCCTCCGCATCCTTCTCCTCGGAGACCTCGCTTGTCGACATCAACGCGCCCGCGTCCTCCTCGTCCTCTTCCTCTACCGCTCCCGCCACCTCTCCCACTGCCGCACCTTCGTCAGAGGCGCCCTCGTCGACAGCCTCCTCGTCCAGCTCCAGCTCGAGCTCCGCATCTTCCGCAGTGTCATCATCCTCGGCCGCCAACAACAACGCACCCTCTCCCGCCGCCGCCGCAGCAAGCGCCACGCCGTCCAAGACGAGCGGCGCGAGCCTCTCGGGCAACTCGCTCTCCAGCCTCGCCGTCGGCGCGGCAGCAGCATTCGCGGGCGCCTTGGTCCTGGTGATCTAAGGCTCTTGCCCTCACGAAACGCCCAACAGACACTTCGTTCGCCTTTCATTACGGTCCCTTCGCCTTTCCTCTGCACCTTACATATTCGCCTAACGCATAATCAGACATCTCGCATTTGTCGTAGTCTCGCTGTCGGATCTCGAAGAACACTCATTGGTTGTACACGCAAAAACCCAGCTTACCCTCGCATCCGCAATGCATCTGCATGTCGTCGGAGTACGCCCAAGACGAGGGAGATGGAGAGAACTTGGCTCTCGAGGTCAGAGCAGCTAGCGAGTCCAGGCAGACAAGCATTACAACGAGACTATGAGGCGGAGAACCAAGATGTGATAGAATCAGAGGAGGGAAGATGCTGAAAGGAAGATCAAAAGGCGGGAGAAAAGGACGACGGCCTGCGACGAAAGGATGAACAGACTTCCTAGACGAAAAAGGCGGTACTGCTGCGAACGAGACGAGGGCGGAGTGGGGCGGAGTGGGGCGGAGTGCTGGTTTCGTAAGAGATCGTAGGTAATAAGGCGAGAGCGTTACGAGCGGTAGTCTGCGCGACGGGTGTTGTCAGAACAGAACCAAGCGAGACGAAAGCGCTGCAACGCACCGGCGTTGATCGAGATGTACTCATGCGAGAGGTCGCAGGTCCAGTACGTCGCCGTCTCCTCTCCCAAGCCGAGGTCGATCTTGATCTCGAGGTCTTCCTCGCGGAGGATCTCGCTCGCCCTCTCTTCGTCAACGTTCTCCGGCTCGCCGTTGACGAGCAACTTGAGCTCCGGCGAACCGTCCTGCGGGACGAACGAGACGGTGACCTTGGTCGGGTCAATGGTGAAGGGCGGCTGCGAGTAGCCGACAGCGCAGAGGATGCGGCCCCAGTTGGCGTCCTCGCCGTGCAACGCGCACTTGACGAGCGACGAGGTCGAGACCGTCGACGCAATCTTGTGCGCTCCCTCGTACGATGGCGCTCCCTATGAACGGCCCGTCAGTCAGGAGCAGCGAAAAGACCGCCGTGAGAACGCACCTGAACCGTCACCTTGACAAACTTCTCCGCGCCCTCTCCGTCCCGCACGACGAGCTGCGCCAGCTCGGCCGCAAAACTCGTCAACTCCTCCCTAAACTGCACAAACTCCTCGGGCGTCTTCTTCTCCGAGATCTCCGCCATCCCGCTCGCACCGTTCGCAAGTACGAGTACCGTGTCGTTGGTCGACATGTCTCCGTCTACCGAGATCGAGTTGAAGGACCGATCGACAGCGTAGGTGAGGGCGTTCTGGAGCGAGGCGGGCTCGACGGCTGCGTCGGTTGCGATCACGCCGAGCATCGTCGCGTGGGGAGCGGCAGGCGGACCCATGTTGGGGTGAATCATGCCTGCGCCCTTGTCAATGCCGACCATGCGGACCTCCTTGCCGCCGAGCTGGATCGTCCGAGTGCGGAGCTTGGGGAACGTGTCGGTGGTCATGAAAGCCCGCGCACAGTCGCTCCAGGCGCTGAACGTGCTTCCCAGTGTCGCCGTCGACGCCTCGATGCCCTGTCGGATCTTGTCAATTGGCAGTAGTTGCCCGATGACGCCTGTCGACATGACGAGCGTGCCGGTGCCGTCCGACGACGACGAAGCCGAGAGGAACGAGTCGAGCTGGTCGCTCATCGCCCGCGCATCTTCCAGTCCCTTCGAGCCTGTCACGGCATTCGCGCATCCCGAATTGACGACCAGTCCCCGCGCTACACCCCGTTGGCGAGCGAGAACCTCCTGCGAGACGATTACAGGTGCGGCGACGAATGCGTTGCGGGTGAACGTCCCGGCGGCGGAACAAGGGCGATCGGAGATAATGACGGCGAGATCGAGCTTCGACCGGTCCTTCTTGACGCCGCAATGCAGGCCTGTAGCGAGGAAGCCGTGCGGGAATTTGGGTGCAGTCGAGGCGGTCGCAGGGTCGAGGGTGAAGCGCTGCGCCTTGGTCAACTTGGGCTTGGGCTGCCCGGTCGCCGCTCCTGCTCCGTTCTCAACGTTGTTTGACCCTCCTGGTGCGGGTGGTGGAGAGGACGAGGCCGGATAAGGTGCGGCGGAGGCGGAGGAAAAGAGACGGGCGGCGGGTGCGGCGAGCGCCTGCTTGAGCTGCGCCTGGGCAGCCTTTGCGATTCCAGCCATCAGTCGGCAGTCTGCACACCACGCAGTCCCAGCAAAGCGAGCAGTCGTGAACTGTTGCGGCGAGAGATTCGCTTGTCGTCAGGGTTGACTCCGCACAGAGCGGCGACTCGCTGCTGTGGCTGATTCGAGTAGCTTGGACTGCTCCTGTCAGCTTTCTGGTCGCTGCTACCGAACAATCGAACCCGCCGAGCCAGTGCGACGCCGCTTCTCTCCCCACCTTCGAGCACCAACCCGCGAACCCGCCAAACGAGCGAGGCCGGCGGCTCCAGGTGGCGCGAGTGTGAGTTTGGAGGCAGTTTGCAGTGCTCAGCAAAGCGAGCAAGTCGGTAGAGCGGTGTGACCTGTCGTCTCGCCTTCTCTCGAGGTGAGTCCTCTTGCGAGCGATGTGGGCTCGCGCGCGTCTTGTTGACCTTCGTACCATGCGCTGTGCCCTAGCAACAGTCAGGATACTCGTCCAACAGCCGAGCGTTTCGCCGCAGGGCGTTGTGACCGCGCTCCGCCCGCCCAGGCAAGTTGACATCTCGCGCTGGTTTGACGTGAGCTCACCGCATTGTCGCCGCCTGCAGACGCCATGTCGGCCTCGCGAGACTTTCAGGAGATCGTCTTCAAGCTCGAGTCGGACAAGATCAAGGAGCGAGCCGAGGGCGTCTCCCGCCTGCGCGAGTTCCTCGCCTCGAAGCGTAACTTCAACGCGATCAACCGCGACCCTTCGCACTCGTGGAACCAGACGCTGCAGACCCTCTTCGGCGTTGTCATCAAGGAGCGCAATGCGGCTGTCAGCAAGAAGTCGGCTGCTACCGACAAACGCCTTGACGACGCAACTCAGGCGGTTCGATGGCTCGTCGAGAAGATCCACCAGTCCGCCACCCGCAAGGTCGCCAAGGCCATCATCGCACACCTCACGCAGATGACGGCAGTCGCCGGCAAGCTTCAGCCCTACGCCCTGACCTACATGAAGGCGCTCCGAACGATCCTCAGCTACCCGCCGCACCTCGAGCATCTCGACGAGCGACAATGGACCGACATCGTTATGCTCGGCTTCTCGGGCGTACTTGGCGACAAGATCAAGATTGGACAAGAGTTCGTCGACGATGCCGTGATGGACATCGACGAGGACGAGCGCATGGGCGGCGCGCTACGAGCCTCTCCCGAGGAAGAGCTTTTCCTTCCGACGCCCGCCGCCGGCAAAGCTCGGCGTACCGCGAACCCAGTCGAGATCGAGCTCCTCGCCGTCGTCGAGGTCGCCTTCCGCTCCCGCTCCTCCCCCTTCCTCCTCTACGCCCAGGCCATCTTCCGAAAGTTCCTCCGCTTCTTCGACGCTTTCCCTTCCGAAACCACGGCCCATGTCTCGGCTCTGACAGCACTCAATCGCGCATTCGCCGAAGTCGACCTCAACGACCAGCGCTCGATGAGGCGGATCGGCCCTCGCTTGTGGAAGCACATCCTCGGCTTGTGGGCGACCAAGAGTACTACGTTGAAGGAGCAGGTTGTCATGGCTCTCCGCTATCTCTTTCCCTTCGTCATCCCTGCGACCTCGACAGGCGGAGACGAGGTCTCCATCGCCCGAGCCAAGGCGCTCTACCACGCCGTCCTCACGGAGCCGACAATCCGCTGGCGCGAGCCCTACGACATCGACATCGACCATCTTCGCCTCGGCCTCGTCCTGCCGACGCCTGCGAAACCGCAGCCCGACGAGCCGCGGTCCAAAGCGTACCATGCGCAGACCTTCAGGATTGGGACGGGATTCGACGAGAAGCATGCGGTGGCCTGGGGAGTCGTCGAGTTGGGGGCAGATGCGCTGGCAAGGATCTACGAGGTCGAGGATGCGCAGAGGGAGAATCGCGCGGTTGAAGCGATGCTCAGCCCAACACAGCGGGGCAAGCGGCGCAAGGTGCGTCAAACTGGCGGTACCAGTCGCAGTCGATTTTGACCGAACTTATTGTCCGCAGATCGAGGATCCCCTCTCCGTCCTCCTCGACTCGCTCAGCGAAGCTAGCCTGTCGAATGCCGCCGTCGCATTCCGCCTGCAGCTCCTCCTCTTCCTCGTCGATCGCCACTGGTCCTCGCTCGATTCCGAAGCGTGCCGTCGCATTCTCGACGCGCTCATTCCGGTCCTCTCGCACCTCGGCACGGACGTTGCGCGATGGGCCTTTCTCGCGGTCGCCGCCATCGCCCACGCAGGTCTGCCGGTCGAGCATACGGACGAGCTCTTTTCGCCGATCAGCGCCGGCCGCAGGAAAAGGCAGCAGTCTGCGCCTTCGTCGCCGTGGGAGCAGATCTGGCTTGTCGCCTTGCGCAAATTAGCGACACCCGAAACATGCCGTGCTGCCGCACACGCAGCGAACATCCTCCTCGCCCATGACCGTGTCAGCGGACTGCTCCTTTCCGAGTCGATCGAGGCGTTCGCGAGGGACCTCGACCTCCAATCCGTCAACTTCCCCTCCGATGCGGTCTGCATGTTCCTCGAATGGACTCTCGCCATCTCCGCCAGCGATGCACGACTTGTCCGCCTCGGCCTCTCCGCCAAGGTCGTCGGATGGGTCACGATGGCCTGGTCCGCCCTCGATGGCATGCACCGCGCTCACAGCTTCGGCCAAGCCCGCCCACATGCCGACCCGCTCTCGAACAGTGCTCTCGTCAGTCTTATCGCCCGTCTCTCCGGTATCTCTGCGATCCCGCCGCTCCCGCACGACTACGTCGTCCCCGACTGCCCGATCGCAACGATGGCTGTCGAGCTGAGCGAGACTTACCGCATCCGTGACTTCCTCGAAGCCAAGTTGCCGGCCTACGTCAAGGACGACACAGTCATCGACACGTCGATCCGGACGCCGGCGTACTTCGATGCGACGGGCGGCGCGCCGGAAGACCTCGAGCACACGATGCCGCGCAAGGTGTCGATTTGGCTGCGACGCGTACTCGAAGGCCTCAAGTCAGGCGCAGCGGAACAGGGCGACCCGTACTGGACCGGTATGGCCAGCGACCCCGCGAGACGGCACCTTGACCTCGCCTGTCTCGCTCTTGTCGTCGAGGGCGTCTTTGCGACGAATCGCATCCCCTCAGACAAAGCCACCGTCAGAGCCGCCTGCGAGATCCTCGCGCTCCTCGCCCCGACCCTGACCCTCAAGAAATGGCTTCCGGACGAGCGCGCATATCTCCTCGGCAGCCTTTCGCCCATCCTCGTCGAGATGCCGCTGAAGCCCGACGTCGACTACCCAGTCCTGCTGGACCCTGGCATCGCTTCCGACCTCCCGCAAGATGTTTTGCCGAGACGGAAGCCGCCGTCGGCAGAACTCGACCTCGAAGGCGACGGCATCGTGCTCCTCCGCGCGATATGGAAAGGCGATACGAGCAGGCAGGCTCTTGAGGAGATCCTCGCTGCCTTGCGCTTCCTCCTCCTTGAGGTGACGGCGACGGATCCGAATGGGTCGTCAAAGGAAACGGCTGGGTCGGCGTTCGCGCTGTCGCAGACTCCGTCGACGCAAGCCTCTGAACGCATCAAGGAGCTCGAGCAGACGCAGAATGGCGACGGATTTGACGATGTCAAGTACGGGTCGTCGCGAGTCGTACAGGTTGGATCGACAGGCGCAGCTACGGCGCCTCGTGCTGGGGCAGCGACGGTCGCGATGTGCGTCAAGGGGTTCGTCTCGGCCGAGATGGCGTACGCGGGGACTGTCCGTCCCGTCAGGATCCAGGAAGTTGTCGACGCTATCCTGCAGTCGGATGGGGAAGAATCGATCGTGATCGCCGAGCAAGCTCTCGCCGCCGTCCATGCCGGTCTTGCAACGTTCAGTCTCGCCCAGGCGCAAGACATCCTCCAACACATCGGCGGAGAGCTTCTTCCCGACTACCGCTACGCCAGGAACGACGAATTTGCGACGCTCGCGATCAAGTTTCTCGAGTGCACGACGGACCACTGGGTCGTTGTCGGCGAGGCGAACGAGGACTTTGCTGGCAATGCGCGCGTCCTGTGCTCGTGGATCATTACGAGTCTCCGGGACAAGAAGGTTCCGTCTTGGAGGGTCCGCCTGAAGGTGCGTTCGCCTCCAGTTCGGCGAGTTTTCCGCCGCTAATTGTCATTGTCGTTGCCCGGCGCAGTTCCTCGCCTTTCTCGACCGGTACATCCAGCTCGACCAGGCGCAGGAACATTGGGACTTTCGCGGCAGCGCACCCCGCAGCGAGGACGGCCACATCATCTCGCCTACCTCGATCATTCCCTTCATGCTCAGCGATGCCGACTTCCGAGTCCGTTTCCGCGCGACGACCTCGACCGCTGAGCTCTTCAACGTTTGCACGGCTCTTGGCGTCCCGGTCAACGACCTTTTCGACGACATCCGGGCCAACACGACGCCCGACGTCTCTCAGCTTGAGCAGACTCTTACGCAGCTCCTGAGCAGCGCAAACCTGGTCGTCGCCGCAGGCAGTCGTCGTCGCTCGCCTTACCACCTGATCCTCGAGTTGGCCGGCGGAGCCTCCGAAACGACCGCGATCGCATTGGTGACCCTCGACGGCGTGGCAAAGCGCATCGGCATGGCGTCGCCGGCAGATTTGTACCTCGCCTTCGCCCGCTACATCGCCTGGAAGGCGGTTCGAGACGCCGGCAACCAACCTAATGCCGAAATCGCCCACCGCTTGCCGTACCGCGCGTGCGGGTTCCCGACCCTTCGAGACGCCCGCAAGGCCGACTTTGTCAAGACCGCCAGCTGGTTGATCCAGTTCGGCGATCCGCCGGAGGCCTTCCTCACGTTGTGCGAGATTCTCAAGCGCTCGCCGCAGGAAGGTCGACTCGACTGCTTCGCCGACTCCGCCGCCCTCGCGATCTGCCGCTTCCACGCCCGCAGGGCTGAGGACGAAAGTCCCGGGTACGCCGAGCTGGAACAGCTGCTCGCTCGCCTTGCTGAAGGAGCTGGGGCGAGCGACGCGCATCAACAGGGCGAGCTCCTCGCGTCGACCATCGATGCGCTCGTCGCAGAGATCCTCGCCCAGACGTACGAAGAGAGGTGGGCTGCCGACGAGCCCCTCCCGGTATTCAGCCACGACAAGCAGGCCTCCGAGCTATTCGCCGAGCTCCTTCGACTGCCCGAGGACCTCGTCTTCCAGGTCGAGACTGCTTCGCCGCACTGGAAGTGCCGCGTGACCGTTCCGGCAAGCCTCTGGGTCGACTCTCACTACAGAGTCTTCTGCACGCCGTCCGCAGTCTTTTCGGTCGTGCAAAACCTGCTCTCACGGGTGCACAGGGCCCCGTTCGTCAGCGAGAAACGACGACACCTCCTCAATCTCGCTCTCGCTATCGCGCTCTCCCACTCCTGCGTCCACCGACCCGCCATTCTCGCCTCGATCGTCGACGGCCTGGCCAGCCTGCTCGCCTGCACCGATACGTTCGTACTCGTCGGGCCCATGCTCCGATGGGCCCTCAAGTCGTCTCTCGATGCCACAAGCAAGGGAGATGGACCGGCGTTCCGCCAGCGGCTCGTCGAGCAGCTCGTCCGCGTCGCGCACGCTGCATCTTCGCTGCGCGCGAAACTCGTCGACCCTCAACTCGTCGTTATCACGCAGAGTCTCTCGAAGGCGCTCGATCAAGGTATCCGCCATTTGAGCAAGGTCGGCGGTACCCACCTCGCTGAGGCCGCGCTCCTATGGCCGCATGAGGTTTTCTCCTACGCTTCTCTCTCGCCGCCAGCAGTCCTCGACGCCATTGCCTCCTCCTTCGCTCCAGTCGACAAGTTCGATACGATCGCGACCATCCGGCGCCTGCCCCAGTATGACGCTCTCGCCAGTGGCGCCGAAGGACCGCGCCTCGCCTGGCACTTGATGCAGGCGCTCAAGCCTGGCACCGCCCCCAGGTCTTCTGACAGTCTGGCTTTCGCCGAGCTCTTGTTCGACATCGGCGGCGAAGCCGAACGACCCGCCGTTGACGATCCAGCCGTCGCACATGCAGAAGTCGCGGATGTTGCAGTTCCCGACAACGACCGCGGAATCAAGAAGCTCGTCGTCGACCGCCTCCTCGCCATTCTGCACGGCGCGGTGGATCCTAAACTCGCAGACGCTGCCATGGCAACCGCCAGACTCGCTCTGAGCGTGCCCGACGTCGTCGGCCTGTGCGCTTCAAGCCATCCCGTCAACCAGCAGACCGCCATTGTCGCGCAGATCATTTCGAACCCTGCACTCGCTCGCGTCCACCGAACGCGGACCCGCGAGGCGAGGTCGCTAGTCGAGCTCGGCAGCGACGAGTGGCTCAAGCGGGCGCAAGTTCCCGATAAGTGGGTCACGGCCTTTGCCGAACTGCTCGCCGACGTTCGCGCCGAAGGCGACGATTTCTACGCCCAGCTCGTCCCCTTGATCCGCTTCAGCCCGACTTTCTCGACACAGATCATCCCGAGCCTCGTCCACTCTCTGCTGCTCCGCAGCGCAATCTCTGGCGATGAGGACATGGAGAAGCGCTTGTCGACGTACGTCGAGCGCCTCCTCAGCTCGACTTCAGCGGGTCGAGCCGTGGTCCGCCTCATCGTCGACACGGCCGTTTACCTTCGCAAGCATGCGCACCCGAATCTCCAAGCAACCTCGCGTTCGCGATGCGATACCTGGCTCAAGTTGCCTTGGTTGCTGCTCGCGGAGGGCGCTGTCAAGATCGGCTCTTGGTACACCGCTCTTCTCTTCCTCGAGCTCGCCCACGAGTACGATCGCCTTTTCACGCGGAACGCCAAAGGCCAGGTCTTCGACCAGCGACTCGACGATCGCGCGCAAGTCCTGCTGTACGAGGTTTACGCCGGAATCGACGAACCCGACGGCTTCTACGGCCGTGAGTCGCTCGACACTCGCGAGGCACTTCTTCGCCGCTACCGCCACGAGGGGCAGTGGGCTGAAGCATTCAAGATCTACGGCGCCCGTCGCGAGGCCCAGTCGCACCATTTTGGCACGAGCGATCCTGCCGCCACGGCCGGCGTGATAACCTCGCTCGCCTCTTTCGGCTTCAACCGTCTCGCCCTGTCGCTCTATCAGCCGGCTCGCCTCGATGGATCGATCGGCGAGACGGACGTCGCCGCCGGTCTGCCGTACGATCTTGGCTGGCGGACGGACGTGTGGGATCTGCCTCTCGAGGATCGCGCTCTCGGATCGTCCAGCGTCTCGTTGTACACCGCGTTGAGGACCGCCCGGACAGGACGAGATACCGCGGACGCGCGACAGAGCGCCACCGACGCCCTCGTCAAGGAGGTCGCGAAACTCGGCGCCGTCAGCCTCGACCTGCCGCAACCGAGGTGCTCTACGGTTTCGGCCATCCTGGCCCTGCGCGAGGTCGTCCGCCTGTCCTCCATCGGCGACGGCGGTGTCCTGACGGAGGATCTCGTCGACACTTTGACGTCGGTGCCGAAAAAGCTTGGGTGCGCGAATTCTCCACCTTTGTCAGCATGCGGAACGCGCTGACGATCGGCTTTCTTCGCCAGTTTCGAGCACGCCGAGCGTATCCTCACGACGCGAATCAGCTTGTTGCGCGGCATCCGCGCGAAAGAGCGCGTCGAGCAGGTCGGCGACGAATTCAGCAGCGCGCTCTACAAGTCTGCGAATGCAACCGAACAGGCCTGCCTCCTCGAGCTTAGCCGAGTCGGACGCCGCTCGGGTCAACTGCAAGTCGCGCTCAACTCAGTCACGGTCGCGCACACCCTCGCCGAAAATGGTCGAGCGTCGCAAGTCGACGAAGAGCTTGCGAACGTCCTTTGGGCGCAGGGCGAGCATCGCGCGGCAATCTCGCTTCTCACTACGGTACACGAGGGCTTCCCGCAGAAATCCGCTGCCCTCTACGCGCGATTGGTGAGAACTCTATTCGCGCATCCGCTCGAAAGGACTAGTGGACCTGACGCAGCACTTGCTTTGCAGGGCGACTGGACCGCAGACGCTCGCATTCGCGACCCGAAGGAGATCCTCGACGAGTACTTCGACCCAGCTATCCGTGCCCTCGACCGCAATGCGCCAGGAGAAGAGCGGGCGCAGGTCCACCACGCCGTCGCCGCCTTCGCCGACGCACAATACGGCGACCTTTCTGTCGTCGCGATCGAGCGACGCCGTCGGCTCAACGCGTACCAGCAGCGCAAGGAGCTCGAGTTTCTCGAGATAGATCGCCAGCTTCAGAGCGGCTCGACGAACAGCGCCCCTTACGCCCAGTCGAAGAAAGATGCCGAACATCACATCGAGGAAGATCGGCGACAGGTCGAGGACGCCGAGGAGACTGCGCGCACGATGTTGTGGCGCGCGCTCGACAACTACGCCCAGGCGTTGCAGGCGTCGGACGAGTTCGACGACTCCGTCTTCCGCTTCTGCGCCTTGTGGCTCGCCTGCGCCGACAATGCCGAGATCCACACCGCGCTCAAACCACGCCTGGCCGCCATCTCCTCGCACAAATTCGTCTTCCTCGCCTATCAGCTCTCCGCTCGCCTCACGAAGCCTTCCCAGCCGACACCAGCCACGCAGAACATCCGAAGTCTCGTCCAACGCCTCTGCAACGAACACCCCTTCCACACGCTGTATCCCGTCAACGCCTTGCGCGATAGCAACGGCAGCAGGAGCTCTCGGCGATCTTCCGCATCTCGCGAGTCGAGCATCGGTGCAGGTGGATCAGCGTCGAAGAGTACGAACAGTCGTGCACAGGCAGCGAACGACATAGTCGAGAAGGCGAAGCGTCTGGACGGCCTCCGGCATCGCATCGAGGCGGTGGAGCTAGCCTGCGCCGCGTATGCAGAGTGGGCGTCGTTCGATATCAAGCGCAACTCGGCCTACCAGGACAGTCGCGGCGCCATCAAGAAGGGGCCACAACCCATCCCCCGCTCAATGCAGCTCAAGGCCAAGGTCGTCAACTTGCCAATTCCTGTTACGACCTTCGACTTGCCCGTCGACCCGACCGGAACTTACAGCGACGAGTCGTTCCCGCACATAGTCGGCTACGACGACCACTTCGACACCGCCGGCGGCATCCATGTTCCGAAGATTGTCACCTGTGTTGGCAGCGATGGCAAGCGGTACAAGCAATTGGTACGCACAGCGCTTTCAAACTCTGTGTAGGCACAGGGAGCTGACCTGCTGCACCCATCAGCTGAAAGGCGACGATGATATCCGCCAGGACGCCGTCATGGAGCAGGCGTTTCAGCTCGTCAACAGCCTGCTCGCTCGAGACGACGCCGGACGTCGCCGCAAGCTTCGCATCCGGACCTACAAAGTCGTGCCGCTGCAGAACAGGAACGGGCTGATCGAGTTCGTCGCCAACACCGAGCCCTTGGGCAACTTTCTCGCCCGCCTCTACGAGTACGTTCCCCCGCATTGGCCTTGTACGCGCCTGGCTTTCTCTGACCGTCCCCGCCTTTCCAGCGAGATGGCGCCGGGTCTCCCCAAGCAAGCCCGCGAGAAGCTGCGGTCGATCGAGGCGAAGCACAAGGGACGGCACGACCAGCGTGATGCTGAGAAGACCGACGCTTTCAAGAAGATCCTCGACAAGATGCCGCCTCTCATGCGCTTCTTGTTCTGGCAGCGGCACAAGGTCCCGTCGCTCTGGTTTGACATGCGCCTCAACTACTCCCGCAGCGTCGCGACCACCTCCATTATCGGCCATATCGTCGGCCTGGGAGACCGCCATGTCTCGAACATCTTAATGGACGTCTCGAAGGGCGAGCTTGTTCACATCGATCTCGGAATTGCCTTCGACCAGGTGCGCGCCCTTCACCGCCCGCTGTCTCTTAGGCTGTCGTTGACGCGCCTGCTCCTGCAGGGCAAGCGTCTCCCGATTCCGGAGAAGGTCCCCTTCCGCCTCACGCAGAACATGATCGATGGCTTCGGCATGAGCGGCGTCGACGGCGTCTTCCGCCGCTGCTGCGAAGAGACCTTGCGCGTCCTCCGCAACCGCTCGAACATCGTCATGACGGTCCTCGAGGTCTTCAAGCACGACCCGCTGCAGAGCTGGTGCGTTGGGCCGTTCAGCGCGTCCCGATGCATGAAGCTGAACGTCTTGCTGCTCGCAGGGCGGTCTCTGCCGACATGGCCAAGCGGATTCAAGGTTCCGACGACGGCGACGCCGCAGCTCTCGATGACTTGCCGGACGACGCCGACCGTGCACTCTCCATCGTCCGCAACAAGCTGGACACGCGCCTCAGCGTCGAGTACAGGGTCAACGAGCTCATTCAGGAGGCGACGAACCCGAGCAACCTCGCGACAATCTTCTCTGGTGCGTTGAGCGCGCGCGTCACCGAGGACTATAGAAAAGCTCCTGACGCTTCGAACGACAGGCTGGCAGCCCTATCTCTGAGCGCGAATCTTCCTCTCCTGCGCAACCCGCAACTTCGCATCGCACTATACCTTTTCCTGTCGATACCGCTTCGCATCTCTCGCATCCATGCATACCAGTCTCTTCATCACGTCCGTGTCCGGGGTACAGAGCAGAGAGCTGGATTGCCTGTCGCGCGAGACCAAACTTCTTCCTCATCGCGCCTCCAGGAATCGCTGCTCCCACTTCTCTAGCCTGAACAGTTTTGCAGCCTGCCATGCTGTTGGTGCGCCAATGTGTGGGTTTGCTCCGCCTGCGAGGAGAGCCTCGATGACCTGTGTGCAAGCGAGCTATGAGTACGAGTGTACGACGAAGCTGGGGATCGAGCGTACGGCTTCGTCCTGCTTGTACACTGCGCCGGAAAGCGGCGATTGTTGTCGGTTGTTCAGTCGGCTGCGCGTAGGGGAGAGTAATCAGCTCGCAAGGCGGAGCGAAAACCTGCTTGCGGAGAACAGACTGGAAGACTCACTTGGGGTCTGCGCCGCGCTGAAGAAGGAGCTTCACAGCTTCTGCGTGACCGTGATACGCTGCGAGCATCACGAGCGTGTCGCCGTTCTGCGAGAGTGCGAACGTGAGACTCGTCAACCTCGCTTTTTTGGGCAACGCGGTGGTGCAGGGTGAGTGCTCACCTCATTCGTTGCGTCAGGCGATGCACCACCGTCAAGAGCTGTTGCGAGCTCTGCTGCGTCGCCTCGTCGTGCCACATCGAAGAGCTGAAAGGGCACAAGGGGTCGAGCAATTCGAGAGCGTGGGATTTGCGACGGTCATGTCAGAGTGAGTGGGCGGTAAGGTCGTTGACACATGTAGTGGAACACCAAGGAGCGTCCAGCGAGGTTCCAGCGGCGGCAGAAGGCGGGAAAGAGGAGAGAATGCGTCATCAGTTCAAGGTAGAGGTTGAGGTGAGGGGGGAGGAAGCGCACCTCTTGGGTCCCGTCTGCATTCATACTAGCTTGTTATCCAATCTTTGAAGCCGTTTCAGCCAATACAGACCAAGAAGAGCCAGATGTCGTGAGGCGACGGTGGCCAACCTGTCGGGCGAGGTTTGTCTCCCGCTTCCGTCCCTCTCTGCTTCGTTCGGCTGTCTGACTGGCGCAGAATGGGTGTGAGCAATGCTGTCGTACTTTCGCACCATGACCGCTGCTCACCGCTCACTGCCTTCGAATGCAGGACGGCCGGTACTCATGGCTGAACATGCCGTCTGGGCGGGCGGCACACTTGCTGGACGAGGAGGACGAGCGGCTCGGATGGGACTTGCCGGACGATGGTGAGCACTCGTGCCCCTTTACTGCTCCGCGAGGCTCACTGACCGCTTGACGGCTTCGCTTACGCCAGACATCCAGGTTCCGGTTCACTTGCTCCCTCCATATCAGGACGAGGACGACGAGAGTGCGTGCAGGCCGACTGTAATAGCGTTCGCTCCGCTGATGACTGGCTCGCGTTGCCCTCACAGCGGTCCTCCCGTCGCAAGCCCACCCTTCCTGGCCCTACGGCAACCCCTACAAGCCCAACCTCCTCACTTCCCCTTCCCGGCGCTCGAAAGCGACCTCGGCCAACCCCTCATCCCTCTTCACCCCCTCGACACACGCAACATCGCTCTCGACGACCCTCCCGACTCTCGAGCTACGCGACCTCTTCCTCCGAACGACGTTTGGCGATGCGGCGGATCGACAGTGGGACGAGATGTACCTGCCTGGGCTGTTTGGGCGACGGACGAGGCTAGAGGAAGAGGAGGACGACGAGGAGCGGGATGCGATTCACAATGCGCACGGGGACGCGGGTCCACCGGCGGGTCAGAATGCGGCTGACGACGAGGAGGGCGCGGGGAGCGATGTCGAGGAGGGTGCGAGGATGGACGAGGAGGGACAGCAGGAGCAGGGACTCGAGGGGATCCAGTAGGCGGTTCGCGCAGCGTTGTTCTCCTCCTCTCTTGTTGCCATTCTACGCATTTTCTCGCTCGTCTCGTATTCTGCCGTGCAGAGCTTGCATGAGTGTTGCTAAAGCAGAGAGAAGACATGAGCGAAAGCGGGACTCGAACGAACCGCAAAGGGAAGCGTGGACAGTAAGTCTCGACGACGACGACCGCGAGGTTGGCTCTCAAACCCTTCGCTCCAGGTTGCACACAGAACGCCTAGGACGGTGAATGTGCTACGCCAGTAGATCCGGGAAGCCCTCAGTGAAGAGGGGAACCGAGGATGGACGGGGGGACGAGGTGGACAACGACAAAGTCGCGCATCAGGCGGACTCCTCGTCGTCGTTCTCCGAGCGCTGCTCCTCGAGGACCGCGGTAGCGATGCGGTCGAGGTCGCGCTGGCCGTCAACCGAGATGCGGCGGCCGCCACGAGCGGTGTCCTTCTCAAGAACACCGATCTTCTCGAGGGACTGGAGGATCTTGCGCTCGACTGCGATTTTTTGAGTTGCGAGGGCGTGTAATACGTCAGTTTAGGCTCGCGGAGCAGTAGGAAGCGCGAGAAGGAGGGAGGAAGGGCGGAAAAGGGAGGGAAGGCAGGGGCGAAGTCGGCGACGGCGGAGTCGCGGGCTGGGATCAGGAATAACGCACCGGAGCCTGAGCCATCACGGTGCAGACTAGGGCGGTTTCCTCTGTTAACCGAACCACCGTGGAGCTTCTGGAGGGCGCCGACACCGACGTGCTTGCCTGTATCGCGCAGAAACGGGTTAGCTGAAGTTCCCACGCCCCGATCGACTTTGCGCGTCCTCCAACACGTCCAGTACAGCCTGCGGGTCACCGCAACGAGCGAGAGGAGACGCACGGAGGTAGATGTGGCGGGCGACCGCGGCGGCGCGGACGTAGTACCAGTCCTGGTCGTAGGGAGCGAGCTCCTTGCCGGTGCCGGTCTTGACAACGTCAACCCAGACGGGGACCTCGAGCTTGCCTGTGAGCGTGGAAGGGAGAGCAGGAGTCAGCTAGTTGGTCTCTCGAGGCGAAGAGGGTTGATGAGGAGAAAGTCGTCGGTTGCATCGGCTCCGACCACCGCACACGCTAGACACCATCGCCACCGCCATCGAGACTACAGCACGCAAAGGTAGTAATGTCCTGGGCCGACGAAGTCGCTACCCTCAGTTCCACGAGGGAAAAGAGGGAGAGCGACGACGGGGGTGATCGCAGTAACATGCCCTTTCGGGCCACCTAAGGTGCTAAGCCAAGATGAGAGGGAGAAGGTGTCTATGCGTGTGCAGGGGAGCAATGGAGGGATGCGGGGCGGGGCGAGACGAATTGAAGGCGCATGTCGAGTCGGGTCGAGACAGTCGGCCGACGCCGCCCAATCCAGGCGAATAACGCCCGTCCACGGCCAGTCCGTGACAAACGCCATTCCCAGCCCAGCTGCACCGGTAGCGCGTCGCGATCGATTTGCCGAAGAGGTCGAGGAGGCACAGCCCAAGTCAAAGCAAAGCGCGACTAACCGGAGCGCTTGAGGTGCGACGAGTAGGCGGCGATGAAGGCCTCGGCGGTAACGTCACTGCAAGCGTGGAAGGAGCAGGTCCAGCGAGGGAGGGAAGGAAGCGTGTGCAGGCGCCAGGTCAGCTCGGATGGCTCTGAAGCGAGATGTGGCAGGGATCGAGACGCACCGGACGGTAGGCATGATGGACTGGACTGTGTCGTGCGATTGAGCGATTTTTCAGGTGTCCAGGCGGTGTCGAGGCAGTGAGGAGGAGCGGGTGAAAAGAGCGGGAGATGAAGACGGTCAGCTCGAGTGCGCGGGCGTGGGCGGGTGTGCGGGTGGACGGTGGCTCACGGGATGACCACGGAAGGGAGGTTGAGAGAGCCTGTCACAGGTAAGGGGAGGGGAGCGGAGCGTGGTGAGGAGCCAACGCGACCACAAGCTCGTCCCCCTCGCCTCGTCCAGCTCATTACAAGCGAGTTGTATTTGGCATTACACTCCGATACTAATGCTCTGCCCGCGCCTCCCCTCGAGCCGACCCACTCCCCTCCCTCGCCCGTCTCTCTCGTCCTCCTTACCTTTTCGCTGTTCTCACACACGCTCAGCAGGCCCGCTCCCATGCTCACTCGGCTCGGCCCACGCCCTCGACGACCCTGCAGCACCCGCCGTCTTCCACCGTGCCCGACCTGAAAACCGTTGCGCCAGGAAACTCTTCCTCGCACCAGCAGTGGCCAGACAGGGAGCTGCGACGTAGTTGAGGGGCGATTAGCAGTGCAGCGAGGGTATCAGGGCCGGCGGGCGGTTTGCTCAGGCTCCGTGGACGCGACGACTTGAGCCTTCACGCCTCGCTCTCTCGCCAATTCGCCCTCCGTCTGCGATTATTACTGGGCTCTTTACCGACCGGCGCACGGCCCACTTGGCTGGTTTTGCCGTCCGCTGAGCGCCAGGCGCCATCATACCTGGCGCCAACGATCCAGTCGCTTTCCGACTCGCTTTTCGGCTTTTCCGCCTCACGTACCGCCTGACCGACATCCCGACCCTCTCAAACACTCTTGTGAGTTTCCCCTCCTCTGTCCTTAGGGAGGAATCGGAGGACACGGCGCGGCGCGCCTCTCAAACAGGATGAACACCAATTCATCTAGGCATTAGTTCACCCTGAGCACTACATGCGGACAACGAATCATCATTCAAACGTCTTTCACCCCTATCTGAATCGTTCCTCAGGGAACGGAGGGCGCCGCGCCGGGAATCGAGGAGCAGGAGGAGATTCGACATCGAGTTGAGCAAGAACTGACAATTCTTCGTCTCCTCTGTCGCAGATTCGCCTGCGTACGTCTTCTGCGGCTCGGTGATGCCTTGCAACGCCGCTGCGCATTCAGCCAGCCCATCCTGTGCCCGTTGAGAGATGATTCTTGGTCTAGAGAAGCGGTATCACTACTTCCCTCACGTCCTGCCCGGGTTTCCTCCCCCTCGTTAGCCGTCGCTAGACGCTCTCGTGCTGTCGCATGTCGCGAAAGCCTCAAGGAAAGCGCAGCAGACGCCATCGAACCTCCCCACCTCGTCCGAAGAAGCGGGTCTGCCTTTCTCCACTCTCTCGTACGGCTGATTCCTGCTCGCCTGGCTCCTTCGCATTCCTAGACAGCTACAAAAGGCTACTTGCCCCGCTAGAACACGCTCGCTCGCCTTCCCCCACCCTCGCTCGCCTTCCCGCCCTCCTCTCGCAGCGATGCCGCCCAAACCCACCCCCGACTACAGGCTCTACTACGTAACAGGCCGCTCGCTCCTCCCTCCGCCGCCTGCCTCCTACACCGGTCCGGAAGAGGACTACTACCTCGCCCACCTGGAGGAGGCGTTGAAGGGCGGTGTGACGGTTGTGCAGGTTAGGGAGAAGGATGTTGACGGAGGGGAGTTTTTGGAGGTCGCGAGGAGGACGAAGGAGGTTTGTGATAAGGTGAGTGTGAAGTGCTGTTTGCTGGGAGAAGGCAGGAAAGGCGCGGAATGGCTGGAAGAGGATGGCGGAGGTTTCTTGGAGGAAGAGGAGGAAACTGGACGGTTCGAGGTCTTCGTGTGGGCTTTTCACGCCTGTTAGGCACAGATTAAGACGGGCTATCAGGCGGAATCTTCGAGCGGGCGAAAGCCGGCGCCTTCAAATAAGAAATCGCTTCTTCGCACACCTTGTTGACTCTCGTCCCCTCCCATACGCAGTACGACGTCCCGCTCTTCATCAACGACCGCGTCGACGTCGCCCTCGCCCTCAAATGCCACTGCCACGTCGGCCAAACCGACCTTCCCGCCCGACTCGTCCGCCAACTACTCGGTCCAGACGCCTTGATCGGCGTAAGCGTCAACACGCCCGAGGAGATGCGGGTCGTGATGGACGAGGGCGTGGCAGATTATGTTGGTGTTGGGCCGTGCTTCGGGACGCAGACGAAGAAGAACTTGAACCCGATTTTGGGTCCGAGGGGCGTGAGGGCTGTGTTGGAGACGCTTGGCGAGAGCGAAGTCAAGGCGGTCATCATCGGTGAGTCGAGGGTCTTCCGCGCATACTTCGAGCCCTCAGGCATGTGACCGCTTGATAGCTCACGCTGAGAATCGCTTCGTTCAGGCGGCATCACCCCTTCGACCATTCCCAACGTCCTCGCTCAGACTCCCGCACCTCTTCCTTCAGGCGGCTACCGCTCGCTCGACGGTCTCGCCGTCGTCTCTTCCATCGCCGCCTCGACAGAACCCGAAACTGCCGCGCGCGAACTGCGCGAGATGTTCGACCGCAAGCCGGCGTACCCTGCTCGATCGCTGAATTCGGACGCACTTTCGGCGGAGCAGGTTGTCGAGCAAGCCGTTGAGCTGTTGCGGATACTGAAGGATGGGGAGAAGACGCCGCTCGTTCACCACATTACGGTGCGCCAGGCGTTCCGCTCTCGGACAAGCCGTCGCGATTCACTGACTTCGACTTGTTGGCAGAACTTTGTCGTCATGAACGACACCGCCAACCTCACGCTCGCTTTCGGTGCCTCGCCAATCATGTCCGCCTCGCCCGACGAAGCTCCTCACCTCTCTCAGCTCATCTCGTGTCTCCTCCTGAACCTCGGCACCATCACCGAGGCGCAACTGAACGCGCAGAAGATCGCGGGAGCTGCGGCGAATAGGAATGGGAAGCCAGTCGTGTTTGATCCGGTCGGGGTTGGCGCGACGGAGTACAGGAAGAAGAGTGCGAGCGGTGCGTCTGGCCTATCAGCATGAGCTCCTGAGCGTCATCATAATGGAAGAAGGCGCACGCTCTGCCATCGTCTAGCGCCCCCGCAACGTTTCGCTCACTCCGCCTTCCCGCAGACCTCCTCAACACCTGCCATGTCAGCATCATCAAGGGCAACGCCGGCGAGATTGGCGCTCTCTCGGGACTGTCGGAAGTCAAGGCTCGCGGCGTTGACAGCGTCGGCAAGGGCTTCAAGGATCCGGCGACCGTCGTCAAGACTCTCGCAGCGCGAGAGAGTGCGTCTTCCGCCTTTAGTCGATCGCTCGAAGCTACCAACTGACGCACGGATTTATGCGTTCCCTGCAGAGCTCGTCGTCGCCATGTCGGGCGAGACAGACTACATCTCGGACGGCCAAGTCTCGTTCACGATCAAGAACGGCACTTTCTGGCAAGAAAAGATCACGGGTTCCGGCTGCATGGCTAGCGCGTGAGTATATTCCGCTTCTGTAGCCTGCGTTCGCGCCAGTAGAGCTGACCTTCTCGCGCAATTCACGCAGCGCCGTCGCCCTCTTCGCCGGCTTGCAGCACGAGTCGGGTCCCTTCGTCGCTGCCGTCGCAGGGTGCTTTCTTCCTCTCTCGCATCGTTCGGAGATTGCCTTCTTGCGCTGACGCTCGCCGCTCGTCCACAGACTCCTCGCCATCAACGTCGCAGCGGAGATCGCCGCGACTCGTCCCGAAGTCAACGGGCCCAACACCTTCCGCGCGGCCCTCATCGACGCCTGCTACAACCTGCGGCCTGAAGACGTGCGGAGTAGGGCGAAGTTGCAGCGTGTCTAGACGACGGAGCAGACTGGACATAGACATTCGAACGGAATTATCCTCTTTGCACACGGCGCACCGCGTCGCTCTGCGTGAACCTTCTTCTCGTGCCAGCGCAACGACTTGCAGAGCAACGGACTTCCTGTACGCTTCGCAAGCCATTCAAGCGGATCTCGGGTCTCTCGCACCCGCTCGCCCGCATCGGAACTTGGTTGACATCCACCGTTCACCTCGCCTCGTCCAACTGCTCGCTAGACACGCCTGCTGGCCTGTATAGACCTCGAGATGTCTTTCTCGAACGACTCGTCGCCCACGTCGTCCCTGCCCGGCTCGCCAGAATCAGCCACTTCGCTCTCCTCGCTCTCCGAATCTTCCGAGTACCGCGCACCGCTGTCCGGCGAGGCGCCCGAACCGAGCATTGATGGGACGTCTGTTGGTGGTGGAGAAGGCGACATCCGGGCGAGCAGCGCTGAGGAGATCAGTGAGGACGACAAGAAGGTAGGTTTGATGAAGCGTTTCTTGCAGCGCTGGCCGCGCTGGAAGGGCTTTGCGGGCCCTTGTCATGCTCTTTGAGCTTGCCGCATTCACTAGGGAGCGATCTGCGGTACCCGGACGAATCGTCGCTGACCACCTCCCGCTCACACGACCTTGCAGCTCGCACTTTCGCTCAAATCGCAAGCCAACTCGCACTTCACGGCGTCACGGTACCGAGAAGCACTCGACATGTACACTGCGTCGCTCAACAAGAACCCTTTCGACCCGATCGTGTGGTCGAACCGGGCTGCGGTGCGGTTGAAGCTGGAGGAGCACGGCCTGGCGATCGCGGATTCGAGTGCGTTGGCCGTCAGGACTCTTGACCACTCGCTACGTCGGTGCTGACCTGATCGCTTTTGCAGCCCGGGCGATTGAGCTGGATTCACGAGCGGTCAAGGCGAGTGAAGCCCTCCTCACCTCGTCCTTCGCAGCGGCTGACGCTCACGCCCGCTTGTTCAGGCTTACTATCGACGAGCGATTGCCAACCTCGCCATTCTGAAGCCCAAGGCTGCGCTTGTCGACTTCAAGCAGGCGCGTTCGCTTCAGCTCGACCTGTCCCGCTCCATCCGCTGACCATGCCCTTCTACAGGTCATGAAGCTCGACCCGAACAATGCACCTGCGCGGACGCAGATGGAGGCGACGCAGAAACTGATCAAGCGATTGGCGTTCGAAGCTGCGATTGCGGGCAAGGAGGAGGAGCCGATGAGCATCAAGGCGGGCTTGACCTGATTTGGGTCAATGTGACGTGACTGACGGTCGTTGTGTTACTCAGATGCGAAAAATGGTTGACGAGGGCGCCTCGCCTCTTCCAGCCGACTACACCGGACCTCGACTGGCAGACAACGAGCGGATCACGCCCGAGTTCATCGACTCGATGATTCAGTACTTCAAGGACGGCAACCTCATTCCGAAGCGCATCTCGTGGCAGATCCTGCTCGGCGCGTACGATGCCTTGAGGGAGGAGGAGTCGCTCGTGGATGTGCCCATTCCGGAGGGACAGACGGTGGACGTGTGCGTTCGCTTCCAAGACATCAGCGTTCTTGAATCGTCACTGACGACGCGCTCGTCTGCAGTATTGGCGATTGCCACGGCCAGTATTACGACTTTATGCACCTCCTCTCGCTCACCGGCAAGCCCAGCGAGACGCACTCGCTCGTATTCGACGGCGACCTCGTCGACCGCGGCAGCTGGTCCACGGAGATCCTCTTGACTGTGCTCGCGTACAAATGTGCGTCCGCGCCGTCTCGCGCCTCTCGCCACGCCCGCGCTGACCACCTTCTCTCGCAGGGCTGTACCCTAGAAACGTCTTCATCAATCGCGGTAACCACGAGACGACCGACATGAACCGGGTTTACGGCTATGAGGGCGAGGCGACGAAGAAGTACGGCGTGCAGATGTACAAGCTCTCGGAAGAGATCTTTACCTCTCGTGCGTCTCCCGTCTGCCCCGCATCTCGTACATTGTTGAGGTTGACGGTCGCTCAACACGCCCGCAGTCCCGCTCGCGACGCTCATCACCGCCTCTGCCCCTCCGCGCGTCGACGCCTCGCCGAACCCGCCCAATCCGACCCTGTACCAAGGCGTGAAGCGGTTCTTCGTCGTTCACGGCGGCCTCTTCTCGAAAGACGGTGTCACGCTGGACGACATCCGCTCTATCCCGCGCATGTCGCTCAAGCAGCCTGGACAGGAAGGCTTGATGTGCGAAGCGTTGTGGGCGGATCCGCAGGACGCACCTGGGCGCGGACCGAGTAAGAGGGGTGTTGGGCTTGGATTTGGACCGGATGTGACGCGCAGGTGGACGGATGAGAATGAGGTCACGGCAGTCATTAGGGCGCATGAGGTTAGGCAGGGAGGGTACAGCGTCGAGCACGACGGCAGGCTCATCACCGTCTTCTCGGCGCCCAACTACGTGCGTACTCGTTCGGTCGTCGCTGACTTTGTCCACATCGCTGACGTTGTGCTACCTCCGCTGCTCACCTCGCTTGCACTGCCCCTCGTCTCTACGCACTCTCGCCTCGCAGGTCGACCAGGTCGGCAACCTCGCCGCGTTCGTCCGCATCGACGAGACGGGCGAGATGAAGTTCACGACGTTCGAGGCGCAGCCTGTGCGTCCGCGTCTCTCCCTCGCTCTCCTCGCTGTCGACAGAGTTGACGACCGTCTCGCGCGCCTGCAGCACCCGGCGCACATCCGCCCGATGATGTACGCTGGCGGCATGATGGGGCTCGGCATGTGAACGCGGCACGACTTCGCTCTCCCCTCCTTCGTCTCTCTCTGTCTCTTCTTTCGCCACCCACCTCGCACGCAGCTGTATCGTCGCAACACCGCAAACCATCCCTCTCGCTCTCTTTGCAATCTATCGCACCTCACGCACCCCTGACGATGTCCGGCTTGATGGTCTCGCACTGCAGATCTCTGGCCGAACAAGGTTGCTCGCCCGGTTACAGTACAGCGCCCGCTCTCGCTGCGCTGGGTGGTGAGCGGCGAGGGGAGGGCCGGGCAGGCGACTTGGACTGCCGCGTTCGGAAGGCTGGCTGGTCGTTGCGGACTCCGCGCTGGGGTCGAAAGTCGCCGCTCGCTGGCGGTCGTCGTGGTTCGAGGAGAGATGGCGGCGGCTGGTGCGAGAGCGAGACTTCCCCGTGGAAAGCGCGGAGAGGGAGGGAGAGGTAGAACGAGCGCTCTGGTCGTTGGAGAGCGAGACGAGCAGAGAGTCGTCGCCAGGCACGGAGCCATCGCGGAACGAGGCCCTCGCAGCGGAGCAGCCTTGAACCTCGTCCTGCTGCAGAAACTGTCCTCGAGTGTGCACAAGGTGAGCACGCACGCACGCACGCACACACAGCCAGCACCCCCTCGCCCACCCCACCGCATCACCGCTGCCCTCGATCGCCCTCGTCTCGCCTCCCTCTCTCTTGCTCGCCATCCTCGTACAGCAGCCACAGGGCGTGCAGGAGGGACACGCAGCTCACACGCACTCGTACACCCCGTCACAGCGCACCGTCCCTCGCTCACAGCCCGCCGACCCACCCTTCTTCTCGGCCGCCCTTCTCGCCTGCTCAGCCCACCCTTCTAGTCCCGCACTCTCGCGCACATTGGAGCGTGCGACCGTACTAGCAGGACTCGCAGATTCGAAGCAGCACCCTCCTCTTCGCCTTCGCCCGCCCTCGCGACTCGTCCCCCTTGCCCCGCTCGGAAACACTCCGACCCGCCTCCTCAACCTCTCCTCGTCCCTCTCACCTACAAAGCGCCCAACCCGGAGCGCCGCGCCAGCTACCCCTTCTCCTTAACCTACCCCCGACACACACGCCGCAAGATGGGTTGCGGAGGATCGAAAGACGCCCAGCGAGAGGCAGACTACCAGGCGGCCGTCAAGGAGCGCCAGAGGGAGGAGGAAAAGGTCGTCGCGAGGTGCGTCTTCTTTGCTTGAATTCGCGTGGTTGGGTTGGAGGGCTGGAAGGTGCGCTGGGCACAAAGAGGCTGTGTATGAGGGAGGAGGGGGAGAGGCGGAGGAGTGGTTTGCAGCGCAGTGCGAACGGTACTTTCGGGATGGCTGAATCAAGTCGACGAAACGGGGACGATGAGGCGGAAGAGGAGGTCGTGTAGCGAAAGACTGTCCCAGTGGGGGACGAACTGCTCGCCCGCGCGCTTCCTTCGACCCTTGCACAGCTGGAAGACAATGCTGCGACTTGGATACTGACATTGGGTGCTCTCCGCAGGCGCGACATCAAGCTCTTGCTCCTCGGAACCGGTGAATCTGGAAAGGTGCGTCCCCGCTTATCTCATATGGGCGCGCTTTCAGCTGACTGAACGCATACGCTCCCTACAGTCAACTATTCTGAAGCAGATGCGATTGCACCACGTCGGAGGATACACAGATGAGGAGCGGGATGGGTACCGAGAGATCGTCTACGCCAACTTGGTGCGTCCGCGCCTCGCAGACGCCCAAATCCTCTCGCTTACGATACGCCTCCCGCAGATCCAATCGATGCAAGTCGTCATCGAAGCCCTCCACGACCTGAACATGCCCCTCCCGCCCTCCCTCCGCGACAAGGCCGCCTACATCATGTCTGTCCGAATCTCGGCGCACGACCCTTGCCCGCCTATGCTCGATCCGATGGTCACCAAGGCGCTTGTCGCGTTGTGGGCCGACCCGACGACCAAGGCGTGCGTGAGCAAGAGCAGGGAGTTCCAGCTGAACGACTCGGCTAGCTAGTGCGTCCGCGTTCGCTCGCTTGTGCTCCTTCCTCGAGTGGTCTTGCTGACGTTTGGACGTCGCCAACAGTTACTTCGACGCCGCGGAGCGGATAGGCGCTCCCAACTATGTCCCGACCGACCAAGACATCCTCCGATCGCGTGTCAAGACGACTGGCTTGACTGAGGAGCGATTCCAGGTCGGACAGCTCAACTATGTCGTATTCGATGTCGGTGGCCAGCGGAGTGAGCGGAAGAAGTGGTGCGTTTCGGCGACTTTCCGATTGTCTGCTCATCTGCTTCTCAAGGCCGAGCTAATCAGGAACTGTCTTGGCCCACAGGATCCACTGCTTCGAGAACGTCAATGTTCTCATCTTCCTTGTCGCCATTTCGGAGTACGACCAGACGCTCTACGAAGACTCGGACATCAACCGCATGAACGAGGCTGCTGGCTTGTTCGAGTCGATCTCGAACAGTCGCTGGTTCGCGCAGTCGAGCGTAATTTTGTTCCTCAACAAGACCGACTTGTTCAAGGGTGCGTCAAGAATCATTCCGCTTTACTCTGCTTGTTTGTGCTATACTGATTCTCCGCTCCATCCTCGTACGCAGCCAAGCTCATCACGTCGCCCATCTACGAGTACTACTCGGACTATGAGGGACCGTCCGATTACCCGACCGGCTGCGCCTACATGGAGAGCAAGTTCCGCCCGCTGTACCGCAACGAGGCTGCACGACCTCTGATCGTCCACTTTACCTGCGCTACGTGAGTTGCGCTTCCGTCCTGGGGCTCGAGGGCTCTCGCTGATTGTTTGTCTATGCCGCAGCGACACGGAGCAGCTCAAGGTTGTGTTTGCGGCGGTCGAGGAGAGTATCCTCAAGGCGGCGATGGAGGACCTCGTGCGTTCCATTCTCGTAGCTCGCTCGCTCGTGGACGTGCTGACCGTCTGTGCGTCAAACAGGGCATCCTGTAAAGAGGCGCTATGAAGCTTCTTTCTCCGGCTGTCTCCCGCGTCTTCTTTCCCCGGCTGCAACCCGCCTCGCATCTGGCTTCCTCGCTTCCTGTCCGCACTTTGGATCATCCGTAGTACATGCCCTTGCATGCCTGTCCCCCAACCCCGTCTGTACCCCCGCTCCACCCTCACAATCGCTCCCACTCTCCTCGGTCGTCTTTATCCCTGTTATAGCTTATTCTTCGGACCGCGCGCACCTGAGCACACACTGAGAGAGCTTTCGATTGCTGCTAGCGGCTTGTGCGCATCCGCGAGACTTGAAGCGGTTTCGTCTCCCATCTCCGCATCTCCGCCGACCTCCTCCTCCTCGACCTCCCTCCACTCGTCGCTCCCTCCACCACGCGCTCAAAAATGCCACCTACCGCCTCAGCAGTCCGCGCCGCCATCCCTCGGCGCCGCAACCCAGCCCTCCTCGCCAAACTGCCCCCGCCCAAGCTCCCCATCTTTCGAAGCGTTGTCGCGCACCCGCCCGCACCGTTCGCCGTGCCGCAGAAGGTCAAGCAGGGAGACAAGGGAAAGGCCAAGGAGGAGCAGGTGCGTGCACTTCGTGTCCCTGTGCTGGCTGGACTTTGTGGGCGATGGACTCCCGAGACGTGAGCATAAGGAGGAGCGACGTGTGGCTTGCGCGGCGGGTCGTCGAAGTCACGAATGGGACGGAAGAGGCTTCTTGCGGCTGTCTGGAGTTGCGCGGGGCTTCAAGCCGCCGCGTGCTGCTTTCACGCTTTCTCATCAGCTGTCTGGCTCTTGATGAACACCGCGCTCCGAGGATTCTCTCGAGCGCTTCGATGCAGTCAAACAGGGCCCCTGAGGCTTCAGGCGTGCCCGCAAGCCGTGCTGACCTTGTTTGATTGCCTGCGCAACAGCCCGTCTCGCCTACCCAGCTCATCGGCCCTCACCAGGTCATCTACACGACCGCACCCCGCGCCCTGATCCCCCTCACGGCATCCCCTTCAAACCACAAGCTGTGGAACCCGCCCGCGCCAGACTCGGACGTCGACCGAGGACTGGAGAGGGACGAGTCGGGCCGTCTCGCACGTTTCGCTGCGCGGTTCGAGGGTATGGAGGGAATGGAGGGACGGAGCGCGCTCGACATGTTTGGACTGGATGCAAGCAAGGAGCTCATGGAGGGAGACGGGACCGGTCAGGGCGGAGGACAGGTTGTCGGGCGGGACCAGATCAAGAAGCCGAAGCGAGCGTCCAAGCAGCAGAAGAGGCGGTAGTTGTGTGTGTAACAGTGAGCCTGACTGGATTGCCCATCTTCAGGTTGTTCCTAACTGCTGTGTCTACGGAAGGGCCTTGAGCCGGAGATCCGGCTGAACGCTTGCCGAGGTCATGGGCGGAGGACTAGGGGTCTGAGACCTAGAGGGAGGAGAAGCTGGCATGCCTCTGTAGTCCCTGTGAGCTGTTGCAGTATCGCTCAATTGTGTGTCCTGTAGAAGATTGGGCAAAGTGGCGCACTTTCCGTTTGTTAGACCGTCAGCACCAGCAGCGTCGACTGCATTCGATTGCACTCAAGCAGTCGAGCAGTCCGACCCCAGTCGCTGTCCGACAGAGGCGACTCCGCTCCTCATCCTCGACTTGCAAGTCCTTTCTGACACCGTCTCCTCCCCTCCCACCAGAGCATGCGTTATGTGCTGTGGCATACGGTTCCAGTTCTTTTTGGGAGGTGCGCCTGCGTTGCGTGCGCGAGGGCCTGGGCTGACAGAACTCCTTGTCCCTCATCAAGTCTCCTTCCTCCGTCTTGTCCGCTCAATGTCGCGCAGTACGCTGGCACTGCATTGGTCAACTTGTAGACGCTCGTACAAGACGGTGTGAGGAGCGCAGATCCCAAGCGCGACGTTGGGCCGGCAAACAAGTAGCTTCCTTCTCTTCCCCTTCTCCTTACTCTTTGAGAGATGTGTTGGCATCGGGTTGAGGCTCAACAGCATACGCACATAGCTTTGTGCCTGCCCAGGCATGCCCATAACCTGCTTGCAGCCTACGAAGCCGGCTTGTGTTGCTCTCTGCTTCTTAAGCGCTTCTCACGTTTCCCTTGCACGTCCCCTAGCGGAGCGGCAGCTGGCGCATGAATCTCGACAACCTTCTCACACAAATTTCACAATTCCTCCATTGTCCTGCAGCTCACTAGTGCTTCACACATTGTGGCATCCGTTGGACGAGCTCGAGAAGGATGTGCGGACAGTGTCTTTCTGCACTCTGCCTCTTCCTCCCGGCCTAGAGCTTTTGGTAGCCTGAAAGAGTTTAGAGGCGGGGAAGACAGAGATCAGGCAGGGTTTGCGGTTGGAGGCATAGAGAGCTGCGGAAGAGAAGACCGCACTCCCGGACATTCTGGCAAGCTCATACTGTCATGCAAATCTGTGTTCCAGCTTTGCAAGCTGCAAGTCAGATCCCAGTGCAGGGAGTGCTTTCAGAAAGCTTCTTAGTATGTTCTTCTGTTTTCTGTTAGGTGTGAGAGAGTCTTTGCTCCTCCCTCTCTGCCTTTGCCCTCTGCACAATCTCCGGCAGACACACTACGCCATATAGCGTTACTGTACCGAGCTTCACCTAGAAACAGCTTGAATGACAGAGACAAGCAAGAAGGAGGATTACCTCTGCCCATATTCACTTCATGTCCACTGGAGATGGATCCGTAGAGTACGCTTTTGACTGTACAGTACTGAACAGTTGATACTGCAGAGGAGAAAGGACGCAAGTCTGGGTGGACCTTGACGCGAAGAATTCCCCTACGTCCTATGAGGCAGGGCCTTGCCGTGATGCGTGATGCTTTATTCGGCTGGTAATGCAAAAAGCAGGGTATTGCCGGGCTGCAAAAGGTAGTGCCTCCAGGGTGGATCGAACACCCGACCTTGTCATCACCGCTTCCTGGCCCCTGGGACCGGATGGATGTGTACACCTTTGTATACGAGTGACACGCTCTGCCACTGAGCTATAGAGGCTGTTGCTTGGTCCGCTGTCCTTGCCATGGATCCAAGTCCTGCTGCACTTGCGCGACGCGCAAGGGAGAGGGAGGCGAGCGGTGTTGGGCGGCGGGGAACAGGTGAGCAGGTTATGTGGGCTAGAAGGGGCAGCTAGAGTGGCTTCAGGGATTGGCAGGAGCAGTACGCTCTGTGAACATCAAGCTCTATTGTACAGAGACGCAACAGGTGTGCGCAGTGGCCGCCAGAGGCTGACCTTCCCAAGCAGGGCCTTCATGCCTTCCTCCTTGTACCGTTGTCCAGGGGTTTCCAAACTTGTCACGCATGAAGGCAATGTATGTTGCTAAAGATCTACAATAGAAGTAGGTCAGAGGGGAAGCTGGACGGGGACAGCTCATTTTCCCTCGACTTGCCTTGTCTGTCACACTCATTTTTGCGAGCCATGTGGTAGGCCAAGAGCATGAGAATGCATTCTGCATGAGCAAAGACTGGCAGCCTTTGCTCATTGACTGGACGTACGGGAAGGTTTCGAGACCGCTCTTGAACGTGATGACTGTGATGATCTTGGCGGCAATGAACCTGACTCAATGCACATTGCTCATCCTGCCGTGCGTGTGCTCCTCCTCCTTGATGAACTTGGCGATGGTCTCTCATTTGATCAGTGAGAGCGCTGCCTCCGGTCCCACCAATAACTGACGGCACGTTCCCAACGCGCGAGCTAATCATGGCTGGGACAGCTGCGCCAAAGAGGCCGTGGATGGGATCGGTGTGGACCAAGTTCGTGGTGTAGGACATGCTTTGCGGCGCGATGAGCGAGGTGAGCTGCGGGCTAGACTCGTCAGCGTGTTCACCAAGCTCACGAGGCGTCTCCGATTGCACCGTGAGAGCGGCGACGACATCCCACATGAAGCTCTTGAGCGAGTGATGCGGAAGCCATTGGAGGACCTGCAACGCCAACTATTGACGTTAGCAGCATGTTCGGCTGACACCTGACAGCTCCTAGTACGCACAGGGATGTAGTAGCGCGCCCGCCGGTACAGTAGCTGCCACCTTGTCAAGTCCTCCTCAACCCGTTCGCGCTTCTGCGCCTGTTTGGCAGCTCGGGAAAGGCGCTCGGGCAGGGTGGCAAAAGCTGTGCACCCACAAATGTCAGTAAAGCCACCTGTCCAACCAGTCGAACCGCCGTCATCTCCCTCGAGAGAATTGAAACGCACCAACTTCCGTCCGACTCTGCGGCGTCATGCTACCCGGCCTCCTTCCTTCGCCCGGACTCCGCAAATCACTCTCAGAATCCGACCTCGTCTGTCCCAGTCGCGCAGGCTCCTTCTTTGTCTTCCTCACTCGAGATGACGGAGGCGGAGGGGATCCCAGGAGAGGTTGGCGCTCGCTCGTGCGGGATGGAGACTCCGTGACGGGCCTGTTTGCCACTCGCCAGGGTGGTCGCGACATACTGGCAAGTGTTGCAGGAGGGGTGTGAGTGAGGTTGAAGGTTGTCCGTCGGCAAGAGGCGGATGCGAGGAAATAGAGGCGAGGCGAAGCGTAAGGGGGGTAACGGGTACTGTCAGAGGCACAGCGCGCAGTCGCAGGCCAGCAGAAGAGCCCAGAGAAAGCAAAGCGGGGGAAGCGGAATGAAGGGAAGAAGGGCAACGTTCGCAAGATGCGAGGTCGAGCAAGGGTCGAGGGGTCACTACGGGAGGCGCTTTCCCTGGCTAGCATGCCACAGTTGAAGAGCTCTCGGGGCTACCCAATGAGTCAGTCGTCACTGAGCAAACTGGCGAGGTGAAAGCGGCGAGTCTCTCGACTTGACGAGGCATGCTGGAAAACAAGATTGCGATGCGCTAAAAGTGACAGAACCCGATACTGCTGAATCCTCTCTGGGTATACGTAATCTATCCGCCCCGCCGCGTCACATGCGGATGATGCTGCCCATCGTGGCCTTCTCCTTTTCAACCTCAGCGATCAACGCTTTGGCATCGAGCGGCTGCGACTGGTCCTTCCGCAACGCGAGGAGGGCGTCCCACCATTTGTAGAGGAACGATTCGGCAATGAGGCGGAACCAGGGTGTGAAGGTCGAGGCTGTTTGCGAAGCGAGATGAGCAGGAGACGCAAGAAACGGTGAGGGAGAAACACACAAGGGTCCTTGAAGAACTCTTCCAAGTCCGCCTTGGACACCCACTTGACGTCGCTAACCTCGTTCGGGTTGATGTTGGTCTTCGGGTCGAGCGTGAGGAAGAAGATGTAGTCGACTGTTCCCGCATGATGATCAGCCTCTCCATCGACGACCTGCGGTAGCGGAACAAGAAAGGCGGGCCGCACTCTCGTGCTCAGCCCAGATTTTGTCGCTAGGCGCGTAGTAGTGGATGCGGGTGAGGTAGGCAAAGTCGTCGAGAGGATATGTGTGAGGAATTCCGAGCTCGTGCGTGAGTTCCCGCGCGGCCGCTTGCCGGACGCCTGAGCAATTGTCCAGCGGTCAGTGTCGCAATTGGTGAGTTGCATCAGCAGCGAGAGAGAGCACTGCACCAATCTGACCTTTTTTGTCCATTTTGCCGAAGCTAGTCAAGGGGTGCAAGCAGCACATGTTCGTCCACATTCCCGGGAACGTGATTTTCTCGTGTGCGCACCGTTGCAGGAGCAGCGGTCTGCGGGTGGAAGAGGAACACGGAGAAGGCGCGGTGGAGTGGCGAGCTGGTCTTGGCGGAGCCGGCAGGCAGGATGAGGTGTCCTATGTTTCTCTTGTGGTCAGCGCTTTGCACCAAGCAGACAAGAATGGCTAGCGACCCACAATCCTTCTTCGAACCCTCACCGATAGCCCGGTCGTCGTCGTCGAGGAGGATCAAGCGCTCCTCCATGAGGTTGATCTGCTGCTGGTCGTACTTGGACGGGTCGAGGGTGATGGTGTCTGCTTCGAAGAACCCGGTTCAGCGAGGCGTGGCCGCGTCGAGGGAGGGTCGTGTGCGAGTCGAGGACAGTGGGCATTCGAGAACAAATCAAGGCAGGGTGGCGGGTGTTCAGAAAATTGTCAGCAGTCTGTTCAGTCACATATCAGCCGAGAAACGCCACGCACGAGTGGTGGAAGACATGTTGAGGGGTCCGTGAGGCGAGTCGAACGAGAGGGGCGGCAAACGAGCGAGAAGAGGCGGGATGAGCGCGGGTGGACTCAGGCGTGTCTGTAGCAGCTCGGAACGCGTGCAACGATGCCCAGCGAGCTGTCAGAGCGAGGCAAGGGTAGTGGGAGAGCGACACCTTCATCGCTCGCAACTTCTCTCCTCGCTGCTCACCCAGACTCGCCGACGACAAGCGATGGCCGCCGTTCCAGCTGCGCGACGAGGGCTTGCACGGCAACTACGCACTCCCCTCGCCTTCGCACGCCCCTCCTCCCATTTTGCCGCGCTCGACGCCGCCCTCCAGGCCAATTCTCTCGCTGGCCCTTCCCCGTCGCCGCGCGGACCTCTGTTGGGCCACCAAGGTCGGCGCACACTCTCCCATCGCGTCTACCTCGTCGACCCTGCCACCCTCCATCACCCACACCTCTGCCGTTGCCGCCGCCGACTCTCTCGCCGGCACTCCCCCTCTCACTCCCCCCCTCGATGCCGCACCAGCCAAGATTCCCGATCCTGCGAAGCACGACCCTGACACTGAACTCCTCGGATACCTTGCACGGCTCGTCATGCGGGACAGCAAGCTTCAGCGGGCGTACAACCACATCAACCTCATGCTGAACGAGATCCAGCTCGCGACAAACGCCCCGCCCGTGCCCGCACTCAAGAAGGCGCTCGAGACGGTCAGCCCAATGGTCAGGCTCGTGGCGAGGCGGAAGGGATTGAAGCAGGTCATGACGCCGCAAGCGTTGACGGACAAGCAGCGGACGAGGCAGGCATGGAAGTGGATTGTCGCTGCGAGCGACAAGCGGTCAGCGGAGAAGGAGTACAAATTTGGGAGGAGGCTTGCACTCGAGGTGATGTCGGTTCTCGCGGGGCAAAGCGAGGCCATCAAAAACTACACCTCGATGCACCAGCAGGCCGTCGTCAACCGTGCCATCGCCCGGTAGTATCGTCTAGTAACAGTGAGTTGCTCTCATACGCGGCTGACGCAGCCGGTCGTGCTTCCACGCAACTGACGACTTCGCTCCGCAGTCTCGCTCGCATTGTAACTCGTCTTCGCTTTTCCAGTCTACGCGACATGACCTTTCGCACTTGGGCATTCCCGGCAGCGCCCTCGGGGCGACCCTGCTTGAGCAATTGTCTGCCACCAGAAAAACGCTCTTCGACTTTGCTCGATACGTACCTACTCACCCTGGCTCGAGGCGCCTGCTCGTCGATGCGTCTCGTACTTCTGAAGTTTCGCACAGGCCCAGACACGCCTCGGAGATTCCAGCGGCCCCGCAAACAGGTCCGCGGTCTATCCGACCGCACGAACGGACTTGACGGTCAGCTTGAACGATTTCTTCCTCTTTCTGTCCTCGCGTCACATCTCCTCCCTCTAGCATGGCTCCTCTCACTTTCAGCGCCACCGCAAAGACATGCAGGACGCACATTCGCGACGTCTTCCACCTCCTCACCTCTTTCACGCTCGACAACCGCGGGAACCTCCAGACCCATGACACGATCAAGCGACCAAGTCTCGCCCAGAAGGAGTTTTGCGACGCTTGGGTGAGGCCGTTGTGGTCCGAGATCCACGAGATCGGCCTTGCAGAGGCGGAAAGCGGCAGGACACCATTCCTCGCAACACTCACTTTCCAAGACCAGCTCGACGACATCAAGATGGAGCTGGGAAGGGCTGTTGCATTCGCACAGAATTGCGAGCAAGTCGGGCACTACGGGCCCGAGATGGCTTTCATCACCGTGAGCTACGGAGTCCTCCACTATCGTCGCATTCCTGACGCCTCTATTCGCAGCGCCACTGGTCCCTCCAAGTATTGATTCACCTGACGGTGCGCTAAGTATGGAACTGTGATTCCTGGCGGCTCTGACTTTCGTTCGCAGACACTCCCTCGACGCCAGTGGCGCGCCAGCATGGATCAGTGCTGGGAGGAGGTTCAACGATTTACCCAAGCACTTGTTGAAGGCGCGGCAGCGGATAGGCATCAGCGCGACGTCGACAAGGGGATCTGGCAGAACACGGACGAGCAGCAGCAATACGAACTCGGCTGTGACCCGAGGATCTCGAGGAGGGCGGCGGCGCGGTACTTCGAGTCGACGCCGGCGCGGTGGGCTGCGTCGAGGTACTGAGATGGTATGGGAGCGTAGTAGGCGGGCAAAAGGGGGCGAATGGCTGACGGACGAGCAGAAAAGGAAGAGGAGGGTCTTCATTGGGTTGCAATTCTTGGTCTGCCTCGCTTCTTCCGGGCTGCGAGTCTCCTGCCTTTCTCAAACTACTGCTGGCGACGCTGTCAACTACTTGCGGCCAGCTCCAGCTGTCCCCAACACCACCTGCCTCGCAGCCCCACTTGCTCTTCCTCCTGAACTTTGCTCGCCATGCTGCTCACCCAGACTGCCCGCCTGGCCGGCTCGCGCACGCACATGCTCTCTCGCTCTGTGTCGTCCACCGCATCGCGCCCAGTCTCGCTCATCACGCCTGCCGAACTCCACAAGCTCCTCTCATTGAAGAACGCGGAGGAGCTCCCCTGCGTCCTCGATGCGAGCTGGCACATGCCTTGGTCAGGAAGGCAGCCCTTCCAGAGTACAGGAAGAAGCGCATCGAAGGTGCGGCGTTCTGGGATGTGTGCGTTCGGATCTCTCATTGCTCGGGAGGTGCGATTCGAGCTGATCTTCGCCGACCGCGCGCATCGTACCGCTCGCAGAGACCAGATTGCGTCCAAGTCGGACGTCGGAGTCCCGCACAACATGCCGTCGGTCTCGCAGTTCGAGGATGCCTGCTCGCGACTTGGGATCAAGAGGGATTCGCATGTCGTCGTGTACGACACCGTCGGCGTCTTCAGCTCTCCTCGAACAGCCTTCACCTACTCTACATGGGCTAAGCCCCAATATGACTTGAAACAAGGTATCTCTCGCTCTTCACCTTCAAGGCGAGTCGTGCTGGCCGGCGCGGGAACGAAGCAGCGGTCAACTGACCCCACCTTTTGCGATTGCAGCACTTCAACGCCACAAACCCGAACCCACACGCAGCTAAGGAAGGCAGCCGGCTCGTATACGGACCCATCTTCTCCGAACTCCTCTGCGCCCACAAGCCATGAGTCGAGTCGTAGTTCATCGCTGACATGTGACCACTGCTCTCCAGCGGAGTGAAGTGAAGCGCTAGTTAGATTGACAGATCTAGAGAGCTAGAACAAAAGAGAGAAACGGACCTGCTCTCCAGCGGAGTGAAGTGAAGC